CAACCCATTCAAGCCTTAACCACAACTACACTTTAAAGGGGCTTCACTGATGTGTTTTTGACATGGCAGGACTGAAAATATTTTTTCCAAAATCTATGTACCATTTGATGAAGGTCTAAACCAATTATCTGTGTGCAAATTTTCAGATAATTTCATCACCCCCGTTTTTGCAGAAGGGAAAAATGACTCAAAAATGGAAAGCGTTGCAACGTGCTTCGCGTGCTTCAAATCGGTCTAAGAATTGCACTTACTTTGGATTTTAACTTTAATTCAGAGTAAATTTCTTTATTACCCTAGGCAGATATTTTCATTTTTTGAGTGTTAACTTCTATGATAAAATTCAAATTTTATGTGTTTAGGCTCTTTGACCACAGTGGAGCTCCTTTAAGAAGTTAAGACACTTTACCATAACTCGTGCGATAAAGTTCTGAGTAAGGCTTCATGTAATCTGTTCGAAGTTTTCGAAGAAAAACGATTGAAATACAAACTTATCTAAAATAGCGAGCGAGAGCTGATAAGAAAATACGAAACAAGCATTTTTTTTTTTAGTTTCACTGATTGCGGTGTATAGACTGACGGCTTACATTTACAAACATTGTCTTTGTTCACAGGGCTGATTATACTTTTCACAATCGGAACACCCCGGGTGACTTCAAGAGTTGCCGGAGAAAGCCGAGTTGTAACGATTGTGAGCAGGGTTGTCTGCTATTGAAAATCAGGCGGAGCACAGGGCAGTCTGCATCATTCATGTATACGTTTACATGATTTACTCCTAAATTGTATTCAAATTACAATTTAAGTAAATCTTTAATGATTAAGGCATACAAATTTTGTTTATCTCAGTGCAGATATTTTTTAAACATTATAAAAATGTATTATGTAAATGTGTTCAGCAATATTTCAATACTTATGATCATCTGTCGGAGTCTATAAATTTGGCGTTATCTGTCCGTCTTTTTTTCTTACCGCACTTACTCTTTGGTTGTATGTAGCTTTTATGCATGCTATTCATTCCACAAAAGTTATGTGACTTGTCTGGTTTAATCTGTCTAAAACACTAGAATAGCTACTATAAAACCAATATTTGAATGTCCGTCTGTCTGTCCGTGCGGTGTCTGTACGTCACAATTTAAATTGGGCATAAAAATTTATCAATTAGAAAAATAAACCTTCATACATTGTTACATTCAGTTGAGACCAAGAATAATAACTTTGTTTCCCAAAATGTTGGAGTTATTGCCCTTTGAAATAGTTCATACTTACTTTTTCTACGGATCAAATTTCAAGTAGACAAAGTGAAATCTACTTGAAACTTTATTGATAGAAAAATTTATTAAGAAAAAGTGCAGTGCGTAAAAAGTACACTCTTAAGAGTATAAATGATTTTGGAGTTATTGCCCTTTGCAGTTTTTTATAATTTACTTTTGTGTTGTAACGTAAATAAAAAAAACACCGGATGTATCAATTCAAAACGTCACAGATGTATAGATCTCGCGATGAAGGAAAGGATTAGCCCGCAAGGGCAATAACTATATTTTTCATAGATTTAGAGTTATTTTCCTTTCTAATTTTTATATTTATTATTTTTTTATTATTATTATTTATTTATTTTTATTAATTAATTATTTCATTTATCTAATTATATTTTACTTATTTATAATGTTTAATAAACTTATTTATCATTTATTATTTGTTGATTTATTATCTACTTGATTATTAATTTATAACTTTTAATTAATTAATTTATTATTTACTTATTGTAATTGAAGTTACAGAATTCTGTAAAAATGTCAGAAAATAGTGTTGTGATAAAAAGGTCATTAAACATGGTGGAGAACAATACTGATTCTACTGGACTCGTACACAGATGCAAAATCTATATCAGACGCGGCTAGCGCTTCTTGAATATATGTTTGACAGCTGTGTTCTCGTCCATTGTACTTAACAATGTATAATAACATCATATGTATTCTTATACTGGATATACACTTTTGCATATTTGTGAAACCGGAAGTTACGTCATGTTGTACATTGTGCACAAGGGGACTTGTAAAATATTTAAATAACCGCCATTGTACTCACAAACGATTATTATTTATTTTACTATGTATTTTATTCTTTCTAAAAAAGTGTTGCAGAAATTCTACAAAAAGTCGAGGGTAAAAAAATAGGCCGCGACATTTTGTTCCTCAATAACGGCCCCTTGTAAAAGAGACATTTTCCGGCATAAAAAAGTCAAGGCTTAATGCTCAAACTCGACCTTTTACAAGGTATGCATCAAAAACAAAATATCGGACATTATAATGGCGCAATCGTCTACTGTTTGCGTGGATTTGTGTACTAAGCAGACAGAAAATATCGCGGTACTCTTGCTAAAACTAGACTTTTTAAGGCAGAAGTATGACAGAAAAAATCAAGAGTTTCTATAAGCCGCAACATTTTATACAATTTTGACATACATAAATCTCGCAGACTTAAAAGTTGCCTTCGACATATTATAAACTGATGGTAAAATTTCTCGCGACTTTAAAATGGACGCTTCCGGCCACCGTACACAAGTTCCTTTAGGTACACAAATCTCGGAAAAGATGTCAAGTCTCTTCAGGTTGAAAAAAAAACACTATGTGGAGTCTATTTTAAGTGGCTCGTCAGTTGCATACTTACTACGATAAATGGAGCATAAACTGTACGTTTCGACAGACAAAGAATACGGTTTTGTCTTTCTTATGTCGTATTTTTCTTGCAAGAATGCTGGTCATCGTTGACCAACTGAGCATGTCTGTGAACGAGTAACGGCCATCTCTTTAATTGTCCTCTCATCCATATGCGGTTGATGACTAAATTATATAAATTCATTCATTTTTTTTTCAATTTTGCGTGCGTTGGTTTTTTGTGTCGCCTCTACGGAGTAGTGGCGACATATAGGGATCACTTCTCCGTCGTCTGTCTGTCCGTCTGTCTGTCTGTCTGTCTGTCCGTCCGTCCGTCACAAAACTTGTCCGGACTACTCCTCATAAACTACTGGTGCAATTTCATCCAAACTTTACAGGAATGATCAGTACCAAGTGTAGTTGTGCATATTGTCAGGATTTTCCGGTTCAATGATTTTTGTCAGAGTTATGGCCCTTTTATAATTTTTAATTTTAAAGTTTGTCCGGACTACTTCTCTTATACCACTAATGCAATTTCAATGAAACTTTACAGGATTGATCTGTAGCTCAAGTCCTTGCGCATATTGCACGGGTTTTCTGGTTGAATGATTTTTGGCCGAGTTATGGCCCTTTGATAAAAAGGTTTCTTTTTCTGTGTGTTGCCAGATACACAAAAGCTTGTCCGGACTACTCCTCATAAACTACTGGTGCAATTTCATCCAAACTTTACAGGAATGATCAGTACCAAGTCTAGTTGTGCATATTGTCAGCATTTTCCGGTTCAATGATTTTTGTTTGAGTTATGGCCCTTTAATAATTTTTATTTTTAAAGTTTGTCCAGACTACTTCTCTTATACCACTTATGCAATTTCAATGAAACTTTACAGGATTGATCTGTAGCTCAAGTCCTTGCGCATATTGCACGGGTTTTCCGGTTGAATGATTTTTGGCCGAGTTATGGCCCTTTGATAAAAAGGTGTTTTTTTCTGTGTGTTGCCAGATACGCAAAAGCTTGTCCGGACTACTCCTCATAAACTACTGGTGCAATTTCATCCAAATTTTACAGAAATGATCAGTACAAAGTGGTTAGTCTAGTTGTGCACTGTCCGTCTGTCTGTCCGTCTGTCACAAAATTTGTCCCAACATGAAATTGGCCATCATGAGGCGACACATGTGATTACTGATCGCTCTTGTTCATATGTTGTTGAACATTATATGTTGTAGCTGTTGGCAAGATTCATGAGCGTACATGTAAACATTTATAAAAATATGTTTGCTAACATTAGTTTCCTGTAAATATTTACTTTCTTTATTTTTATTGGTCATCTAGTGCTTGTTAAAAAAGCGGATGGAAATATACACATATTAATTTTGTTTACATATTTATCACATTATTTCAATCATTTTTTGTTGTTGTTGTTGTTGTTAATCCCCCCCCCCCCCCATTTCATTTACGTAATATACTGTTAATTCACAAAATTAATAACATTGGAACTAATAAAGTAATGTACATAATCGGTTATAGGCAATTTATCGGTTGATAAACATCATGCCGCAGTGCCGCTTTATTGAGTAATTTAAGACATCTGAAAGTTAGTGTCTGAAGCTGAACATTCAGTTGCATTGTATTATACATATATACAAATTGATTAGCTGTGATCCTCGTGCCATCACTTGTTAACCGTAACAATGAAATATCAATTTATATATGTAGGGTTCTGCACGTGTTTGATACGGAAATATAACGATATTTTATATTTAGTATCTATAGATTATATGTTTTAATTAAATAGTATTTTTCGTGAATATGCACATCGGCACTTACATAATAAAATACATATGCTTAAATAGTGTATGTTGTAACTAGCTAATTTTATTTAAAGTTCAAACATATAAACCTAAATAAATAATTTAAGAACAATATACAATTGCAAGTGTTTTAATTTGGTTTCCATTTTACAAATAGGGCCTATAATATACATTAAGAATATTAATAGTTACTGGTGGTTCAAACATTATAAAAGTTTTTCAAAATATCTCTGTTATATACATACAGTAGATATATTATTATTATCGTTATTATTATTTTTTAATTTATTTGTTTATTTATTTAGTTTTTGCGCCTTTTTGCAGCAAAGTCCCCCCGAAGCACCTGTTGTTGACATGTTGCCAAGTAGCTAATCAATTACCGATACATTCAAAGTGTTCCGAAAAGGATTTATCTAGACTGGTACACTTTTATTTACTTGTTGCTTCTGTATTTATCCGAAATAACTTAGAAGTGTAGAAGCAGTCTAAAGCCAAAGCGGAAGTTTATTGTTTACATTAGCGCCAGTTGAAACGTGAAGTAGCGCATAGGTGGACGTATTTTGATTTTTCGGAGATTATGTTAAAATTGTTTCGTAACACAGCACAGAAGGATGTATAGTTGAATCAAATTTGTCTACTTTCGTTGCTCACTAGTTAATAGTTTCGTGTAAAGCACAATTTTTTGGTATTTGTTGATAAATCAGTGATTATTTGCGAATTTTTGAAAAGTGATCCAGTTTTATTTAAGATTTTTTTTCGGATTGTTTTTGTGATATTTATATAACATTTGAATATATGTAAATATTGTTTGTTGACTATTGAAAATAAGACTGAAATCCATATTTAACTTCATACATATGTAAATCCTGCAATGCACGCGGGCCGTGCTGGCAGTATCTTTATGAAGGATTACCTCGGATATTTGAACATACTGTTGGTATGCTGTGCATACCTTACAGTACAAACTGTAAACGGTAATATTTATTTTTTAGTTTAATGCTTAGTAGTTCTGCATATAAACTTGGCGTATAAAGTCAATTTTGTTCTTTTTAACAGTTTAATAGTTTGTCCTTTCATGTCTAACCCATTTTTGGAGATCTAGACATAGGGATTAAAACTTTTTAAGTCATTCCTGATGACTTCTTCCTGGGTTTCTTACCTAGTAATTGTTTCCTGAAGCCCGGACCCTTGTAATATTGTTTCGCTCTACCGACTCATGTCCCCAAAACAGTGAAAAATCCTGAATCCTGCTATATTGAAATTCCTCAACAAATTTCTTAGGGTTACAGAGCAATGTGAATTAAACTCTGAGCTACATGTATATACTGTCACAGCCCCAAATTGAGTGCCAAATGTCACCATGAGAAAAATGTGCAGCTTGATTGGGACTTGAACCAGGGAGCTTGGAATAATGTTCTGCAGCTCTACCGACTGAGCTATTCGTCCGCTTACACATCTTTTCCCCCGAAAAAGTGAACAATTCTGAACTGTGACAGTTAGAAATGATAAAATACGTTGCCCAAATTGGCCAAAATGATGGCATAGACCACAGCCTTTGGGCTTAAGACATAAATGATAATGATGCAAAAAAAAAAAAACTTCGAAAAGTATTTTATTTTATGAATTTCCATTGTACATATAACAATGTTAAATCTAGATTGTCACAGCGATATTATCGTTATAATAAAAAAAAATTACAGGTTCATTATTCCCTTTCACTCAACCAGTAGTGCCTAAGGTGGGCCAAATATTGATATCAGGTTTATAAATTGTGCAAGTTTGTTTTTAGAGTATATAAACAAGCCTACCTCCTGTTATTGTTTAATAATGTTTGATTAAATGTGTTTAGTATTAACCCTGAATTTCTTAAATGCCAGGGCATGTCAAGCTTTGAAATATTTGGAATTTTCATTGTCAATTTTGGGGATATCAAGATGAAACTTTGAAGTTGGTCAGTCAACAGTATAGAGCCTGGTTTGACTGCAAGGTCATTATAAGTGGCAAAAAATTGTCACTTTCTTTACCAGTTCAGGCCTTTTCATATATATTTTTGGGAAAAGTTTTGAGCCCAGTTTAGGAAATTTGTATCTTAAATTGCTTAATTAATGGAATAAATATTTAGTACCTTTTGAAACCTCCTTTCAGGCTCTTTTGGCATTTTTTTATGTAACTTTGTTTATCCTAACCAAATTCATTCAAATATCAACCAAATTGTAACAAGTACAATTAAATTTGACAATTAAATGTGTGGAACCACAAATTTGGTCTATTACGATATTTTTTCATGTGGATATCAGGAATTTCATTTAGATTTGGAAGTTTGTATTAAAGTTTGGAAAAATTTATGCATAATTGCCATTGAGAATTGGTCTGACTGACATTTCAGATATTTGGAGTTTTGTCACCTTTAAAAAAAAAGAAGAGTAAATTTGCCTTTAAGTAGGGGTTTTAGGCCAGCATTTTCAAAGTCACTTTTCCCCAAAAAATATATTTTCTTATATATTTTTTTTTAAAGGACGTTTATTATGCTTGTTTCAAATTTAAGTAGTAGTTGTGCTGATTGTAATTATAGGGTTTTTCTTTCTTCAGGACAATGCAATTGTGCTACTGACTGCGCCTCAAGCTGTAGTGCCGGACAATACTATGATTCTGGATCATGTGTGACCTGCCCGCAAGGAAAATAGTAAGTCATCTCTATCCTCAGTATGCTTTACAAATATAATAGGTCACGTCACGGTTGTCCGTAGTTGTTTTCCGGAACCTGGCGTATGCGTTTTTTTTTCAAGCAAAATTCATAGTACAAAAACAAACTTTTACTGAGATAGCTTCACAGTGCACTACTGTTAACAATAGATTAGTCAACCTGTTGTGATAACTTTAGTAATTGTAACTGTAGCAAAACTTTTTGATAGTTAGTTGAAAAAAAAAGGATATTTATTGCAGGCAAATTCGGGCTGCCATATAGGCAGCGTAGTAGTTTGTTTGCACTTCCGGATTAGCTGGAATTAATTTAGATACAAAACATTTAAATTCAGGAGTAACTCATTTTATGGTATGAATTCAGATATTTTTGAAACCAAATAAATTGAAAAAAACTTGTGATATTTGAAAATTTGTACTGAAAAACAACGATACAGTTTTAATGAGAAAATTTTCTGTTTTTTTATACCCTGATACTTGGCAAATTTATGTTCAAGTGGATAGTATATTATTTGTAAGGACTTAATAACTGGGTACATACCAAAATGGTCATAAATATAATAAAATCACTCAGTGAAAATCAATAGAGCACAAGATAAGAGATGAACTTATATGTTTACAAAACTACTTTATAAATTTTTAATGAGTTCTAACCATCTGATCAATATACAAACATGATATTATTGTTTTAAAACATCAAACAAACAGGGTGTTTATTTGATACCATTGTCTTAAGGCTGTGATGTAAAAATGCTTTTTAAAAGGGATGGATTACATGTATATCTCATAGATGAGTTGTTATCCGGAATTTGGCATATGTATACAGGTTTTTCTACGCTTATCCCCTAGTACAAACAGAATTTTACCTTAAATTGGGCCATTTTTTTTATTTAGGTGCCCCAGTTCTGTGTAAGAAATTAAAATTCATTTTGGACCTCAGTGGAGTCCCTTTAAGTGTTACAAAAGATACCAAGAATGAGAAATTGAAATTAACAAATTTTGAGGACATTTAAATATCCAAGTGTTTGCGGAAGAAGCATTTAGAAGCACTGTACTTTTAAATTGAATTAATTTTGTAAAGAAAACTTGGTGAAATCAAATAAAACCCTCAAGTATTCCAAACAAACTTTGTTGACAGTGAAGCTTTGGAAATTGAGGGTAAAGTTTACCGTATTATGTATAGTACAAATATTGAAATAGTACCCTACATAGACGTTTTAAAAGTAAGTATGGAAATCTTTTGTTGCGACATTTATGAAGTTTGATGCAAAATTACTGTAACTTGTCATTTACATGAATCAACTTATGACATTACTGCATTGAATACTTACATTGTTGAAACTTTTATAACTTTTGTTATTTTATGAAAATTTCAGCCAAATTCCTTATAAATATAAGACGGAATTTCTTAAGATATTAAATTTCATACTATTAAATGCAATTCTCTTAAGGGTATAGCCTAGGTTGTTGTGAAACTCCAAATTTATGTAAGCCTTGAACTGTGATAGATGGTTATAAAAATTTAGGGTGTGTGATAAATTGTTATTGACTTGTAAATTTTAAAATTGAAGTACAATGTATAGTTACAGTATAAAGCAGAAGATTATTTAGTTAAGACAGCAAGATCTAAATTCAAGATCATGATGATGACCATTGTGTTTTAACTTTTACTTTATTTATTGTTAAAGCTGAGCTGATGATGATGCCTCAAGATTCATTCTAATTTTCATGAAAAATGCTAATTTTCATGAAAATTTTGAAAATAAATTTTTAAACTAAAATGTTGTAAAGTGAAAAAAGAAAGTATTTTACACATGGCAAAGGGCAATTTCAATCCATCTTAATTACAAAAAAAAAGAGTCAAAATATGCAAAATTAAAGCCCAATATATTGTATTAGTCACACAGTAGAAATATGGTTATAATTACTGCAAAATCAGTCATTCAATCCAATTACTGCACATTAAGAGGATCTAAATTATTATCTTGAATCTTTTTACTTTTCTTAAATCTTGAATCATAAGTATTAAATAACAGGGACAATTTTTTATAATGTTACAACTTTTTTGAGAATCCACCATAAGATTATGGCACCAATATAATTATATATTTTATTGTTGATAAATTTTATAAAAATATTTCATAACATAAAGCTTTATACACTTAAAGTGTTAAATAATAAATATAGGCAAGCTTTTTTCAGTTACTCAGAAAAGAACAAAATGTCTTGACATGTGAATCTATGTTACATTTTATAACTCATTCAAAATAAAAAGATATAAAATGTATGTAAAATATATAAAACCTTGATGCTTGTTATTAGGTGATATTTAATATATATTTTTTGTTAATTGTTTTTATTTGTAAATTTTCTTGAGCTTTACAGTAAATACCATTTCATAAATACAAAATTTATATTACCAGATTTCTGACAGGTTTGATTTTTGAATTTCAGAAAATCATTATGATCTTGGTTTTATAATTTTTAGCTATTTCATAACACAGTCGAAAGTTAGATTCCATTTTAAGCACTTACAAAAATATGTAAATTTTCAACAGGTTCATATAATGGCAGTGTAATTTATGGATTAATTGCAAACATTGACAAACCTATCTGTTTGGATTATCTTTTATAAGCCGAGGTCTGTTTGTCACAAAAGTCTCCGATGTTTTTTATGGTTGAAAATAGCAACTTTTTGTTAGTTGATAATGGCAAATCTGGCGTAAAGCCAGATGATCTTAATAGCTTGATTAAAGGACAAAATTTAGAATAATTTTAATTCAAGTTAAAGAGAAGATTTACACAATGTATTATTTAATTCTCAAGTAGACAAGAAATTTTTAATTTATATCATTTTATAGAGATTTTCTTTCTTGATTATTTGATAGCTTATCACAGGGTGATATAAATATTGATTTCCAATCATTTTTTCCAATTTTACAACAGACATTCCCATTTTTTTCCCAATTCTTAAATAATTATTCCCAAAACGTTTATTGTTTAGACAAATATTCTTTGATAAATAAATTTTAGCTCTATTAAAACTGTTGCACTTGTTGATTATATTTGTAAGAAGTGGGAAATGTTTTCATCTGAAGATGATGGGAATAATACCACTAAATTACTAATTTTGTACAAAAGAATACTAAAATTCCCCTAATCTTCCGGGGTAATGAAGGTCATGTCCCCTCCGCCCCCCCCCCCCAAAAAAAAAAAAACCCCAACAAAAACAACAACACCAAATGATCATAATTAATTCAAATGAGGTTTTCTGTATATATCATTTCCAGGGTTTGCGCCAAGCTAAATGTCAAGATCTATCACTGAAATACTATTTCAAAAAAGGGCAATATTGCCATCAATAGATTAACCCTAAATTTCTTGTGTGCAGAAATAGTGCAAATGTTATATACAGTCATGTATATTCATACTTTATAGGCACATTGTCACTGCTTTTGAAGTTATATGAGCTAGCCTTTTGATTTACTTTATTTGTTCACTTGACTAACAGACTGTATTTTCAGTTTTTGAAAACATTGTTTCTTCAAATTTTCAGAAAAATGAACAGGAATCTTTAAAGGCATGTATTTAAAAAAAAACAAAGAAAGAAAGAAAATGCGCAGTTTACGTGTCCGCTTTTTCTCAGGTCTCTTATCTTTTGAGGAAGATTTAAATATTTCACGTCCAACACTAGACTGAAATCAATTATTGATCAAACGGCTTTGAACGTGTGCCAAGGCATTTAAATCGTGATGATTATAAGATACGTACAAAGCCTACAAAGCGATTGTGTACATTGTCAGAGGTGTATACGAAAATGCTCGTAATTAAGGGCACTTCTTTTGTGCGTCTATCCAATTATTGAGATGTCTTCAATTTGATTATATTGAAAAAATAGTTTTAATTAACGACCTTGATTTTTAAAAAAAAATAGAATAAAAAGAACTCTGTAAATAAAAAGAATGTTGAAGTGACCTCAGTTGAATTTTATCCATTTGAAAAAATGAAAAATATTTTTTTAACCATGTCAATGATACCAGTACATAATTGGACCCATATTTAGAAACTTCTGTCAAACAGATTTTGTACCTTGGGACGAATAAATTAACAAGATCCCCCTATGAAGAATAATTTGGCATTTAAATAATTTATTACCTATTTTTGAAATGGCAGCTTTAAAGGTTTTTAGTTTTTTACTCTGAAGTTTTTGGAATAAAGCAAAGAATATAAATTTTATGTTAAAAAAAATCCTTTATTCTGATTTAAATTCAAATAATTGTTGGTTTGTTAAAGGCCCATCATAACTCAGAAATGTATTTATTTTTATTTCTCAAAAGCTTTTTAATTTTGTAGTACTTTCTTTTTATATTATTTTATCCAAAAAATTATTGATTGCCAGGTACCGGATCAACTAAAGAAGTTTTTGGTATCTAAAGATTGCTATAGTTAATTTTCTTATTTTATTTGGCTTAAAGTTTTATTAAAGTTTATCATACCATTATTTAAGTCCTATAAAAATATACAGTATTTTATTACATTTATAATTTAAGTCCTATGAAATTATTTAAGTACTAAGTTCATTTTTATGAAAGTCCTATGACATAGGTACTGCATCAGAGTTCATTATTATATAAGTCTTATGAAATTAGTACATTTCTTTATTTACATATAAGTCCTATGAAATAGGTTCTCAGAGTTCATTATAATATAAGTTCTGTGAAAAAGGTACAGTTCTTTATTTTTAAATATTAAATCCCATGAAATAGGTACTGAGTTCATTTTAATATAAGTCCTATGAATAAGGCACATTTCTGTATTGTGAAAGTCCTTTGATATAAATACTGAGTTTATTATAAGTCCTATGGGTCCGAGTTCTTTATTTAAAATAAGTCCTATGAAGTAAATAGGTATTGAGTTCATTATTTATAAGTCTTATGAATTTATTTAAATAAGTCCTATGAAATAGGTACTGAGTTCATTATTATGTAAGTCCTATGAAATAGGTACAGTTCTTTATCATGAAAGTCCTATTAATAGGTGTGTTAATAGGAAACCAACTATACTTTCTCTGTTAAGGTTACACTATACTAACTATTCATATGTTCCTTTTTACTTTTCAGTTGTACTGGGGGAGCGAACCCTGCCCAGGACTGCTCGGCTGGAACATTCAATGGTAATACTGGGTCAACATCTTCCTCGGCTTGCCAGGTTAGTATTCATACCGTTAACCTAAAGAATTTTTGCAATGGATTGCCCTACTTTGTATTTGGATCAGTCAGTAAAATTTGATTTTCAGGGAAGATAGCATTTTTGAAAATGCTGTCATCTTATTTAGAGAAAATCATTCACATTTTTTTTTAGCTTTATTAAACAGCCTGTATTCAATAGTAAATTTGATGAAAAAAACCCAGCTTTTAATGAATTGGTGTTTAAATTTTTACTTGACAAATATAAATACATGTATATTATATACATGTATATTTATTTATTATTTTCAGGTGAAAAGACATCATTATTGGCATTCTTAATGTTATCTTTCTAAAGAATCAATCAATTAAAGCTTTGTGTATTTATAAACATAGAATTTTTTCCAATAGTTGTTACCTGGAATAAGTCATATGTGGGGTTTTCCAAGCTAATTCTTCCAGTACAAACAAACTATTACCATTATAGTTTCACGGTTCACTACCAGTCACAATAGATTATCAGATATTAGTCAGCTAGTTGCGCGTTATTTTTGAAGTTGTAAATGTTAAAATTTGTACGTACCCCTAGATTAGCTGTGAAATTTAAAGTATTCTTTATTTCAGAGAAAGTCTATTTAAGAATTATGCTAATTTACTATTTTTATAATTGACCGATCCCTATGGTGATCTTTCATTTGAAAAACGCAATAGATTTAACCACAAACATTGACATGTGCTTTTTTGTTAACAAGTATATTGTGGTTAAATTCTTATTGTATGCACAAATCTGATACTTAGAAATGGACAGGTCAGGGATCCGTGCATTCAGATTGTATTCTATTTATAACATTATCTATCTATTTATAGCATTGTTTTCTATTTATAGCATTGTTTTCTATTTATAGCATTGCATTTCTATTTATAGCATTGTATTTCTATTTATAGCATTGTATTTCTATTTATAGCATTGTAAATCTATTTTTAGAACTGTGCTGCTGGATATACAAGTATTGCTGGGGCATCAAGTTGTACCCAATGTCCTCAAGGTACCTCTTGTGCTAACCCAGGCACAGCCACGCCAACAAACTGCCTATCTGGGACTTACTCTGGTGTTGGAGCCACTTCCTGTACAACCTGCCCACTGGGTTCCTTCTGTGCAGGAAACCAGGCCACTTCCCCTGTAGCGTGCACATCTGGATACTATACACCGAGCACTGGTAAGACAATGATGTCATTATGACTAAGTTTGTTAGGCAAAAAGAAAGTTTTGTTTTAGGTTACCCTACTAGTACATACTTTTGTATCTGTTAAACATTGACTTTCGGCCTCTGCGATTTCCCAGAATAATTTTTCCACAATAAATGTAAATAAAAGATAAATAATAAAACAATAAAAAACATTAAGAAATCTATATATTGAAAACAAATAATTGTAAAATGTACTTCCTGTCTTTGCATTCCCCCTGTTTGTTTGGTCTGGACACAAGAAACAGAACTTTTTTTTGGGGCCTTAAAGAAGCACTACAAGAAATACAGGCTTTACACCTATTGAAATTTCTTTTGGCCATTGAATCAGTTCTCAATTAGAATTTTACATATAATAGCATAACATGGATAAGCAATTGTGTAGCAAACTTATGATTTCTGTAGCAAAAAACAATAAAATTATAGGTCCGAGAAATGACTATCATGGCTTGAAGCAAGAGTCTTGAATTTAAAGCTGCTCCTTACAGGTTAAATGATGATATAACCGCGTCTGCGGTCGAGGGGTTAGAGTCAATGACTTCTTATCCAGTTACCTCTCTGGCATGGGTTCGATCCCCGGGAGATGATTTGGTAGTTTATCGCGGAGGAAGGTAGTCTAGTACTGGTGTAACTCTCCAGGAATGATGGTTAGGAAACTACCGGTCTATATGACTGAAATACTGTTGGAAAAGGGCGTAAAATGAAACAAACAAACAAACAAATGATGATATTTTCAATAACTCTAACTGATTGAAAATGAAATACAGATTTGAGAACAGTACAATGTATTCTTAGGGGTAAAAATATTAGCTATACAGTTAGATTACATACAGTCTTTGGTTTAATCACCTTGCTGTTGAATTCATTACAGGTGCATCATCATGTACCACTCAGTGCCCTGCTGGCTCCCAGTGCCCGAGTGGAACGTCCCCTGTACAATGCTTGGCGGGATCATACAGTCAACTAGGAGAAGAAAATTGTACCCCCTGCCCTGCCGGAAAGTACAGTGCATCTAATGGTATAGTAATACTTTCTATTTGAATAATTAGAAAATTAATTACAGTCACCATTTCCACGGAGTTCAAAAATTTGGAAGACTGCAAAATGTCTGACATCGGAAGTCACATTATAGAGGTAAAGAAGGAAAAGCATTAAATTTTGGAAGTCACAGACCCAAGTCAGGAGTAAATGACTCATAAACTCCCACTAATTGAAGCCCTGTACAGTATTTTCATATAGAACAGAAAGAAACAGAGTGTTAACAATTGTGTATCATTATGTTTGGTATTGCGAGAGAAACTGTGTCGTTTACATGAAATATAGATTAAACAAAATGAAATAAAAACTATGGATACTGACAAAAAATATTTCTTTTTTCTCTAGGTTACCAATCAAATTTAAAAATGTTCGTTTTTTTTTTCAAAATTGTGTTAAAAGATTCTAACTGAAGATGAAAATTTATAGATCTGGACAATTTTCCTCATGTTCTTTTCCAGGTGCCAGTTCATGCACAACCTGCGATGAAGGTCACGAATGCCCGACTCCTGGCATGTCTTCACCAACAGCTTGCTCTGCTGGCTATATTGCCGCTGCGGGGTCTTCCAGTTGCACCCTGTGTGCTAATGGTATGTATATTAAACTTGTACCTAGCCTGTTGGCACTGTCATAGGTCTTGGATAGTATACATGTACATGACCATGCCCACTTATTTTTATAAATAAAATATTTTTTTCACTCAATATGTTTTTAAAATATCTTATTTTCAATAAAACAACAAAGGAAAGTTGTTTTTAAAAATTTCATCCACATATACTATAAATACTATAAGTATTTATAAAATATAAGTGGTCATGAACATGTATACTATCCAAGTCACGCACCCACTGCCTTTAGGTCTGCACTGTTGGCTATTTAGTCAGTACTTTATTTTGAAATATTCTGTAATTATGATGAATGGTTTTGTCCAGACTAGTGACGGACAAGTCTATTTTACATAATTAGGGAGGTAGGTTTTATTTAAGGACTCTGTGACTGAGTGGTCAAGGCATCATACTTCTGATCCCTTGACGCTTACTGCTGTAGGTTCAAATCCTGTATTCCTGTCTGGAAAATCATTGTCTTGTGAGATTTACTAGGGTGGCAATAGTGATAATGTTTTGTTTTTTTTAAAGAATTTTTTAGGCTTTTTTAATGAAAAGAAATAAATAAGAAAAAAGAAAACGAAAAGAATTCATGATAAATACTCCAAAAGTGAAAATTTGTCATTACATTCAATAACTTTAACATTTGGGGTCAAGAATATTCAGTTTTGTGAAATATATTTGACAAGAATATTTGGGTTTATTAAAATACTTGGGTTTATTTTACAGATAAAAGACCTGACTCTGATAGCAAGTCTTGTGAAGATTGCCCAGCTGGACATGCCTGCACAAACTCAGCGTAAGTGTTGGTAACTGGCGGAATGCATACGATGATGGTGGCTTTTCTATGCCATCAGTTTAAAGCCAGTCTGGTCCGTCCAGGATGCTTAATATTAGTACTTTATGTTGGAATAGCTCCACTGAGGTCTAAAAGCCTTGAAACATAAAATTTGGTATTCTTACATAGATTAATTGAGGCACTTTAAACAGAAAAAAATATGCAAAAGTTTTTAAGAAATTCACTCTGAATTGAATTTGAAATCAATATTTTGTGCATTTTATAGCAACTTTTTAAAGTTAAAATCATTTTTATGTGCCCGAAAGAATTTCAAGAATATTATGTTATAGCCCCTGGCGTCCATCCGTCCGTCTGTCCGTCCGTTAGCAATTTGGTTTCCAGAGCATAACTTAAGTTTCATTTGGCCCACAACATTCAAACTTCATAGGATGATTGTCCATATTGGGTAGAAGACCCCTATTGATTTTGGGGTCACAAGGTCAAAGGTCAAGGTCACTATCACCTTAAAACTGAAAACAGTTTCCGGAGCATAACTTAAGTTCCATTTGGCCCACAGTGTTCAAACTTCATAGGATGATTGTCCATATTGGGTAGAAGACCCCTATTGATTTTGGGGTCACAAGGTCAAAGGTCATGGTCACTATAACCTTAGAACTGAAAACAGTTTCCGGCGCATAACTTAAGTTCCATTTGGCCCACAGTGTTCAAACTTCATAGGATGAATGCCATATTGGGTATGAGACCCCTATTGAATTTGGGGTCACAAGGTCAAAGGTCAAGGTCACTATTACCTTTAAACTGAAAACAGTTTTCGGAGCCTAACTTAAGTTCCATTTGGCCCACAATATTAAAACTTCATAGGATGATTGTCCATATTGGGTAGGAGACCCCTATAGATTTTGTGGTAACACAGTCAAAGGTCAAGGTCACTATTACTTTAAAACTGAAAACAGTTTCCGGAGCATAACTTAAGGTCTATTTGGCCCACAATATTCAAACTTCATAGGATGATTGTCCATATTGGGTAGAATACTCCTATTGATTTTGGGGTCACAAGGTCAAAGGTCAAGGTCACTATTACTTTAAAACTGAAAACAGTTTCCAGAGCATAACTTAATTTCTATTTGGCCCACAATATTCAAACTTTATAGGAGGATTGCTATTGGAAGGAGGTAATACTTTATTTAATTTATGTAATGTCTTAAAAATGCTTCATCCTTAATATAAAAAAAAAACACTTTCGGGCATATAATGCTCCGCCTAGCGGTGCTCTTGTTTATACATGTACTAAATATTAATAATAGAAAATGACTGATAGTAAAATGCAAGTATTTCTTTAAGTTGAAGAAAATTGTTATTCTTATTTGAAATTACTATATAAATGTTTGTGAACAGAAAAGTCTATTTAAGCCTTAATATAAAAACAAAGAAAACCTGAATATTTTAAAAGACCATGGATTGGATATAGGACGATTATATTATATTACTATAATTGTTTTATTTTCAGAAATTCACCAACACCATGTACTTCTGGTTACTATGCACTGACCGGTGATGCCACCTGCACCCAATGTCCAGTTAACAATAAATGTCCAACTACGACAGCTTCTCCTGTGGCTTGTGCAGCAGGTAAATTTTTTTTTCATAATTTATTGCCTCATTTTATGAGTTATATTCTATGAACCATGTACTTTGAGTGATGAAGTGATATAGTGTGAATATAATTGTAGACTGAAGTATGAGTGATATATCTTGAGTGATATTGTATGTTAAGCAATGAGTGATATACTGTGATATACTGTCTGCCAGTTTGAAGGATATACTATTAATGATATTGTATGAGTGATAAATTATGAGTGATATCATAACCTATGCGTGATATACTGTCTGCTATATAGTGTGAGGAATATACTTTTAATAATATTCCATGAGTGATAAATTGTGAGTGATATCATAAACTGTGAGTGATATAGGTAATATTTCACTGATGAGATATTTTCTCCAATTTTAGATGAATATGCACCAGCTGGTTCCACTGTTTGTACTCAATGTCCAGCAGGCTTCACATGCTCTGGGGGAACCAGCACTCAATGTAGTGCAGGAGAATACAGTCCGGCTGGAGGTAGGTCAAAGTTTTCTAAACATAATTTTTCAATAATATTTTTATGGTTGTCTTTTTTTTTTATTTTTGAAAACATTTTAATTTAATTTAAATATGTTTACAACTTTTTTAGGTGAATCCTATAATTAAATTTTCATCTTAAGATATTATATGTCATTATGATGTATTAATCTGTCACCTAATTGCAGTAACGGTCTAACTCCTGATAAAATTTAATAGGAGTTATCCTGTTACTGCACAAAGTTGACAAATTGTGACCAAATTTTTTAACGAAAAGAGGAGACAGAGCTTAATCAGTTGTTTGACTCAAAAAAGTAAAAAGGTTTGTTTGCAAAATATTTTGTTATGAAATCACAAATGCTTTTCCCCAAATTTCAGGAGGCACATGCCTGGCATGTACGGCTGGGAATTACTGTCCAGCGGGAGCGACGTCAGAGACCCCATGTGCTACAGGAACTTACAGTGCAGCAAATGCAGGCTCATGTACAATATGTCCAGCTGGCTCATATTGCCCGGACACTCAGACAGTGACCGCCTGTGCAAGTGGGCAGTACAGCGAACAAGGGGCGCAATCCTGCACCGACTGTCCTGCAGGTGAGTTTTTATTTTGTATAATATTGGAATAAGGTTTATGCTTATTCATTTGTTTGAATCTTGTTGAAAATTGACAAAAAGAAAACCATCAATAATGTATGATTTTCATGAAATAGATTTTTGAATCTTGTAAAGAAAACCATCAATAGTGAATGATTTTCATGAAACAGATTATCATATTTTTTATATAAAGGGAAACAAAGATACTTTTGCCTTCCTTTTTAGCTCAACTTTTCAAAGAGGAAAAAAAAGGAGCTTTTTTTATGGCTCTGTCATCGGCATTTAGTTGAGGTCAATTTTCTCACTATAACAGCTCTTCAGTACTATCCGAGCACTTATATAAAAATGGAGCATGCTGTCCATAGATAGGCATTGTTTATATTTTTCTTTGCGTAAATCATGTTTCCATTAAAAATAAAAATGTTGAATATGTTAAAAATATCACAGATGCAAGAAAAAAGTATTAAGCGTCTTACTTCATCTTAACAATATTTTTTAAGAAAATAAATTTCTTATTCTTTTTATTATTTACTTATATACGTATAAAAGTAAAAAACATTTTTTTGTTGTTGCTAGGATCCCAATGTATGACACTTGACTCGACCCCTACTGCATGTCCATCAGGAACGTATAATCTGGCCACATCTGCGACTGGGACAGCGTGTATTGAATGCCCTGGAGGTTATTACTGTGCAGTGACAACAACATCTCCAGTGCCTTGCGATGCTGGTAAGTATATGTTATCTTATTGTTAAAGTCATCAGCTGTAGGTTTGAGCTGCGCCAGGGACTTAGAATTATATTGTGTGAGGAAGCTATCCAGCTAGCTTACAGAACGTTGGTGGTTCTACTCGGGCGACTGTTTGTGCCTGAAATATTGATGTATTGATGTAATATGAGACAAAACATAATTTTAATTCTTTTATTATATGAAATTCTTGTTTTGTTACCTAGGTTACATAAGTGGTAATGGATCAACTGAATGCATCATTTGTCCGGCTGGATTTGCTTGTCCTGATATAGGCGACCCAGGTCAAAATTTTGAATGTGCTGATGGTACATACTCCATAGAAGGGGAGACAACCTGTTCTTCATGTAATCCTGGATTTTACTGCCCAACAAATATGTAAGTAATTTGGCTATTCATAAAGGAAATGTTTCATTGATGTTGTTAATTTTTGAAACATGTTGGTCGCACATAAGGCAAAATAACAATTTTTTTCAATGACGGCCTTGTTTTTAGTTGCCATGAAGACACCATTTTGATTTTTTTTGCAGTACACAATACAAGATCAGAACATGTTTATCTTGTCTTGAAGGAGTGTAATTATAGAAATGATATGAAATGATTTGAAATAACTTTATCTTGTTTAAAATCGTAGCAATTTTATGTTTTTAAACCTTTTTTTAGTTTTCAATTAATTTTTCATGTTAATAGAGCTCAAAAGTTGCTGCATTGTATATTAAAAGCATTACCATGATAATGTAAAAATGTCTTAGCAAACTTCTTTTTTCTTTTTTTTTTTCTTCATTGACTTGATGACATATTCAATTAATATAAGAGATATTTATAGTAACATAATTATATAGTCATTATATCTGTAAACATGACAAAAAAATAAAGGTTGTTCAAGCAAATTTCTTTTTCTTCCCTAGTGATGGTACCCCAATAGCATGTCCACCAGGGTTTTATTCAAGCAATAATCAGACACAGTGCACACGATGTGATGCCGGGTTCAAGTGCCCAAATACTGACGGAAGTGGAATCGTTGCTTGTGTCGCAGGCAGTTATTCTGAAGCAGGTGCTACAGGCTGTATCGATTGTCCAAAAGGTTACGCATGCCCGCTTACAGACACATCACAGATTGACGAATGTCCTGTCGGAACATACTCTGTCGGCAAGCAGACGGAATGTACTCCATGCCCAGCTGGAAAGTAAGATTTAAACTTTAATGTGGTCTATTCTGTTTTCACATTCATGTATTAAAAAAAATAATCTTAATGCTATTTTTTTTCCAAATTCGGTAAATAATTGAAATAAAGGCATCATTTATCAAACTCCTTTCACCTTCAACATATACATCTAGCTTGAAAATTAGTTTTACTGTTATTCAATTTTGTTAGAAATCAGATACAATGTATTACGTTTAAGAGGCTTTTTATCTATAAATGTATTTTTTCAGGCGTTGTCCCACCACTAAAGCATCGACAGAAATAGATTGTGTAGCCGGTACTTACTCTATCGGGAATCAGTCTACGTGCATTGAGTGCCCAGTTGGATACGAATGTCCGGTTACTGATGATAACAGCACGTAAGTTAACATTGTGTAATCATGTGACTTCGTGTGTTTTCTATGAAATATAACAATCACTTATTTGTCACTGTCAGGAGAATGACTGCCTTGATGTTATTTAATCTAACGAAAGATTTAGTAATAAATACTAGAACCAATGTCCAAGATATGGGGGCTGGGCAGCACCGCCTGACATAAAATTGAAATATTCTCAGTTGGAAAACTAGGTGTTATTGTTTAGTTAACACTATCTTTTTTTTTAGGTATTTTTAACTTTTTTTTTAACCTCAAATCCATATATATATATTTAAACAACAAACTCTGATTATTATTTACACCTAAAACAAATCCATATATAACATGCTATTTATTTCATAGTCTGAGTCATAAACGTCTTGACCTCTGATCAGATTATATTTTGATTTTCTAAACAAACAATACAAACAACACAAACATTAATGATTTTAACTGATGAAAACATGGAAAACAAAACACAATTTCTCAGTCAACATTTTAACAAAATTGGTGAAAAGATTATGGTCTCATTCAGTGCTGTTTAAAACTGTGAAAAATCACGCATGTTAATGGACATTTTTGTTTGCCATAATCTGTCCGCTAGACAAATTGAATGTCTTTGTTCTGTACAATAGCGTATTGTTTGACACCAGGTGTTGAAAATAACTGTGAAGTCCCACAATGATTACAGTAAAAAGTATGTAAAATGAAAGAAGGCTGCTTGCGAAAACCATTGCCTAATCGTGTAAGAGTAATTTCACTTATTTTTTAACCTGATGGGTGTATGCGATTTTATGATTTTGAGCAGTCACCTCCGCAAATGCAAAATAGCGCAAATATTTGTATATTTCATGGACCTTTCCACGAAAATTTGCTTCCGCGAATTTAAATACACATACAGTATTCAAACATTTTCAAAGTTATCAACATGAAACTTTGAATACTTGCTTATTTCGGCAAGCTGCATTTGTTAGAAGGGACATAATTCTGAAAGCTATATTTTGGAGTTAAGCCTCTTTTTTTATTAACTTTTTGTCAGAAGAGCAGTAACATTGCAAGTGATACTTTTGTTTATTTCATTTTTGCTTTATATTTTCATGTGATGTAAATAGTCTTAACTTAGTCTTACAAAAGTCTGACTGAAATACTGTAAAGAGTATACGTTAAAACCCAACCTAACAAAACAAGTGTATTTTCTTTGTTTTTGTAGCACTGCATGTGAACCAGGATATTTCGCCCTCGGAGCACAGGCGGCATGTACTAAGTGCCTGGAAGGAGAGTATTGCGCCACAACAATCGAGTCTGGTATACCATGTGACAATGATGGTGAATACAGTGTGGCTGGTTCCACAAATTGTACGACGTGTGAAGCCGGGTTCTATTGTCCAAACTTTAAAGGTAATGTGTGCAATGATTATACAATGTTGAAACCTTTAACCTGCTGGTAGCAAATGATTCTGTTCTGCTTATGCACGAAGAACAGACCTGGGTTAGTCAGTGCATCTTTGCCGTCTGATCATGTCCTGCTCTGTTCCCTATACATTTCTTTAATTTTATCTTTCGTTCGTTTAAGTTCATTTAAGATATTTATGTGGTTTTATTAGGGTTTAAAGAAGTTAACCAATAGATATCTTTTCTTATAGGAAAAGTTAGCGAGTTTTTTCTTCAAAATTATAAAGTTTCAATTTTACTCTGGTAGTTTTGAGTTTTCAAAACTGAAAAACAAGAAAGTTGCCCCCCTGTTCATCAAGGGGATCTCTTCTTTTTTATCAGCTCTACAGAAACCAGTAAACTCCTTAGGTATACTTTTCCCATACAACAGGTGCATCTCAACCATTCTCTCTCGATCTACATAACTGATCTTATAAATTTCATCCTTCTTCAATTTCTATCGTTTCGTGTTCTATATCCCGCATTCTATCAAGTGAGCCCCCCCCCAATTCTTTTGTTTTTCATTTTAGGCCTTCACACAAAACACAATGTCCGGCTGGTACCTATTCCACTGCTGGGTCGACTGCTTGTTTACCATGTGACGCAGGGTACCGATGTCAGATGCAGTCGGATACTGCTACACCGCTGGGAGACCAGTGTGACCAGGGCGGTTGGTGTGACGGTGAAAAATTTCATCCTTGTCCCGAGGGGACTTATAATAGATTTAATACATCAACGTCTGCTGCAGCATGTGTGCTTTGTCCAACTGGTATGACCTTTTTCCTTCTCCATATTTCATATTTAATATTAAATACTTTACTTTTTATCAAGTTCCCGTCGGTAAATGTATAAATGTCAAAACATATTTCGCCTCTGATTTCTTTAGATAGAAAATACAAGAATTATAAAAATGATACAAAGAAGTGTGTACTTAGACTGAAACTCAACTTAAATCTTTTTTTTAATGAATTAACAATATAGCTTAATTACTTAACTTGAGATAAAGAACGTAAATTACTTTGCATATTGATAGCAGCCCAGTATATGAATTATATTAGCATCGTGATTATCCAATGAAAAATGACAAACCTATTAAAAATACTATTGTTACAAACCTGTAGTATTATAAGACTTGTATATATATATATTTCAGGGTATTATTGTGAAGGCCGTGGCGAGATTGACTATCTTCCTCACGACTGCTCCTTATGGCCACTATTGGCTCTCTTACCCCGACACGCGCGCCGCCCACCCCACTCACGCACTCCCCGTCTCCACATCGCCCAGGTATGCGTTGATCTTTCTACACATAATGCAGACTTATAATGTGTTATATGGCCCAATATATAAACAAACTTAAGGCTATATAACTTGAGCCAACAACCCGGGCGAGGTCTTCATATACCATCACCCACTTACTTTATACTCTTCGAAACCGCACTAATGCTCCCCCCGCCAAACCCCTTTCTTGTTGTGTTACTACTGGCCTTGCATACTACACTGACCCTCCTCACCCCACGCGCTCTATATACACTTGAGAACCACGCACCATCGCGCGCGCCCCGCTTCTCACTGCCTTATCAACACCCATTTATACTTTGAACGCATAATGCTGAGTTACCATGTGTTACATGGCCCGACATATAAACAAACTTTAGATTATTTAACTTGCGCCAAAAATGGGGAGGTTTATATAATCAACAACCATTTAAACTTTAAATTATATAGGTTGCTGACGGGTTATATATGTAAATATTACCTGAATGACATTAACTTGACCAGTTTTTTGTTTCACAGAAATTATGACTTCTCTATAAATTACTCTTTTGTTACTCTTTGCTAGCTTTTATAAACCATTTCATTTAAGACCGTATTCAAATTGTCGCCCTTGGATGACGTCATTGGGGGATAAGGTGGACAATGCCGATATGATTAAGTACATTAATAGAGGGATATAAAGATCTTAATCCTTTCTCTTGTAAGATTGGCAGATTGAAATTGCCAAAATTGTGTGTAATTGAATAAGGGGGGTGATACTTTCATGAAAAGGATGGTGAAATGAATAAAAATGTTTATTATAATAAGGTTAACGATTTGTTTTAATAGTAGACCATATTGCTGGGTAACTGATCATGATTACTATTTTCGTTAGATTCTTTATAATGAAAATTTTACCAGGCAGTTAAATCGTTACTTACTTGCTAATACCAGACATATAGATAATGTTGCATATGTCTCTGCTAATATACCCAAAATATATTTTGAGTTTCAAAAATGTAAGGATTCTGTCGTTTCGAAAAAAACGGCGGCGTAATAATTTATTGCAACACACTGGTTTAGTAAAAATCATTGTGATTTAAGCATAACTACGACAAAGAAAAACGACAATATACTAGTAAATATATGTAATTTCAAAAAAAAAATGTAAAGGCATAAAAGTAAAAATTCTTTTGAATGTACATGAATGTATACTATTTGTGTCGGCAAAACAGTGCACTCTCAAAAATCGTACATCACAGCAATATATTTAAGCTGGTAAAGAAATATTTTCAACTTCATTCTTTTTAATTCATACTCTGCTTATCAAATATTTTAAAAAATCACACACAAAAAAAAAAAACAAAAAAAAAACAAGTTGTGAACACGTTCACAGAAATTTGTTATTAACTGAATTATAATTTTACGTATTTTTTACTGTGCCAGTTGGTAGGACTCTGGCTCGAGTATCAAATCAGTTATGCATGATCAATATAGTCCCTAGGATGATCAAAAACAAAATTCGGACCATAAGTATTTTGACAACTAACAAAAGTGACGTAATCTGATGTAATTTTATAACTCTTAAAAATGCACCCTGGTAATTTATGATATCACAGCCAAGTGCCTCTTGTATGCACCCTGTTTATTGATATGTTACAGCCCAGTGGCGCTTAAATCTATTTATCTATAAAATAAGTTACTGGGGAAAAGGTCTTTATTCTAATAATCATAAGAATAGATTTTTAATTTTAAAATTATCTTATTATCGTCTGGTGCGAATCTAACATTTTAAAAGACATTGCCACATGGTTTTCGTTTTTTCCGGAATATTTATAAAATTATATACTTCACTGGTTCTTTGAAATATTTTTTTGTACGGCATAATGAAAATGAATCAGTAAGTATTGACAAAATGCATTCTGTTATTGTTCTATAAAAGCTTGAAAACAATCATTAAAAGACATTGGCAATCTTATTTTCATGTTTGTCACAAATACGCCGGAATTTTCTAAATGACAGAAAATAACACAGAAAACTAGAAAATGACCATAAATTTATAAAAGGCTATTTCAGTGTGTATGGGTGTTTTTTAAAATATTAAAATTTGATTTAGTTATTAGCTTTTTATCCTGGGATTAATTTGAGAAAATCTAGATCTAATAAATATATTCATTTTTTTTCACTCCGCAGCGAGAATTAATTTTGTATTTTTTTCTATTGTCTTGATATTGAATTTATGTGTGCATGCGTACATTTTTACATGTTATAATCATAATTGAACGGTCAGTATTTACGCATTTAACTTTTCAATAAACTAACATTCTATGCGGCTTGCATAGTTTTATCCCCCATTTACGTCACATCCGGTAAGGGAAGTAACTCTTCCCTGACTGTTATCGCTTAAATGAAAGGGTCTATAAATGATTGTAATTTTTTTTTTTAAGAGAGCTGATCCACTTCTTTTGTAGAATTAGAGGTTTTTGATATTCATTGCATTAAACTTTATTGAGAAATACACCAATTTGTGCACCCCAGCTTGTTTCTTTTTGACTTCATTTCTTTTGAAAATGTCAATATTTCTCTTTCCTTTATTGTTGTTTAAGAAATAATATATCCCAAATAGTGATTTTATCGTTAAATAACATCACTGTTTTGAGTTCGGATGCGAGGAATAATATGACGATGGCGTAGCCCGAGTGATATAATGAAGCAATAAAATCACTTATTTGGATATAGTATTTCGATTCTAACATGACTTCAACAAATAAATGTTGCCGTACTTGATAGCACAGCAAAATTGTGCCTGATTTGTTTCCATATTTATTTTCAGCGCATCGGATTTTTAGTGGTTACGTCATGTGTATAATGCTTACGGCCCATGTCTAAATATAGAAAGCCAAACTGTGCATCTGTTGCATAATAACACACACTTTCTGTTCTTTGTTCAATAGGGAAAAATGCGGGTTGTGTTAGAATTAATAATAACTTATTGTATATAAGCATTTAATCATATCTCTTTTTGTTTCGTCACATCAGGTGGAACATACAATAACGGAACAAACCTTGTTCAGGAAAGTGATTGTACAAATTGCCCGCAAGGATTTTATTGTCCAGAGGGATCGACTAATCCAATAGAGTGTCCACCAGGCTTCTTCTGTGCTCTTGTCGGGATGTCATCTGGGGCTCAAACCCCATGTCCTGCTGGTACCTACAGTAATGGAACTGGGCTGACAGGTAAGACTATTTTTAAGCTGTTTTGTTGGCCTGAGCACATAATTTTATAATCATCATTATTAAATATTTCATCAGTTATAACACACTCATACACTTTATACATTTAGTGCACTTACACAAAATGTACATGTAGTAAAATGTACATCTACAAAAATATGTATGAGGTTGACTGTTCCTTAATAAAAGTATTAACATAAATACCTAGAAAATGAAAACTTTGGTACCGTAACCATGGTAACTTACATAAAACTGGAGGGAGATCAACTACAATAGAGACAGGAAAACAATTTTGTTAAATAAACCTTCACTGCTTATGTTAACTTGATGGTTTATTTGCTATGGGGATAGATATTCTTAAATGAAAAATACCAAAATATTCATTTCAGATATTTTCCTATTGTACATATTTGATATAACAAGCTCATATCTATTTTAAGCTGATGCACAGTGTATAGACTGTCCAGTGGGCAGCTATTGTCCTGGTGGTCAAGAGAATGACCCAACAACGGAGCCCGTTCCATGTCCGGCTGGAACCTATAACCCATCAATAAAAGCAGTAGATATTGTGAACTGTCATCAATGTGAGAAAGGGTTTGCTTGTAACCAAACTGGAATGGATGATTCTACAATACTGCCATGTAAAACTGGTAAGGATTATTGTTTGTTTGCATTTCTTTTTTTTTTTTTTTTTTTTTTTTTTTTGTATGATAAATGTAAAAAATTTTTTTTTGGTTAGAGAATATTTATGCCCCCACAATGTGGGCACATATAGCGTTGCATTGTCCGTCCATCAGTCTGGTCAGTCCGTCCGTCCGTCCGTCCGTACGTCCGAAATCTTGTGAACGCAACTCCTTCTTAAACCGGATGGCAGATTTTTGCTTAAAACTTACCAGGGATGAACAACCTTAATGTGTAGATGGTAGTAAAGGAAGGAATTTTCGCTGCGACCAAATTTAACAGAATTATGGCCCTTTGTTGATTTTTTCACTAGATACTATGTAGAAATTTTGTGAACCGCAACTCCTCTTAAACCGATGGCAGATTTTGCTTAAACTTTACAGGGATGAACAACCTTAATGTGTAGATGGTAGTAAAGGAAGGGAATTTTTGCTGCGACCAAATTAAACAGAATTATGGCCCTTTGTTGATTTTTTCACTATATACTATTCCATGTAGAAATTTGTGAACGCAACTCTTTCTTAAAACCGGATGGCAGATTTTGCTTAAACTTTACAGGGATGAACAACCTTCAGGTGTAGATGGTAGTAAAGGAAGGAATTTTCGCTGCGACCAAATTTTACAGAATTATGGCCCTTTGTTGATTTTTTCACTATATACTATGTAGAAATTTTGTGAATAACCGGATGGCAGATTTTGCTTAAACTTCCAGGGATGAACAACCTTTATGTGTAGATTGTAGTAAAGGAAGGAATTTTTTGCTGCAACCAAATTTAACAGAATTATGGCCCTTTTTTGATTTTTTCATTATATACTATGTAGAAATTTTGTGAACGCAACTCCTCTTAAACCGGATGGCAGATTTTGCTTAAACTTGCTTAACAACCTTAATGTGTAGATGGTAGTAAAGGAAGGAATTTTTGCTGCGACCAAATTTAACAGAATTATGGCCCTTTGTTGATTTTTAGTTTTCAACTTGTGGCACATGTAGTCCAAAAAATATTTGACCTAGAGTCATAAGATTGACAGAACAGTGGCGTGTGGGGGCATCCGTGTCCTATGGACACATTTCTAGTCATTTTAAGCTTTGCTATTGGTAAGAATTATGGTCATTGCTTTTTTCCCCATTGTTTATGGTACAATAACTGGAACCATTTAGTTTGACTAGTTTATTATCATAATATTTCGCTTACCTAGAAGCTATGGTGACACAAAAAAAATATTGCCATCTGCTATTAAAATTTAAAATTGTGACCTTATAAGTTCCTATATATATTTGTTTTTATTTTAGGATATTATTGCCCTTTTGGAACCATCGAGTTTGACCAGTTCCCATGCTTACCTGGCAGCTATGGTGACACAAATAATTTGACGTCTGCCGATGAATGTAAAACATGTCCTGCAGGATGGATCTGCGGCTGGGCTACCACTGATTTCGGTGAGACTTTTTAAAATTTCAGTTATTAGACATTGCTATTATTATTTTTAAACTTCCTGCTCACTCTTTTCATTACAGTTAAGAGCAAAACAGTTTCTTTATACTTCATGCTCACTATAATCATAAATAGTAAAGAGCAAATCAAATGTTTCATACTTTCTGTTCACTGTTTATTACCAGCACTATGCCTCAGAAAACAAATTTTAAAAACAATTCTTAAGGTATGTAAAACATGTATTTTTTAATGTTTCAATAATTGATTAAGAGCAAGTAATATGTTAAACAACTAAAGAAATTAGACCTGAATGTGCAGTGATGTGTCGTAAAGGTAGCTTAATTTAAGCAAAGTAGTATTTTGACTTCCATACAAAATACTAATTCACTATAATTATACCATTTGCCAACAGAGCAAGCAAAAGAAACTAAAGATATTTCATACATAACAAGATAATGAAAGGAAAAAGTTTTTGAGAAATAAAATTAAAAGCATTCTTAGGCATAATGGGGCATTAAAGTAAAGAGCAGAATAGATATTTTATACTTTTCCCTGAAGTGAGGGCATCACTTTGTCCCTCCGTCTGTATTCATTGTCCTTAATAGTAAAACAAGCATAATTCATTTCCTGCTCACTTTAACTGTAAATTTTACTTTTATACTTTATGTTCATTTTTAGTTCCTCCTCACTTTTAAACAAAGACTATAAGATACATTTCATAGAACTCTGATCTTTTTATTCATGATATGAATGGGCAAAATATGTTTTGAAATATTTCATCTTGTTTCGTTTAAATAATTTCAGGTGACCATTCCCCTCCAGACCCATGTGCTCAGGGTCATTACTGTCCAGAGATGACCACTGCTCCTGACCAGTATCCTTGTCCCGCCGGAACATTTACAAATGCCAGTAACTTGTTCGAGGAATCACAATGTACCCCATGTACTGCAGGCTATTATTGTACAGGTAATATGACATGTAATAGTCATATAGAGGCCATGAATAAAGATTTTGTGTGATTTTTACCAGGTTTTGTGTTATTTTAATAAAAAGAAATACAAGCTGATATCAAATTTCAGGGGCTTATGACTCTCTAAGCTTACCTCTGGATCCATGCATGTTAAACTTTCAATACTTTTATTCATTTGACATCTGCTGTTGGATTCAACTCCCCCAATAAACAAGAAGTGAATTTAAAAAGGATTACAAAAAATCTTGATTTACTTGAGTAAAATAACATGCTATTTTAAAAGAAAAACCTTTGATAATATAGCATTGTATTTAGTTCTTCTTCTTCCTTTTTTACCCCACTAGGTGGCAATAAAGAAGAGTCTGGTATTTGCCCTCGAGGCTACTACTGCCCTCTAGGGACAACAATCGGCACAGAGTTTGGATGTCCTAATGGTACTTACAATGATGAAGAGGGACTCACTACCGTAGATGATTGCAAAAACTGTACTCAAGGTAAGAATTGTTATTGCATTAATAATGTGTTTCTTTGGTTTACAGATTTGTTATGCCGTAGAATCTCCCTATGGCTAGTTTATATGTATATATTTTTATAGCTCGATTGTAAAAGGGTATAAAGTTATATGTAAATATGAAATATTTTCTTAAAATTTATCAATGGTTAAATTTTAATGGTTCCATAATTTTACTATCTATTCTTTACAGATATGTAACATAAGAATGTCTTTGATATTTAGCACACTTGTACATAAGCCGGATAAAATTTCCTGTACAAAATATTCTGCCATTGAAAGTTTTATCCATAAAACAATGCTCTTGTGCATGTGCCATTGGCTTTTAATGCAATTTACTTCCATATTAATTTTACAAGATACTTTGTAGTATTCTTTTAAAAAATTCAAACAATAATTTTTCAGGAAGATAATACGGCTTTAATACACTTGAAAAATATTTAATAATATATTTTTTAGGAGAATATTTTTCAGGAAAATATTTGAAGGTTTATTTCCTTCTAGACAATATTGTGAATATATTTCTCAGCACATTATTATAACTACATTTTTTGGGACATTATTGCCAACACATTTCCCTGGACAATATGTCTGAATTTTCAAGACAATTTGTTAACTATATATTACAGGACTTAAATGCTATTTTATTTCTTGGGACAATATTATGATTATTTTTTTCAGGACATTATTGTGAGTTTGCAGTAAGTTCGACAACACCCTGTGCACAAAGAACATATATGCCTTATGGTGTAGACCCATTGGGAAGTCTTACAGCACTCCCAGTTGGTAAGTTTTACAATCTTTTTCATAGAAGAGCCTCCATTTTATGTTGAAATTTAAGTAACTGAGTTGGTAATGGTTTTATAAACTATATACATGTTAATGATGCAACCCTCGATATGTTATTATATCTTTAACTTAAGTAATCTTGTAACGAACGAAATTTCATTTTTACTTCCAGGTGTACCAGCTAAACGCCAATTTGAATGTCTGACATGTCCTGGTGGCTCCACGTGTTTAAATGGAACAATAGATCCGGTGCAATGCACCACCGGTTTCTACTCACCAGATGGAGCTATTGAATGTACTGTTTGTGAAATCGGGTGAGTGAATTTAAAGCCTCTATATTAATAGTAAATCTATTGGACATCAAATGCAAAATACTAAATACTGATATAAGCACCACTCCTTAGGCCCTTTCATGGTCTATGTCTTTTTGTGCTGGGCATACTCTGATATGGAAATCCGGTTGCGACCCCGAACAGTTATGATGTAAGGTGACGCACTCTACTAAAAAAAAAAAGAAGTTGTTTTTCAAGTGTCAGTTCAAGTTCGCAGGTTAGATTGATGGTTATTGATTTTACAAGACTATTAGCATGTAGGATGTCATGTGACCCCACCAGCAGTTAAGTAGCTGTTATGTGAATGCCGAGGTATTTCCTTACTTACCAATATTTCTTAAGGGAATACTATTAAACTTTTATTGAAATATGGCCAGCAAAGGTCATAGAAGGTATTTTTATGGTTTTTAGTAAATTCGTTTTTTCATCTTGTGTTATTTCAGACATTATTGTGATAACTTGACGACTTCAGAAGATGACATGAGAAACAACATGAAATGTCCCGCAGGTCGATACTGTGTGGCGGGACTTTCTGCGGAGCCGGATGCCGTTGATTGTGCCACAGGGCATTACTGCCCAGAAGGTGAGTTTGGAAGTTTTTATGTTTTCAAGTGAGTCGGCAGACTCTTATGTGTAAATTATGTGATGCTGCTTTATAATAAATGAAAAGGGTGAAAACTCTGTACATTAAATATTAAAATAGCAAACTTTCGGTTTTGTATTAAGTTTATAAATTTTCTTTTGAAGCTACTGTGGAGATGATAAATTGTCCAGTCGGTACAATGAGGACAACCGTTGGTGCTGGTGCTGTGACTGACTGCGAGCCATGTACAGCAGGTTACTATTGTCTGGAAGAGTCTTCAGGTACAACCGGAGCGTGTATTGAGGGATATTACTGTCCAACCAATCTGACAAATCCATATGGAGTAAATCCACCATACATCGGGTCGTATGGTAATGACATGGTAAGAACAAATTTTCATGTGCAGTAAATTCCACTTATAACAATAATATTTAGTGGACCGTCAATTTTATGTTGTTATATCTGGATATTATTATGCCCCCACTTCGAAGAAGAGGAGGTATATTGCTTTGCACTTGTCGGTCCGTTGGTCCGTCGGTCCGTAGACCAAATGGTTTCCGAGTGATAACTAAAGAACCCTTAGGCCTAGGAACTTCAAACTTGGTATGGTGATTGGTCATGACCAGTAGATGACTCCTATTGATTTTGGGGTCAAGGGGTCAAAGGTCAAGGTCACATTGACCTTGTAAGCAAAAACGGTTTCCGATCAATAACTAAAGAACCCTTAGGCCTAGGAACTTCAAACTTGGTATGGTGCTTGGTCATGATCAGTAGATGACCCCTATTGATATTCGGGTCAAGGGGTCAAAGGTCAAGGTCACATTGACCTCTTAGGTAAAAACGGTTTCCGATCAATAACTAAAGAACCCTTAGGCCTAGGAACTTCAAAATTGATATGGTGATTGGTCATGATCAGTAGATGACCCCTATTGATTTTGGGGTCAAGGGGTCAAAGGTCAAGGTCACATTGACCTCTTAGGTAAAAACGGTTTCCGATCAATAACTAAAGAACCCTTAGGCCTAGGAACTTCAAACTTGGTATGGTGATTGGTCATGACCAGCAGATGACCCCTATTGATTTTGGGATTAAGGGGTCAAAGGTAAAGTCACATTGACCTTGTAGGTAAAAAACAGTTTCCGATCAATAACTTAAGAACCCTTAGGCCTAGGAACTTCAAATTTGGTATGGTGATTGGTCATGACCAGCAGATGACCCCTATTGATTTTTGGGTCAAAGGTCAAGGTCACATTGACCTTGTAGGTAAAAAGGGTTTCTGATCAATTAACTAAAGAATGCTTAGGCCTAGGAACTTCAACTTTTGTATGATGGTTGGTCGTGACAAGCAAATGACCCCTTTTGAATTTTGGGTCAAGGGGTCAAAGGTCAAGGTCATATTGACCTTGTTAGTAAAAACGGTTTCTGATCAATAACTAAAGAACGCTTAGACCTAGCAACTTTAAACTTGGTATGGTGATTGGTCATGACCAGCAGATGACCCCTATTGATTTTGGGTCAAAGGTCAAGGTCACATTGACCTTTTTGGTAAAAACGGTTTCCAATCAATAACTAAATAACGCTTAGGCCTAGAAACTTCAACCTTGGTATGATGATTGGTCATGGCCAGCAGATGACCCCTATTGATTTTGGGGTCAAGGGGTCCAAGGTAAAGGTCACATTGACCTTGTAGGTAAAAACAGTTTCTGATCAATAACTAAAGAATGCTTAGGCCTAGGAACTTCAAACTTGGTATGATGATTGGTCATGACCAGTAGATGACCCCTATTGATTTTGGGGTCAAGGGGTCAATGTCATATTGACCCTGTACTTAATGAAGGTTTCTGACCAATAACTCAACAACTCAAGTTGCCTTGGTTGATATTTTTATATTGAACTAAAAATGCTTTTGGTAAACACATTTGAAGGTCTTATGTAATATAACAACTTGGCTGTTATTAATGAGGCCTACATGATTCATAAAATTTATGCATATATTATTTGGTAAGATTTGTAATAACTTAAATTGCTGCACACAACCTATGGGGTCACAATAATTATTACCTTGTGACTAAACATGACCAGAAGATACTAGATAACCCTTATTAATTGTTATTTCACTGGGTCAGAAGTCATGCATTATAACCTGATCACATGACTAATTGGCTGCTGATAGGGGGCATACTTGTTTTACAAACATATCTTGTTATCTCTGAGAGGCAATCAATTTGAAAGTAAGTCGGGACCGTTGCTTCATCATTATAAGCAATATATCATTATAACCGTATATGGAAATATCTGTATATTTTTCTATCCAGCATTGTAAAAAAAGGTCAGTGTTTTTAAGGAAGTGATCCCTTGTTCCAGATAGGCATATAATGCATGGAGAGGCATCCAAGGTCTTTCAGTATCAATAAAGCTTGATATTCTCTGTTTTGCAGTAATGGTATCTGTGAGATGAAAATATCAATAATGAAATATGGATAGTTATATAAATATGCTTACACTTACATGTCTGTACACCACAAAGTATATCAAAAATAATAAATAGAACATTTCAATATTTCATTTTACTGTATTGAGTAATATTTCAGATTTTGAAAAAAAGCAAAAATTCCCATATGAATTAATCCTTACCCCACTAAAATTGTAATATGAACTTGTCCATTTTTAAATCTGGACAAAACCATTCGTCATTTTTTAGGGAGTATTATATTGAATAATTAAAAATGCAGATCATGATCGAACGGCACATCTGTGTCAGCTGATCTTGGTCTGCACTGGCCGCCAACAGCAGACTACAGGTTATATAATGTTATAAACATGTTTACAGTACAAGTGTCCGGAAGGTACGTACACCAACGTCACGGCCACTCCGGATCTGGCGAGCTGTCTGGAGTGTCCCGCAGGTTACTTTTGTGGCCTAGCAACCAATCAACCGGAAGACTGTACTAGAGGTTACTATTGCCCAGCAGGTTCAGAAAAACCGACACCGTGTCCAATTGGAACATACGGAAACGATACAAGTGAGTTAGCTTTGTTTGACCTAAGAACTTTCATAAACTGACCAATGAAATTTTTTCTACATTTCGCCACCTTGACAATTGATCTTGGACTGGTTAATTATCCGGGAAAGAAAGTTAGGCAGATATACCACAGAGATATGACCAAAAACTGAGATTAAAATTTGCGTAAAAACAAAATCCTTTGTATGATTGTACACTTTTTTATGATAGAAAAAAAACTTTTATAAAACCCACACTTAAGTGCCTTAAAAAAGTAGTAAGTCAAATATCATATGCCAACATACGCTGCATTATGTCGTTTTTCTTTTACAGGAAAGCCAGATATCTTTAAATGTCATTTTAATGTATAATCCTACTGTAAAAGTATTTTGATCTAACAATTTCTATCATTTTCACAGATTTGGTGGCATTGGACAAATGTACTGACTGTGACCGCGGCTATTATTGTGACGCCCCAGGTTTGACCCTACCGCGTGACCAGTGCGACCCTGGATATCTGTGTTACAGTAAAGCTACGACATCGACTCCCACTGAGGTGGCCACACAAGGGGGAGAACTCTGCTCTAGGGGAGGCTACTGTGTTAGAGGTGAGTTTATACATTAAGTTCATACATTTGAGCAAAAGTTTATTTTATTTTTACTACATCAAGTTGCCTTGGGAGAATTTACATGTAGTACTAATGGAGATTGCTGTGTGCATGAAATATGTATAACTAAAAAAAAGATCTTCAGAAAGGCAAATAACTATTGAGGAGCACTTTTGCGCCGGGGGAGGCTATTTTGTGGAGTAGTTTTAAATAATCTCTTCAGTAAAGGAGATGTCATCTTTGCTAAGACAAATCTTTGTGCTTATTGTATTTAAGTATATAATAATATGAGATATTTTACAATATTTGCTAGAAATCTGTAGTTATTTATAGAAAATATCTTATCTTCGATTAATGTTTATGAAGTCAGTAATCAACTACAAGATATCATGAGTGTAAAGGCTATTCTTAGTAAGCAATTAAGTTGAATATTAATGTTCAAATATCCTTTCCTTTGGAACAAAAAGTGATTTTATCCTTTGTGTGCTATTTTCCACCTATTTACAGGATCATACGAGGCCGCACCTTGTCCCCTCGGTACCTATAGCAACATCACAGGAGCAATAGATACGTCAGAGTGTACGACCTGCGACCCGGGATATTACTGCAGCAGTGTCGCAGGTGGCGAGCCCACTGGACCGTGCGCTGCTGGTTTCTATTGCGAACAGGGGTCGTCTAGTGCATACCAGTTCTCAGCTCGACCAGGTATGTTAAGAAAATGTTTGACTGGTTAAGTTACGAAGCCCGTGTAGCCAAGTGGTTAAAGTGCCATGCAACTAAATTGGCAAAATGCATCTACAAAAAATGTTTTTATAGTTTAAAAGTATATAAATAATCACACTTTGTATGTAGTATGCGAAATTTGACAAAATTTATTATTTTCAATGCTAAAAAGTTGCAAACAGAGTAAGAAAAATTTTCCTGTTGTAAGTATTTTCTGTGGATTATGAATAAATGTATTGCCAGATACTTTTTGTTTGAATAATTGATAAAGCTACAATATCATTGACTGTTTTGTTATAACAACAAGCTTTTCATTCCTATTTTCAGGTCACTTTACAAATGAAGGTGCAAGAGCAGAAGAAGAATGCCCGATTGCGACATACGCACCATTCTACAATTCCAGCTCATGTAGCATATGTCCGGCTGGTTTCTATTGTCCAGATAAGGCCATGAACTATACCATAATTTGTCCGGTTGGAACATACTGTCCGGAAGGGAGCTACCAGTATTATACATGTCCTCCGGGAACATTTTTGAATGAGTGAGTTTATTTTTGCCTTAGGTACTGTGAGTCCACTAAAATTTGTGGGCATAAAATTTTATGACTTTGTCACAAAGCACATTTTTGTGGGTTGATAAATTTATGAAAAGACTGCTTTTGCAAAACAGTAACATGTAAATAATGTAATTCTGAATAAATTTACAGCAGATAAGTTAACTAAATTGTAGGGAAAGTTTTATGAACCAGAAAAATTTTGTTAAAGATATTGAAACTCTGTTTTCTTTGTTACAGGACTGGAAAGTCAAGCTTGAGTGACTGCGTAGACTGCCCGACAGGTTACTACTGTCAAGACAGAGGACTATCTGAGGTAACGGGGCCCTGTAAAGCTGGTCATATTTGCTACTTGAATGGTCTCGATGACGACCCTGTGTATAACGATGATAATTCTACCGGACTTACTATTGTAACATATGGTGACAGGTGCCATCCTGGCTTTTATTGCCCGCAAGGGACGACATACATGGTCCCGTGTCCTGAAGGAACTTATCGTGAGCATTATAGCGGCGCTTCCGTTGGCGATTGTACAATTTGCGACCCTGGCAAATATTGTGATGGTACAAACAATACAGGGGTTACAGGTGAGTTTTCTAGTATTTTCTAGGTCAAAGGTCAAGGCTTAAAGGTTATGTAAAGGTCACGGTAAAGGTCACAGTTAATTATGGACATTTAATAACTTGTTTATTACATATCCTGATATTGTTTTATACTAATGTGAAAAATGATTGATTCTATGAATTTTTTACAATTTGTGCTTTTTTTATGCCAAATATACATTTTAAGGTAGAAATTTAGAAAGATTTATTTGTTAAATGCAAAAGATATAAATATGGGTAGACATAATTTTATTCATAACTTTGAAATTAATTTTCTTTGCAGGTGACTGTGACCCAGGATATTACTGTAACAATGGTTCACACATTGCATCACCAGTCGACGGCATTATTGGAAACATTTGTCCACAGCATAAATACTGCCCGCAGGGTGCTGATGTTCCGAAATCATGTCAAATTGGTTACATGGCTAATCGGACAGGAATGGATGCATGTGAATTGTGTATAGCAGGATACATCTGCTATCCGGATCAAGCACCGGTATTATGTCCGCAAGGTAATAACCATTGTCCACATAGTAATATTCTTTTGCAATATCCATACAGTAATAACCCTTTTTCTATATCCATACAGTAATAACCCTTTTTCTATATCCATACAGTAATTACCCCTTTTCTATATCCATACAGTAATTACCCTTTTCCTGTAATTGTCGATACAGTAATAACCTTATTCATATATCCAATCAGTAATGATCTTTTTTCTATATCCAATTACTAATAACCCTTTTCCTTTAGTAACCCATTTCCTATATCCAATTACTCATTATCCTTTTCCTATATTCATACAACAGTAATAACCCTTTTCCTATATCCATTCAACCCTTTTCCTGTATTCATACAGTAATAACCTTATTCTTATATCCCAGCAATAATAACTTTTCTTCTATATTTATACAGTAATAACCCTTTTCCAATATCCATACAGTAATAACCCTTTATCCATACAATCCTTTTCCTGTATTCATACAGTAATAACCTTATTTTTATATCCCAGCAGTAATAACTTTTCTTCTATATCTATACAGTAATAACCCTTTTCCTATATCTATACATTAATAACCCTTTTCCTATATCCATATAGTATTTACCCTTTTCCTATATCCATTCAGTATTTACCCTTTTCCTATATTCATAGAGTAATTATGCTTTTCCTATATCCTTCTGCTGATTCAGAAATCATTTGTGATGAATTTTCATTAACTTGTGAAGAAATAAGTTGTTACTGGTTAGTTATCCAGGAAAGTTGGTTGAGTAGTTATCCAGGAAAGTGGGTTGTTTAGTTATCCAGGAAAGTGAGTTGAGTGGTTATCCAGGAAAGTCGGTTGTTTAGTTATCCAGGAAAGTTTGTTGGAAAGAGTGACTGCGGAGATATAACCAGAATGTGTTAAGATCCGCATAAAAACCAAATTGAACAAATCATAAGTTTGATATTATATAAAGAGGCTTTATATGTTAATTGTTTATTTTTTGTTGTTTTTCAGGAAAGTACTGTGTGGCTAGTACTGTACTTATTCCAATAACAGCAGGTACTGACTGTCCAAAAGGAACTTATGGTGCAGCAGAGGGACTTGAATCTTTGGATAATTGTACTGCTTGTGATGCAGGTTTCTATTGTGAAACTGCTGGTAATTATCTCCCTTATTGCCTTACCTGGGTTTTTTATTACCTCCCCTGTTACACTTTATTATCTCCCTTTCATTGTGAAAAAACGGTTTTTGTTAATGTGAAATTTTTTGTAAACTGTATTTTAAATTACATGGGTCTATTGCCTTCATTATTTTTATTCATTATCTCCATTTCACAACAAAAAAAAGATGTTCTTTTGTTAAAGTAAAATAAATGTTTTATATGCAAGATGAAATATATATAAATTGTCTCCCTTGTTGCAGTTTAATACCTCCCCTTATAGATTAATGTGCTAAAGAGCACAAAAAGTCTGTGCATTCTCCCACACAGTTATAGTGCAACATTACCTTGAATCTTGAGAATTTTTTTTTTTGAACTAAGAAGATTTTTATCATTTTCTAAGAAATCAACCATCTTTTTAACAGCTTTGTTTGAAAGCTATGTTATAAAAATAGTATCACATATTTATAGACAAAGAAGTTAGATGATTGATAATAGTGTTTGGTTTCGTTTCTTTTCAGGCTTAACAAATGTAACAGGCCCCATAACGGCTGGTTACTGGGCACTGACTGGGGCAGAAGTTGCAACACCGGTTGTTGATGACAATCCTGATTATGGACTTTGTCCGAGGGGCCACTACTGTCCAGAACAGTCCACCTATCCCACACCATGTCCGGCAGGCACATATGGGTAAATATCTAGTTTAATTTTCAAAAAAAAGTTGTAACGACACTTTTACATTGTAGACTGATGTTTTGATGGTATCTTGCACATTCAAGAACCATCCATGATTAGGTCCAATCAAATGGGGCTTTCATCATCTTCGATTTTTCAGTTTTAGGCGATCTTAAGGAATTTCTTTTTTCCCTATTTTTGAATATTGTTCCTTCTGGCCAGTTTGGGTTCAAATCCCAGCTAAACAGAGAATGCTTTCATAAAAGAAAATATTTAAGCTGGTTTGCTGAAGGTGGTTAATGGACATTTAAATAAATTACCATTCTTCAAATAAAATCTGGTTGACTTAAAACTTAAAAATGAGACAGCCAGGTTGGGCACTTTGGTTGGGTTTTATGTCAATCATTTTTTTTTTTTTTTTTTTTTTGGGGGGGGGGGGGGGGGGGGGAGAGCAGGGGCTTTGTATTATCCAATCATATTTACCAATGTAATGTCTGCTATATTATAGTTACTGAGCAGCATGTATAGTGAGAATAAACAATGCAGCTCTTCGGTTTCTAAATAAATTTACCAATGATTCCACAGAGAGGTAATGCCATGTGAATTTGGGCAGGGCTTATCAGCTAGTGACTTATACTAGCTGACCAATAGCGAGTCAATGTATTACAGGCCTCTTCCAGTAAAGCTGGGACAAAGACACATGTTGGATGTTTGAAAGACGAAAAATCATTGGTTAAAATCTTTGCATGAACATTTTATATTTTTGTTAAATCTACGTTTCAGACCGTCAGAATTTGTTACGTCATTAGCTGGTTGTGTAGACTGTGACCCAGGTTACTATTGTCCAACATCGAACATGTCAACGACTGGTTCCCAGTGTACAGCAGGATATTACTGTACAAGCAAGTCCTCGGAAGCGGCACCAGTCAATGCTAGTTTCGGAGATATTTGTCCAACAGGTAACTCTAATAACATTGTACTGTCCGATGTATATATATGAATTTAAATCTAAATCTATAAAGTTTATAGGCTTTGTGGTTGTATGCCCAATTGTCACAGAAATAATGAACAGTATTATTTTTAATATTCTTTTATTGCTAAAATCTATACCATACATAAATGAAATGTAAAAGTTTGATTTTTTTCTGGTCATGTTATTACCGTAAATTAATGCTGTAGAAATAATAGAGAACAATAATTTATTGGTATGTATATGAACCATATGGTGAGGTGTCAATTTGGTCACCTTAGTGCAGAAACGGGATAACTTCTTTTAAATTTCAATGGAAGTTAACCCATTACTGCACGATAAGTGAAATGTCTTCTTGCGTTTCTATAGGTCATTACTGCCCAATTGGTGCCTCAGAAGCCAGTCCTTGCACCGCGGGAACATATGCCGACACAACTGGCAAATCTTCCTGCGATCAGTGTCCGCAAGGTTTTTACTGTCCATTGAACACAACAGATCCAATCAGTTGCCCAATGGGATATTACTGCATAGCAGGCCAGGCTTCAGAGGCTGTGTACCCATGTCCAGTAGGGAAATTCAACAACCTGACAGAACGTTACCAAGCCAGTGATTGCGTGGATTGTCCACCTGGGTACGATGAGAATTTAAAAAAAAAAAATTGCCAACTTTAAAATAACTTCATTTCACAATTCATTTGTAATTATATTATACTTGCTTTTGTTCTATAATGTAAGAGAAAACAAAATTCATTCACGTATTTGCACAGATATTGTTTAGACTTTACAAACTTTGTATGTTGTGGTTTTAGAGGTTTTGTCAAGTGTCATTTAAATCTAATCAAGATATAACATGTGATGCCCTCATCTTTATTGCTATAAAATAGTGCACGGAAGGGCATCTGAGGTCTTCCTCCACCAGTAAAGCTGGAACGTCGCGATATGACCTATACTGTGTCAATGTGATATAAAACCCCAAACAAACAAACAAACAGAATCAACATGATACAAACAAAATAGAAGAGTGGCATTATGCAATAAATTCTTTGTCAATTTTTTTATCAGCTTAATATGTAAATTTTAAATCAAGTTATATACACTTTTCAGCATATGTTTTGTAAAAAATGTATTTGAAATTCAATTTTTTAACTTCAGGTTCATTGTTTTGTTCATTCTTTTCTCCTTTTCTTCAGATATTATTGTGACTCCCAAGGACTGGGGACGCCAACAGGTCAATGTGACCCAGGCTGGTACTGCACAGGGGCATCTGTTTCAGCACAGCCAACAGTTAATGCACAGGGGGGTGTCTGTGTGGCAGGAACCTATTGTCCAATTGGAAGTGCATATGCCATACCATGTGACCCAGGACAGTTCTGTGCCAATGACGGTAAAATTTTGTTGTTGAGAAAATAAATACTTTTAGAGTAAAAAAATAAGAATTTTAAAGATAGTTAAAGTACCTTGCATGTTTTTAGTAAATAAATATAATTATGATTGTTAGAAAAAGATGCAGAATGATAGAAATAGTATATCGGTTGCATTTCTATCATGTTGGAATTGTTTTTTCTATCCTACTTAGTGAAAGGCTTTAAGGGCACTTGTTCCTATCTGTTTCAAAATAACCAAACAAAACAGGAAATAGATATTGAGTAAAGGTTCAGAACCTAATAAGGGCCTCTGTTGCCAAGTGGGTTCAAATCACTGTGGGTTCGAATCCCTTCATGGACTTTGGTTTCTGCCATGTTAAGAAGCTATCCAGCTAACTAAGGTATTGTCAGTGGTTTTACTCGTATGCCATGCCATCTCATGCATGAAATAATGATTATAGGGAACCTAAGGTTTTCATCCAACCAGTAAATCTGGAAAGCCATCGTATGAACATATCTACATTTCTTGCTTTAATATACAAATGTTTTAGCATATTTATGTCTCTATTTTCCAGGTCAGGATAGCAGTAATGGAACATGTAGCGCTGGGTACTTTTGTTCTGGCTCCTCAATTTCCGCAACACCAACAGGACAAAGTTATGGTAATTGAATTTTTATAGTCTTCTATTAATATACTGTATAAAGTGGTAAAATGAGCCACTCAGAAGTCGTGGTGAATTTCCCAAATTGACAAAAATTGCTAAAATTTTATCTAGTGTTAACATTAACCAACCTGTCATTACAGTCTACAGTAGGTATTCGAGATTGCCGATTCACTAATATTTTCTCATACGAAATGTCTGGATTTTTAATTTTGACATGTGGAAATATCCAGGATATATACAGTACATTCTCTACCATTGTAAATAGATTAAACTTTAATTATTCAATAATTATTCAATAACTTGTACAAAAAAGTAAGTACTTGGATTTTAATTTCACGAGATTGAATTGTGGTTGAGAGGAAATAACAATTCAAATTGATTAAGGTGCATAAACTAAATTGGTACTTTTTTTTATAGATGTATGCTGTATATTTGTTACAGAGGAATGCTAAATGATTTCAATTACAGGTGACATATGCCCGGCTGGGAAATACTGCCCGGAAGGAAGTCCAGCCGGTATTAATTGCCCTCCAGGGACCTTCATGAACACAACTGGTGCAACCGCAGAGTCTGAATGTTTCCAGTGTACGCAAGGATATTATTGTGACGGGTACGGGAACACGGCAGTTGACGGGCAATGTGACGAGGGCTATTTCTGTCCTCCAGGCATGAATTCTTCAAATCCAGCAGAAAACATATGTGGCCAAGGTAATATAATAAAACATATTAACTAACCAGTTTTAATAAAACATAATAACTTACCAGATTTAACAGAACAAGAAAATGAAAAATTTGTTTGATTTTCAGAATATTCTGTAATTTACGCAATTTGCTACAGTTCTCGTGTTCCTGAACTTGGAAATTGCATTTCTATTTCATTTTATAATTTATTTTGAAAAAGTTGAAACCAAAGTCCCAATTTCCCTCACAGACTATTTTTAGTACTGCTATCCTACAAATTAAAGTTGAATCATTCTTTTCCCCTTTATTTTTACAGGACATTACTGCCCGATGGGTAGTCATGAAGAGATCAGATGCTTGTCAGGTTTATACCAGGACGAGACGGGACAGTCAACATGTAAGATGTGCCCAGAGGGATACTACTGTGATAATGCCATTGCCCCGGTCATCCTGTTTAATAATACCATCTGTCTCCAAGGTAACAAAAGAATAAAAAAGCAAAGATATTTTATTATTTTTGTTTATACATATTAATCTTTAATACATGTTTAATAGTGGTATTGGGGTGTCCATGGCCTAATACATGTTTAATTGTGGTATGGGGGCGTCCGTGGCCTAATACATGTTTGATTGTGGTATGGGGGGCATCCGTGGCCTAATACATGTTTGATTGTGGTATGGGGGGCATCAGTGGCCTAATACATGTTTGATTGTGGTATGGGGGGCATCCGTGGCCTAATGCATGTTTGATTGTGGTATGGGGGGCATCCAAGGCCTGATGCACGTTTAATTGTAGTATGGGGGTGTCCGTGGCCTAATACATGTTTAATTGTAGTATGGGGGCATCCGTGGCCTAATACATGTTTAATTGTAGTATGGGGGCATCCATGGCCTTATACATGTTTAATTGTGGTATTGGGGCTGATGATTATAACTTTAAAAACCTTGTGTTTTTTCCTGAAGAAGCATAAGGGCTGTAACTGATTGGGGCATGCCCAGGGCACATCTCTTTGAATACCATAGCTTTTATAAAGCAAAGTAGTATTTTAAATGCTCTTTACCATTAACAGAGATTGGAGCGAAAAGTTTGTGTTTGTGTTTACATATGTGTATATAGATATCTTTTTATCTTAAATAGTGTTTACAACTAACTCAAATATGGCCAAATAATAAAGTTAAAAGTTTAAACTGTCACAATACCCGTTACTTGATACAGTTTTAAATTTCAGACCTTATCTGTTGATGGACGCAAAACCTCATTATTGTATGTCATAAAAGTATTTTTTGCTCTAAAACTTTAGGATACTATTGTCCCAATGGAACACAGTACAGTACACAGTTCAGATGTCCGGTCGGAACATATGGTAACAGTACAGGTCTGACTCAGATATCAGAATGTACACCATGCCCAGGCGGTTATTACTGCGACCAAGAAGCTCAGACTACCTACACGGAACTCTGTAACGCAGGGTAAGCTTCAATTTACTTCCATTTTAAACAGTAATGATTATCTGATCATTAATCACAACATAAAATTGACACTAAAAAGTATTGTGAGAGATTTCAACATTGACCAATTAATATTTTGTTCATATCAAGCGTTCCAATGCTGGCGGGGATGAAAATATAATAAAGTTTGAAATATGTTTAACCCTTACCCCTCTTATTCTCTTAAATGGACCAGCCCATCTTTCGATCTGGACAGAACCATTCATCATTTTGAGGGAAAGTTTCTGAAATAAGCTGTGACTGAATAGACAGTTGCCCCCAGCTGGCTTAGGGGTTATGATAAATGCATTGCAAGTCTCCAGATGAGTTTTATTACAAAGAATAACAATCACAACATCGATATTTTTAAACAGGTACTACTGTCGCCAAGGAGCTGAAACTGGCACGCCAATGGAAGACGATGACGCCTACCAGTGTCCAGTCGGCCATTATTGTCCAGTACAAACAAGCGAGCCTCAAAAATGCCCAGCGGGAACGTATTCCAACAATGTGCGTCTTACTGCAGAATCAGAATGTACAGATTGTCCTGCAGGGTCATATTGCGGGGAATTAAACATGACAACAACCAGTGGACTGTGTTATGCAGGATATTATTGTCCAAACGGTTCTTCAAGCCCGACAGAACTAGACTGCCCCAAAGGTCATTATTGTGGAAACGGGACTGGTACACCATCACCTTGTCCAAAAGGTAAGACTGGTTTTATTAATGAATAACAGTTTATAAAAACAGTTGTGTATAAGATTGTGAAAATATGCCAGATAATGCTGGAAATAATTCGTTATAGAAATACCTGAAGTCTTCCGCCACCAGTAAAGCTGAAAATTCATACAACCTTTATACAGTGTTGAAAGAAATGTATATGAAAACCCAACAAAGTCATTAGTTTGTCCCACTTGAAATACGAAACGGCATTATACAGATACAAAATAAAATAAAAGAGTTACACAGGATGATACAATAAAGTATAAAGTTCCTTAAAACCTTCTTAAATTTTGATGGTTAATTCACCATTAAAAATACAACCATAAATAAAGGTAAAATTTAAACATTTTTGTTTTAGTTTTTACAAAAGTTGATACATGTGCTAATAACATTAATAAATGATTTTGTTGATTATTTTACAGGCACATATTCAAACCAGACTAACTTGATGTATCAAACAGAATGTGATGATTGCCCTGGAGGCTACTACTGCTTGGAGGAAGGTTTGACTGAGCCCAGCGGTCTTTGTGGCGAAGGTAATGTATACCTTAAAAAAAAAACTTTCCGTTTGACCGAGCCCATTGATCTTTGTGGCGAAGGTTATGTATACCGTTAAAAATTAAACTGGCTGTTTGTTTGAGACCAAAGGTTTCTGTGGCGAATGTAATATATACAGTAAAAAAAATAAACTGACAGTTTGTCCGAGCCCAATGGTCGAAGATAATGTATACAGTAAAAAATTAACTGACAGTTTGACAAAGCACAGCAGTCTCTGTAGCAAAGGTAATATATACAGTAAAAAAAAAAATGACGGTTTGACTGTGCCAAGCGGTCTCTGTGGCAAAGGTTATGTATACAGTAGAAAAAATAAATTGACCATTTGACCGAGCCCAATGATCTCTTTGGCAAATTTGATTTTCATTTTTAGCTTGATTGGCGTCACACTTAGGTTAAGTTTCTGTATGCAAGTTGGCATTTCCAAAACTACTGAAAGGAATAGGTTGAAACTTCACACAATTATTTGAGATCATAATAGAATGTCATTTTCCAAGGACCATAACTCTTAACATGGGTTTTGAACAGATTGTGGCCCTTTTTAAACGTAGAAAATTCTACATTATCAAGGCTCCTGTTTTACTATTAAGCACTGAGAATTTGTCAAGCAAGTTGTCTTACAATAGCTCAATCATGTTCTTATGATTATTTTTGCAACAAATATTTATGAAATATATTGTGTTTCCTATAAATATGGGTCTTAATTCTTTTTTTAAACAAAAAGAAGAAAAAAATGTTTGGTATTTATGTATAACAATTTGTCTATTTTATATTATAGGGTACTATTGTCCTGTGGGAACTATATACCAGCAACCAAACACCACCTTCTGTCCTGTAGGACATTACTGTCCTAACGGATCATCCCAGGCCTTACCATGTACCAATTATACAGAGGTAAGCGTAACAATTCATATTTTGTAATTTTAGTGTTAAAGAGTTCCAACTTTTAATTGTTTGTTTTTTTTTGTTGTATTACTTTATGCTCCACTGTTAAAAAGAAAAATACATCAAAGAAAAGAATGATAATGTAAATCCAAACTTCTGCCAAGTTTATGATTAAAGATAAGAGTATTTGATAATTAGAGGTAGACTATATAAACATTTTATATTTTGATTTTATTTAGATATAAGTATAGGTCTTATATGCTTAAAATTTATTTGAGGTAGGCGGTAACATTTATGTTAATATAGAGAAAAATGATAACAAAAATAATGCTGAGGTAGGCTGTAACATTATTTTTTTTTCAAATTGATAATTATTGAAAGAGGTATGCAGTACCATATTAACATTACATTTGTAAATTTTAGCAATTATAGGTCAGAGGTGGGTGATTAAGGTCGTTGTTTGTCTAAATTAAAAAATCTTTTTGTTTCAGATTCACCATCCACCCTTAATAAGTCTGGAGGTGAGGCACAAATTTTAGAAAAAATAAAGGGTCAAATAAGTGGAAGATTTATTAAAACAAAACAAATGTGTGACTTAAATGTGAAGTAATTTATATATATAATTATTTTTCATTTTTCAAGGTCAACCATACACATGCTGTTGAATGTAACCAGTGTCCGGCCGGATTTTATTGCGACTCCGCCATTGGTGAGAAGACGGTCTGTCCGGCTGGATATTATTGTCCGGCTGGAACCGGTCTTGACTGGCAGGCGTGTCCTAGAGGTACATACAGTAACACAACCGGATTACATATGCAGAGTCAGTGTACACCTTGCGAAGCTGGAAAGTATTGCGAAACAGAGCACCTTACTGAACCCACAGGTATGATGTTGATAACATAATATTTTGCTCATACAAAAATAATGAGAGAAAATAGATGTTGAAAATGGTAAAAGTAAATATCTTGAAAAGTATGTTTGGAAAGATAATTTAATCTATGGAAAGGGTTTTTCTAGTTACTTTAACTTTTTGAGTGGTTCCACTTTATTACTCAGCATAACTTTTAATGTTGTTTTCTAATTGGTCAACCAGGTGATTGTGCGGCCGGTTATTACTGTACGTCCGGAGTCGACATGCAACGTCCAAATGGTACAAACTCTGGAACTGGAGATATATGCCCTCTAGCGCACTACTGCCCAGCAGCCAGCCCTATGTACTTACCATGTGAGAACGGCACCTATGCCAACAGTCTTGGTCAAACCACCTGCGATACTTGTGTACAAGGTGAGAAAAATTTACTTTCAGTTATGCAATTTAAGGTAGTTTTACTGCAATGCTTTCCCGCCAAAAATTTGCTAACATCGGCCAATACCTTAATAACTTGGTCATTTCCGGAACGTTATTTCTTCGCTATCTTCGGTATATAATATTTTTTAGCAGTTTATGACGGAATTTTGTAAATAGCGATAAAGGATGAGTGATTGTAAATAATTCTATGCCCAAGACTTTGATAAAATAATGTTCCGGATAAGCTCTAACTGATTTGCTATGCTATGGCTGTTGTTAGAATTTTTAGTTGGGAAAGCAATACATAAAGACTACCTTAAAGATTCTTATCAATCATATGTTAAAACATCATCTTAGATTAATGTACTTACTGTTTATAAATGATTACATATTTTTTGAATGTCCATGGATAGATTTTCTTAATAATTTTTAAATAATTTTATTCAGGGAGTTTTAATATGTCCAGCTATCTTACGGAAAGTCAGTGGTTCTACTCAGGTCCCTGTTCGTGCCTGAAATAATGCATGGAAGAAGAGCACCTGAGTTTCTTCACCAGTAAAGCTGGAAATGTTGCTATATGACCTATACTGTGTTGGTGTGACATAAAACCCAATCAAACCAACACATTTAATATATTATAGAAATAATTATATCAGTTTAACATTTCCCTCTGTGTTATAATTAACAGGTCATTACTGCCCAGATCAGACAGATGATTATACGAGTTTCCCATGCCCTCAGGGACACTATTGTCCAGACGGTACCCGGGAACAGTTTGAGAACCCATGTCCTAAAGGAACATTCAATAACGCTACGTATGGAACCAGCTTGGCTAACTGTTATACATGTACATGTAAGTATTTTACTTTTTGTATATACATGTATGTTGCTTCCTTACATACAATGAAAATACTAGTACATGATGATTATTTATTTAATAGTAGGGGCTTCAGTGGGCAAGGGGGGGGACTAGAGTACTAATGAGTATAAATAGAATTAAAGTTCACAGGTAAAGGGTTTTTTTGGTTCGTTTTATTTATATTTTTATTTATTTTATTTTTTTTATTTGTTAATTTTATTTTTTTTTTTCTTTTTTTTTTTATTTTTTTTTTATTTTTATTTTCTTTTTTTTTATTTTTATTCTTTTATTTTTTATAAGGGTTGGGGGGGGGGGGTGAGGGGAATTAAAAGTTTTATATAAATAGATTAGATAGATAAACAGATTTTTAAGCAAAATTTGAAAGATTTATATAAAATTCAAATAAAACGTCAGAATCATTTTTCCATTTTTTTTTCCCAATTGATAATATGTATTAAACGGTATGTTGTGTTTTTATGCATACAGTTAATGTGAAGGAAAAAAAAAACAAACTATTTTTTCAAAAACATTTTACAGCGGGAATGTATTGTCAGACTGATGGCTTGTCAGATCCTACCGGCCTGTGCTCGGCCGGTTACTACTGCGATGGTGGATCCGAGACTCCGACCCCAACCGGAGCTGGTGGCGGATATTGTACATCCGGTTACTACTGTCCCGAAGGTTCAACTGAAATGACACCATGTACGCCAGGGCATTTCTGCGCATCTGATTATTTGAACGAAACTTCTGGTCCGTGCCAAGATGGTTATTACTGTATTTCCGCGGCAACGATTGCTAACCCTACTGATGGCACAACAGGTATGTTTTTATAACATATTTTTATGAAATTTGTAAATGTTTGTTGTTTTATTTTATTATGATGATGCAAAAGATTACCTGTTTTAGATAAAAAAAAATCATAAATCAAGTTCTTTTAATGTTTACAATCCGATGATGGTTCTCAGTCAAGAATATACAGTAAACTTCACATATAGCAAACACGGTTATAGCGAACTTCCGGTTATAAGGAACAAAATTTTTTGGCCTGAATTTTACCCTTCTTTATTTAATGTAAAAAATTACAGTTACAGCGAACACGTTTATAAGGAATTATCGCCTATAAGGAACTCATTTTTTAGTCCCAATGCCATAAAAAGTACAGAAAATTACACTTTTATAACGAACTCCAAAATATCGGCTATCCAAAAACAGATCACGCATTTTCTACTTTCGTTTTCATCGCCACAGATTAAAACTTGGCCAACTGTAGCGGATATATATTAGGAACAAATAATGATAATCTTCAGAAGACAAGATCTATTTAGATGATCTGCCGGTTGTGTCAAAAAATGAAGCTATTGATTGTTTGCACAAGATTAGGTCATACTTAGAGTCTAACACCCCAGTTACACAGAGCCATCGGTGATTGATCGGTAGTTTTTTTAGCCAAATTATGGAGTGAACCGATGACAACGTATTGATCACCTATATCACCTATTGGTCACCTGTTTTCCACCTATCAACTGCTATTGGGGAAAGATAAGTTTCATCGGTGAAAAATTACCGATTGGGATTTTTAAACACGTTTAAAATTCTCGATCGGTGAAAATATTTTAAAAATTACCGACGGCAACCTATATCATGAGATATGCAAGCTCTTAATCACCGATATCACCGATCGGACAAAGATAACCAAATATGAATCACCGGCCATATCTGACGAAAAGTGTTTAACCACTGATGACTAGCTATCAAACACCGATTAATCAGCGTTACGCCCGATTTAGCTCCAATTTACAAACGATAAAAACCAAAAGTATTTCAGCATTTAATCATCGACTCATTCCCGTTTGAGTTTGCTTTCTGTCACCGATGGCCGTTTACACAGAAAACCAGAAATAAAATCACGCATGACAACCGATCATAACAGCGAGTAAATTTAAAATTAAATGACCGATTGGGGACCAACCGTCTGTGTAACTGGGCCCTAATGCACATGTTAAAGAAACAGTTTTTAAAAGTTTATTGGATCTGAAGAGTTGTAAACATTCCCAAACTAAAAGTAGCAACTTCTTTAAAGCAAAGTGATTATTTTTATGCATGATAGTGTATTGTAAATAAATAACAATATTGCATATATGGTACATATCATATAATTATCTTATAGATATGTTTATACATAAAAATTATATTAAAAAGAAACAACATTGCAAATATTCCTTTTTTTTTTCTTTATTGAATCAATATAAGGGAGACAACAATGAAGAACCAAAAAGTTATTTCTCTTAATCAAATGTTCTTCAAAATGGAGGACGATGGTAAACAATTAGTTTGTTATATGTAAAAATTTCGCTATAAAAACTTCTGATACAAGGAACTAATTCGCTATATGCTTACAAGGAACTCCGGATATAAGGAACAGATTTTGAATGTCCCAATGAGTTCGTTATAAGCAGAGTTTACTGTAATATGATTGTTATATGTGTTTGTTTGAAGGATAGTTCAATAGTGGTTTTGTCAAGATTAGAGTTGGACAAGTTGTGATGGATGATTATATACAGCATCCTTAGTAATTGTAGAACAGGATGAAAGTGGTGATAAAGTTTATGTATTGAAATGTTGCAGGTGATACATGTCCAATGGGAAGTTACTGTCCAGCGGGAAGTTCATCCCCGACACCCTGTACGTCTGGAACATACTTAGATAGCACCGGAAATTACAATGAGACGGACTGCATCAGCTGCACTGCTGGTCAGTACTGTGCGGGAAGTGGGAACATTGTACCGGATGGTAACTGTTCGGAAGGGTACTATTGCCCTGGTGGTAAGGACACACCAACACCTGTAGGATATGAATGCACACAAGGACATTTTTGCAAGTCCGGTTATTTTGCACCAGAGCGATGTCCATCTGGCAATTACCAGGACGATACCGGTCAGTCTGACTGCAAAGGATGCCCTGCCGGATATTTCTGTGATAACACATTTGGTCCGGTTGTTTTGTACAATAATTCAGCATGTCCGGTAGGATACTACTGTCCAGAAAATACGACCAATGCTTACCAATATCCATGCCCAACTGGAACTTTTAGTAATGTGACTAATCGGGTTGATTCCTCAGAATGCCAGGCATGCTCTGGTGGAATGTACTGTAGCCAGACTGGTTTATCAGAACCGGAAGGCTTGTGTGATGCTGGATATTTCTGTACATCCGGTTCAAACAGTAAAACACCTTCAATGGGATCAAATGCTGATACTTGTACCATCGGTAACTATTGTCCAAACGGAACAACAACGCCCCAGCAGTGTCCTCCAGGTTCTTACAATCCTTCGACCGGAAGACAGACAGAATCTCAATGTTTAAATTGCACCGGAGGTTACTATTGTGGCACCTATGGCATGACCTCAGTTCCAAATGGAAACCGGTGCACTGCAGGTAAGTTATGTTTACTGTTCAGAGCATTATATTATCAACCATATCATCTGCAGTACATAAAAAATTTGACTCTCCATATAAAAACCAGGGCTTACTTTTAAATAAATAATAAGTTTAAAAAAAATTGCAAGGAGTCGATAGTTAAAGTCACATAATTATGATTTTTTAATATTTTTTTAAGGTTACTACTGTCCTGGAGGTGCTGATAACCCCACGTACATTGTCTGCCCCGAGGGAAACTATTGTCCAACCGGAACAGAAGATCCGGAAAAATGTCCTTCCGGAACTTTCTCAAATGCCACTGGTCTAACATCGGATGCTGGATGTGAAGATTGTATAGGAGGATATTACTGTCCAAGTGATGGTGAGTCATCGTTAACTAAATTATCGTCAACAAGTGGTTGTATCAGAATGCAGTTTTGCAGTACTGCTATTTTAAAGATCTACGGATTTCGTTAATTTACATGATTTTGAACTGTTATATTGATATTTTCTCAAATAATGACATCACAATGGATAACAGCTTTTCACATGACATAAATAATATACTTGAAATAGGTATTTTTGAAAGAAGATAACAGCTTCAGGTGTGTTACGGTTTTACTTAAGAAATAGATATTAACTTTGAGTGCATTGTTGTAGAATAATGCATGATTCGAGTTCAAATGCAATAGAATATAATCACGAAAGTCTTAGTGATTAATCTACGTGGCATTTGAAAAATAAATCTTGCATTATTATACTATTAAGCAAGAAAAATTAATATCTATTTCCATTCTAACATGCAAATTAAAAAGAGAATTGATGAAAATATAAAAATTTCAATAAATTTAATGACGTTTCAAATACAAAAATTTTATTCCAGGCCAAACAGAGGCATCAGATCTTTGCTGGGGCGGATATTATTGTCCGGCTGCACAAAAGGCTCCAAATCCTTCCGTTTATACCTGTCCTAAAGGAATGCAGTGTCCAAATGGAAGCTCAGATTATCAGGTTTGTTATTTGTTTGTCCAAAACTGAATTATTTTAAGGAATCGGTCATAGAGTTAATTTTATAAGCAAGAAATACCTGTAAGTGAACATTAAGAATCCAAAAGAATTATGATGACAAACCATTTATTGCATACAAAATGGTTTTTTGTTTGTTTTTGTTTTTTTTCTTCCAAATGTTCTTTGACCATTTGATGACATCAGTATTTCATCTATGAAATATAAGACCCACCATTTGTTTAGTTTTATTTTACTTCACGCTTGTTCAAAGTTTGCAGCCTGTTCTGTTTTCATACTGTTTTACTTATGCAGTTTCCAGGTTTGATGTTTTATTTATGCTATTTCCAGGCTTGTCCTGCTGGAACATATACAAGTGCAACCGGGATGTCATCATGTGACACATGTCCAGCCGGATTTTACTGCCTTCCAGTTATACCTGCCAATGCCTCACTCAATGCCCAGAGCTGTCCACAAGGTTATTACTGTCCAGCAGGCACGGGCATCGACTGGCAAGCATGTCCGGCTGGTACGTACGGTGCTTCAACCGGACTGCAGAATGAGACCGAATGTACACAGTGTGATAGCGGAAAATATTGCACCGGAACAGCCCTCTCAACACCCTCCGGAGACTGCACAGCTGGTTAGTTTCCATGTTATTAAGTGTTCGTCTGCATAGTGCAATAACTGATTAACTCCTACTAAATTTAGAAGGACATAACCCATTACTGCACTAAGATGACATGTTGTGTAATGTTTCTGGACATGTATTATGCTTTTTTTGTGTTGAATCCTCTTAAAATTCACAAGAAGTGGTAAATATAATGTTGAAATTTTTGTTGTTGACCTTTTAGTTTAGGCTTTTTAAACTTAATGTATTAGAGATGTGGAAAAATATATATAAGATTAATTTGTTCCATTTTAATCATAACTGATTTTATATAAAATATTACAATTTAATTTTTGTTTTACTTGTTTTAGGTCATTTTTGTACAAGTGGGGTAGATACTGCCACCCCAGACGGCACCACTAATACCGGAACAGGGGGAATATGTGCTATCGGACACTACTGCCCAACCGGTTCACCCGCTTCTGTTCCATGTGTAGCCGGAACATTCACGAACCAGACCCAACAAGCTACCTGTGAAACTTGTCCCGCAGGATACTACTGTATCGCGGCATCTGAAGAGTATCTTAGTTTCCCATGTCCTGCAGGTAACTATGGCAACACATATGATTTTATGCAATTTTGTCATACAGATGACTTAAGAACTTGAATATCCAAGATTGAGAATTTACATTGTTTCACAAAAATGTAATTAATTGCCAAATGAGTAGTCTTCAATGTTAAAGTCAGTGCCAAGGTTTTAAGGCTGGAAAATCTTTGAGAGTATTGTCATGGTATAAAAAACGTTTTAGAGTGATTTGTTATTTTACAATTACTGTTCACACAGTATATTCTAACTGGTTACCGTATTATTATTCTTGTTGCTGTTCTGCTTTTTAGGTCACTATTGCCCGGCTGGTACCAAGTTTTCGACAGAACACAAGTGTGATGAGGGCACCTATAACTCATTGACAGGATCCCAGTCTGTTACAGACTGTACTTCCTGTCCTGGTGGCCAGTATTGTCAAGGAGAAGGTAACTCTGCACCAACTGGTTATTGCTATGCGGGCTGGTATTGCTCCGGTGGATCGAAGAGTCCGAACACTACGACACATGGCGGGAAGTGTTCTGCCGGATATTATTGTCCAGCTAGTAAGTTTTTTTGTTTAAGGTCTCTTTTCTTATATGATACACAGCAACCTGTTAAAAGGCTGATATTGGACTGCAGGGTCTCAAATCTCATTATAACGCGGCTCTGATATAATGCTTATCACAAGATTAGATTGTTGCACAAAGAATTTCACAGTATTATCCCACGAATTTACCTGTACAAGCAAGGGTTATGTTTTGTTATATTTCAGTTAATGAAAGTAATTTCCAAGAACATTGGTTCGTAAATCATTAAACTGTTTCTGTGGTGTAGCATAACACGGCATCAAAAAATCACTCATCCTGCAGGACGAGTACCTCCTAAATCCAATGTGCAGGCAACATTTTTCTACTCGTCCTGCATCAAATTCTCTTAAATTCTACGTGTCTAGCTGACGGATGGAAAGTTTTGATCTCTGTAACAGTATTTTGAAGTGTTTTCTTTGCTATATGATTTTTAAAATGATTTTTGCGATTATTGTTTCTCAATTCATTTGTGTTTGCACATCACAGCTTTGACTTTTGGATTATTTTCTGTAGTTTACGTTTATTTTCACAATGTTTCTGCCCTTCAGACTCATCTGATCCAATCAAATGTGATCCTGGGAAATATTGCCAGACTGAAGGGCTCTCAGCGCCCACAGGTGACTGCCTGGCTGGTTACTTCTGTACTCTCCAAGCCAGCACACAGACCCCAACCGACGGTACCACCGGAGATATCTGTCCAGCTGGATTTTACTGTGAGACTGGGGTATCAACGCCAACCCCATGCAGTCCAGGGACATACAGTGCAGGAGAAGGGAACACGTTACCCAGTGATTGTCTGAACTGCACAGCGGGAGAATTCTGTGGCAGTTACAATTTAACCGCAACTGATGGTAAAAATTAGGGCTGGGAATTATATTCGAATATTCGAAACACTACCGAATATTCGAACATTGAAAAACGAATACGAATATTCGGAAAAAAAAATTCTTTTGTTATTACTTTTAAATTTCAATTAAGATCGTATATTAAACCATTAATCTGTACTTGACCAGGTCTTCACACGTTTGTATGACGCGTGTCAACGATTATCGCCAATTAACTGTGAAAACTTTGGGGTCTAGTTGATCAAAAAGGCACCCGTTTCACAGATTGCAATTTACCTGTTTAACAGTTTATAATTTAATTCTTTCCGATTTTAATTATCTTATTTATTGTTTTCTGTGCTATAATCTTTCCGATTAATCAATAATTGTCTTAAATTTTGTGAAGACGAATAAATCGGCACGCATTATGTGTTATTAATTAAAGCATGGGAAGTGTCTATATTCCGTCAGAATATATTTATTCCGTAGAAATTAGACTCCGTATAATATTTACTGCGTATAGCTAAATTTATCTAAAGAATATTTTAAACCTTATCTAAAATTATAAATAAATAAAAAAATATTTAATACAAGTTAAGTTTCAATATAATTAGGAACCATATAATTATGTGTTATTGGGGCTAAGAGGCTACGGTGGACATCAAGTCACCTGAGTTACCTCCCGTTAATAAGACGAATGATCAGCAGTCGGATTAACTGAACCAAAGGCAATCAAATTATGAATTTATTTCAAAAGTTAACATATATGTCGATTTTCAATAGATTATAATTAAATAAAACACTTTGACGTAGTAATAAAGGTATTTTTTATCGTTATTTTTCCAAACATATTAAAGTAGTATAGTATTGGACGCAATCAATTTCAGATACATATACTTCAAAGAGAAATATTTGAACAAATGTTGTAAAAACGAATATTCGAATATATTCGAATATGGAAAACGAATATTCGAACATCAAATTCCTTATTCGTTCCCAGCCCTAGTAAAAATTTTATAATTAAACCTAGGAGTGTGCTCAATATGCGATTCAACACTATTATTGCTTAATACATATGAATGATATGAAAAATATTTTGATAAAACTAAAAAAAAACTGATTTTTTTTTACATATTTATTTGTATAGGTTAGAGATCTTTTATTGAAATTTTGCAGAACTTAGAAAAGATTTATAAACAAACAAGGTTGTTTTTTTCCCTGTGTTTTTGAAGTGGCAAATTTTGATGTTTTTAGTAAATTCTAAATTATCAATATGTTAATTTTGACCATTATGTTATAATATAATTACCAATGGCATATATGGGTAAGATGGCCTTCATTGCTGATCCTTATTGCTATTCATTAATTACGAGGAAACCAGCTTATAGAAGGAAGATGATAGTAATCAGATGACTATTCCTGCCAGTAATAATGAAAATGAGTGGTACCTCAGGTTTTCCTCCACTGGAACAGTCTGATTGATCTGAACATTGTGTGACGTAAAATAACATAAAGTTTAACTAAAACATTGCATATATTCAAATCTGTTTGCAATATTTCGCTCATCTTTGATTTTTGCTGTTATGTTATGCGTCTGCAATTTTTCGCTGACTTGATTTTTGCTGTTTGTCATATTATAGGTTGTGTTAACTTGATTTATCTGTTACAATTTCAGGAGACTGTGATGCTGGTTACTATTGCCCGATAGGGGAGATAACTGCTAACAGGCTGCTGTGTTGGAAGGGTTATTATTGCCCGCAAGGAATTGACGAACCAATTATTTGTCCCAACGGAGAATATCAGGCTTTAACTGGTCAAGCCACGTGTGACACGTGCCCAGGGGGATACTACTGTGATAACAGCAATGGAATCGTAGAGATAAACTCCACCATACTCTGTCCTACTGGTTACTTCTGCCCACCAGGTAGGTGAAATATTTATTTTTGTTTATGTCTAGCCCATGCTGGAATAAGTTTCAAAAGAGACTGAAGTCTGTCATGTCAGGAATCTATCCACCTAGTTTTCAGAAGGTTTGTGGTAATATTCAGATGACCAATGTTCCTGAAATAATGTTTGTAGAGGCAAATTCCTTCCCCCAGTACCTCTGCTAGTACCTCCTTTAGCATTGATTTTCTTATATTAACCAGCACAAAAAAGAAATATGTCAATAACTTGAATATAATTATCATCTTTACAAAACAAATATTAACTGACGATCGTTCCTGACATAACTTTATTGAATACTTTTCAAAAGTCATTTCACTTTGTTAGCTGTTTAGGTTTTTAATATTCCAGATTTTAACATTTTTTTGTGTACATTTACAAAGTAAGATAAGATAAGATTACATTAAGATATGTAATGATATGGTTTCTTTTAAAAAATTCATATAAAATGATAGGTTTTAGCCATCTATATCTGTCTAATTACTTCAGGCACTCCAAGAGGTGATCTTTATCCTTGTGACATTGGAACATTCAACAATAATACCGGTTTGAATGCAAGTACCGAGTGTACGCCTTGCATTGCGGGCTCATACTGTGAAACTGCTGGACTTACGTTACCCACGGGACTCTGCGATGCCGGCTATTATTGCAAGGTTGGCGCCACCACAGCTAGTCCTTCACAAGGGACTGATGCTAACAAGTGCCCTCAAGGTAGGTCTTTAAGTGGTTGTATGCCCAAGCAGAAAAGGCCTCAGACTAGTAATCTAATGATGTCTGGAAGCATGGGTTCAAACCCTGTCGGGGGCAAACTGTTGTTGCCCTTGAGCAAGAAACTACGCTCATTGTATGGTACTGACTGGTTCTAGAAACAGATAAAATTGCCATGTCTATAAGCTTTTAGCTTCCTGCACAATAAAAATTAAAGGAATTTTATATAAGGTATGTTTGTAGGCATATGAGTTAAGCTGTAATTGAAAAAATCATAGTTTGCAGATGCAAATGGCTGATTGCAAGCACTCAAATATTTGTTTGTTTTTATGGTTTTTGACAAATAAAAAACATGCTTGGTTCGCTATTTATTGTTTAAAATTCATTTATGAAATTGTATTATTTAGTAGTAAAATGTAAATATGAAAAACAAATTAACTGACAGTTGAAATTTACAACTTATTTTCAAGGATCTTACTGTGTGAGTGGAACTGAAGATCCGGTGCCATGCCCTGCAGGTACATACGGTGCCGCTACCAAATTGAAGGCCGAGTCTGAATGTACGCAGTGTACTGCCGGATATTACTGTACGACCCCCGGCCTCCTGACAGTTGAAGGTCAGTGCGAGGAGGGCTATTACTGCGAGACTGGTTCAAACTCGTCACAAGAATACATATGCACAGCTGGTCACTATTGTGAAATAGGCACTGACGTACCTGATAGGTGTCCAGTGGTAAGGAATGACACATCTTTGGTTAAAAATGATTTAAAGTATAACTTCGCTTAATTGTTGTATATTTGATGGTTGATACATGTCTTTTAAAGAATTTTCATTAACAAATGACATGTAAGGGGTAAAGTGGTTCAAGATAGCAACTTAGCACTTACCAATACAATAGAGGCTCTCCAGTGAACCTCGAGACTTACCACTTAGCAACAATGGGGGTCTTCTGTAAAACCTCAGGGAGGTACCATTTCATTAATTTCCAAATGAATGAAAAGATTTTTATATAGATAATGGATGTTAAAATTTTACATCTTGGTGTGAAAGAGTCGTAACTCCTTCTTTCTTTAGTATGAGATACAACCCTTTCACACCAAGCCCTCTGTTTGTTTGATCTTTTAATTCTTGCGTGGACAGATTTGTTATAAAAATATATCCGAGCCTTGAGATATGCCAGATGTTGATGAAATATTTTTATATTCTTACAGGGAACCTTTAGTCCTTACACAGGTCTTGTCAACTCCACTCAGTGCACGGCATGTACTACAGGACAATACTGCGGGTCAGAAGGTCTTAATGCCACAACCGGGCCTTGCTCAGCTGGCTATTACTGTCCTGAAGGTCAAAGTTCAGCAACGCCAGGAACTTACGAGTGTACATTGTACCATTACTGCCCTGAAGGGACTCCAGCACCGATCCCCTGTGCAAATGGAACATACATGAATCATACACAAGGATCTGTATGTTACACGTGCCCAGCTGGATGGTAAGAATAAATTACATCTTGATTTTGTCTTATAAAGTTTAATTATGGTATTGCATTTATAGTTAATTAAATTTTATGAAAGATTCTGTTTCAGTTAAGTTAGATGTATTATGTATGCTAGTAAAGCTGTGAAGTCACTTCATGTATATATAAACCAACATTTCATTAAAACACAAGAGTGCATAATTGTTTCAATCCAACTTGAACCTCACGATTTTTTTCAAGGAAGCAAAACTGTGTCATTTACAGATATGCCTTTGTATTTCTCCATGCCATTAGTTTTTTATTATTTCTGTTTAACTTAATAAAATCATTTCTACCTAAAACTTTATAATGTTAATTTATTTTTTAAAGGTATTGTGTTAATGGCGATGTCGTTGGAGAATGCCCAATGGGATACTACTGTCCGGAGCAAACGGATTTCAACTGGCAACAATGTCCACCTGGAACATACAACAATGATACGGCCCTTCAAGCAGAAAGTGACTGTAAGTCTTGTCCCGGAGGAAAATACTGCGCTTCCTATGCGGCGATAGAACCAACTGGAGACTGTGACGCAGGATATTATTGCGAGTTCGGATTGGATCGTGCCAATCCGATTGATTGTGACAACAACACTGACGCAAATGGTTTATGCCTTACTCCAGGTCAGTTTTTTAACTTTTATTAAACACCATAATGACCCTGAACTTTACATATCTGGTTCTAAAATTCCAGTAGTTTTTAGGAATTATATTTGACAAAAAACTTTCTTTTATACCACATATTAAACATTTGAAAACTAAATGCCTTAAAGCTTTAAATTTACTTAAGGTTTTATAAAGTACAAATTGGGGATCAAATTCTTCCACATTACTGAAATTATACAGAATTCTTATCCGATCAAAATTAGATTATGGTTCTGTAGTATATGGGTCTGCAAGAAAATCATATCTTCACATGCTAGATACCATACATCACCAGGGTTTACGGTTAGCTTTAGGTGCATTTCGCACCTCACCTGTAGAAAGTCTATATGCTGAAGCTGGGGAACCATCGCTTCAACTTCGTCGAAAAAAGCTATCACTTCAATATGCAACTAGAATTTCATCAAATAGCAAAAATCCAGCCAAAAATATTATTTTCAAACCAAGTTATATTGAAAAATTTGTTAACAAACCAAAGGAAATTAAACCATTAGGCCTTCGTTTAAAAGATGATTTAGATAAACTTAAAATTAATCTTGTCAGTATCCTTCAAAATGACAATGAGGATGTTCCACTTTGGACTTATAATTCCCCTGAAATAAATATTAACCTTTTAAATATAAAAAAGTCATCAAATTCACATGAACATTTCAAAGAGAAGTTTCTGGCAATTAAGGAAGAACATGAAAATTTTATACATATTTATACGGACGGTTCAAAAGAAGGTTGCAAAGTAGGTGCGGCTGTGTTAGAAAATAATTTTACATCTAGTATGAGGTTACCAGATAATGCATCAATTTTTACTGTTGAAGCAAAAGCTATCGATTTAACATTGTCATACATAGCACAGCATACCCATGATAAATTTGTGATATTTTCTGACTCGCTTTCTGTTTTAATATCCATTAAAAATAAAAAATCTGACAATATCATGGTAAAGAAACTTCTTTTACGATTTCATGATATACTAAAAACAAAATATGTTAAATTATATTGGATTCCAAGTCATGTAGGAATACGAGGAAATGAAAAAGTAGATGCTTTAGCTAAACAATCATTAAACTTTCAAAAAACCGACTTATTGTTACCTGCTTGTGATTTTATAACGGCTATAAATAAACTCGTATCATCTGAATGGAAAGCAAATTGGAACAATGCCGTTTTTAATAAACTTCACGATATAAACCCATCTCTTGTTGTGTCACCATCTCTATCTCTGTCAAACCGCCGTGATCAAACAGTTCTTCTTCGATGTCGATTTGGACACACTAAAATTACCCATTCTTATCTCCTTACAAATGACAATACCCCTTTCTGTGTAGGTTGTAATGAAAATTTTACTGTCAAGCATTTTCTTCTTGAATGTCATGATTTTTCACAGGCCCGTAATAGATTTTATTCTGTAAATTCACTCAAACAACTTTTTAATACAATTCCATCAAAAAACATAATTGATTATTTGAAAGAGATAAACCTGTATTCTAGGATCTAATTGTCATTTACAAAGTTTAACATAACATTTTAAGCCTATTTTAGCATTCGGCACGATATGGCCAGTTATGTGTTGACGTGCCGTAAAAATCCAAACAAACAAAAATTATAAGTTTAAAATAATTTGTTACGATCTTATATCATAAGACAAAAAATTTAAATGTTTGTGTAATGTTGGAAAAAAATTAAATGGATATGAATGATTGTGTTAAAAGTTTAAGATGTCAAAAATTTTGTTTGTATCTGTTATTTAAATGTATTTTAAAAAAAAAATAAATAAAACAATTGAAGACTCAAAATAAGATGAAATATTTTCTATGCCTATTAAATTCTTAAGACTTCAAATTATTTGCCATTATTAAAGTACTATGAAAATTAAAGAGGAAATTTGAAATTCAAAATAACAATATTTTGTAATGAATACAGGTGCTCAAACTGGCAAAGGAAGCATATGTCCCCTGGGTTACTACTGCCCGGCGGGCTCTCCAGCCCCAGAACCTTGCCCGCTTGGTCACTATAGCAACGTAACTGGAATGGAGACTTGTACACCTTGTCCAGCTGGATATTATTGTGATTTAGGTAAGTTATTTTATCATATGAATAAGATAGCAAAGGAAAACTGAAGGTTTATTATTCTTTTTAAAAAAATCAAGATTTAAAAGGCGCATTGGAAAATTCAAGGTTTAGTAGGCTTTTTGGAAATCTCAAGGTTTAAAGGGCTCCTTGGAAAATTTAAGAAGTAGTAATTACTCCTAGGAAAATTCAAGATTTAGTATTTCCTTTAAAAAATTCAAGATTTAGTATGCTCTTTGGAAAGTTGAAGAAGTTGTATGCTCCTTGGAAAGCTCAAGGTTTACTTTACCCCTTAAAACATTGAAGTTTTAGTATGCTCCTTCAGAAAATTCTAGATGCAGTATGGTATTTGGAAAATTCAAGATTTAATAGGCTCCTAGAAAAATTTCAATATTAAAATATTTTTTAAAAAATTCAAGGTTTAGTAAGTAAGTATGCTCCTTTGAAAATTCAAGATTTAGTAGACTTTTTGAAAAAAAAATAATCAAGATTAAGTAACTGTGCTCCTTGGAAAATGTAAGGTTCAGTCCTTTTGGAGTTTTAAAAAATTATTGTTTAGATTTGTATGTATGATTTATAAATAGACTATGCAGATCCTTTGGAGTTTTGAAAATGATTGTTTACGTTTATATGATTTATAAATAGACTATGCAGATCCAGGTAAGGGTATTTACAGCACTGCAGCTTTCTTATGACGTCGTAATGAACAAAATGTCAAATATAAACAAAACAAGTAACTGTATTACTGCTAAGGGCAGATAATTATGTCTTGATGTAAAAAAATGGGCAAGTTTGAGTTTTCATGCCATTTGACATATTGTTGTAATTTAGGTTGCTTAATTTTAACTTTTTGGTATTGAAACTGAATTCTATAGTAATGGATAGTAACAAAAATTTCATGAATTTTAGATAATGTAACCACACTAAATAAATAAAAAAATACTGAATAAACACTTCCAAAACAAATCCTTGTAAATTGAAACCCCATTTTATAACAAAGGACAGTAAAGAAAATTTTGTCATTTATATAACATAACCTGTCGTAAAATGATAATGGACTTTTTTAAAGCAAAGTCTGATAAATTTTGAATATTGAAACCCCATTTTATTATGATAGAGTACATTAACAGAATTTTGTTAATTCAAAATAATGAATCAAAACCACCTATAATAATAATGGATATATCCAAAACAAAATCTGGTAAATTTTGAAAATTGAAACTCCCATTTTATAAAAAAAAATGAAAAATATTAGTACAAAAATTTTGATAATTTTAGATAATGTAACCTGAGTCACCAAAAATAATAATGAACACTTCCAAAACCATACTGAAACCCCCAAAAATTATAATGAAGAGTTCCAAATTCAAATCTGGCTAGTCCATTATACAAAGTATGTTGTTTCCAAGGTAACAGTGAGGTCATTAATCCTCTTTTAACACGAGACGTAAAAATTGATAAATTATAATTAGAATAAAAAATGAAAAATTCGAATATTCCCATAAAAATATAAAGTTTGTACAAAATCATATATACTTGTAAAGAATATATCCCATTGTCATAAGTAACAGATTGTATTTATTAATATAAAAAATGATTTTAAAACATTGCCATGTGTACACTTTTTAAATTTAATTTTGTAAATTTTCTTGTTATGGTTATATTTTGACATTTGTTCTGCATTTATACATGTAATAAAAGCTTGGATTGATTTTTCTAATGTAATGTGTTTCATTTTACAGCAAAATTTATAATAGAATGATGTTAACTTGAAATTAAGTCATTAATCTATATGTTTTGTTTTAAACATAATTATGGAATCAAGTGTATCAAGTATTGTTTGTTTGTGTTATTCTACCATAGTGTCTCCATGTGCCTGAAATAATACTAAAAATGGCATACATGGGCCAGATATTCTGATTTACATAATACATGTTTGAATGAGGCAGACTTACCTGAAATAATGTTTTGTATGGCATACATGTCCTGAAATAGTGTTTAGTTTGATCTACAGTCCTGAGATAGTGTTTACATTGGCATATGTTGTGCCTGAAATAATGTTATGAATGTATTATTATACATGAACCAGAAATAATGATTTGAATGGCATATATTATGTGCCTGAAATAATGTTTGGATTGGAATACATGCCCTAAAATAATGTTTGGATTGACATTAATATGGCCTAAAATCATGCTTGGAATGGCCTAGATGTGCCTGAAATATTTTTATTATGGCATATATTATGATAACCTGAAATATTAGTTTAAATGGCATGCAATTGTGCCTGAAATAATGTTTGAATGACATACATATACTTGGTATAATGTTTTGAATGGCATACAATAATAATATTTTACCTGAAATATTTATGTATTACATTAAGTGGTATGCACATGCCTGAAATAATGCATAGAATTGATTTATGCTTAGCAATATTCATGTGACTTAAATCCAACCAGTGAAAAATCATTTAGGAAAATAATTATTGCTTTTAATCTATAATATGCATGAGCATGTTGTGAATATATGTATTGTTTTGTACCGTTTGTTGGAAAGTTTTCTGTAACTGTATATTTGATTTGTGTACTATATTTTGTCAAGGTTGTGAAATTTTACTTAACTTGTGTCTTGTTGAGGTTATTTAGTACTGTTATACTATGTCTAGGTTGAACAATACTAATATGTTATGTCTAGGTTGCAAAGTACTAATATGTTTATGGTTTTGGTTGTTAGTTACTACATTCCTAATAGTTTTGCATTGGATATTGTGCCAATATGTATTTAAGTATTAAAATGAACAAAGTAATGATATGCAAATTTGCAATAATTGGATTTTAGAAAGTAAAAATAATGTTGGGACCATGATAAAGGAAAATAGGAACCTAGATGTAAAATATTTTATTATGGATTATTATATACTATATTAAATGAAATTTGTGAAATAATTTTAAAATAAAATGGTATTTTTTTTGGCATCTAGATATTTTCACTGAAAAATTTTAATTTTTGATGCACAGCTGAAATATTGCCAGTATTTATGGTTGCTTAGCCCATATTTGTATTAAATCGCCATAGAAAATATTTAGGAAAATTTCTTCTTTTAATGTTAAAAAAGAGAATGTGTATATAATTATTTTACAGAAAATTCAAGTTTTTTTCTATAAATAAATGATTTATTTTCATCTTGTGGCATGAAAATTATCATATTTCACTCGTGGCTATTGACACTCATGAAATATTTATTTTCATACCACTCGATGAAAATAAATCATGTATTTATAGAAAAAACTTGAATATCCTCTATGACTATATTTTCATGCATTGAATGCATTTACACATGCATACTTTTCACTATGTTTTAACCTTTTTTTTCTAAGTTTTAAGAATCTTTCAAAAAGTTTATATTTTCATAGTGCATTTGGAACCTTTAACGGATTTTAAATTAACTCAAATAATTTTTATTTACACTTTTTTTTACATCCAGTATAAGTCACTGAGGACAAAATGCATAGAAGTAAACCAAAAAACGTTCATGTGACCAGTCACTTGAAATTGTCACTGCATATTTCCATTTCCATTGTATTGTAGTAGTACATGTAACCCATTGTCATAATTTTGATATCTCTGTTTTACAGCTACACCAGATTTTAACTCCTACCCATGTCCTGCTGGCTATTACTGTCCGGCAGGCACATACTATGCAACCACCAATCCATGCCCAGCAGGTACATACTACAATCACACCCTTGCTACAGAAGAGGCTGACTGTATTTTCTGTCCCCCGGGCTCATACTGTGACTCCCCAGGGCAAGATTACCCTACAGGAGTATGCGATGCTGGTAGGTCTTCTATACTTTTTTGTAATTTAAATAAGCTCCCTTTGATAATAAATACACCATTTTCATTTAAAAGGTAATATGAGTTGTTTCCCTTTAATACAATACTATATACACGTAAATATATCTTGTGAGATAATTTGTTCAATATTTCCTTTAATTATTGTATCACTATTAACAACTTGTCTGTTGATTTGAAGTAGATGATTTAGTGCTCCCCACTCTTATTACAGTTCTTTTACATGTATCAGATATGATAATTTAAAATGTACCCTTTAGTTAATACAGAATATGTTTTAGGTCGATTGTGTCAGAATCTATAAGCTTATAAACTCACTCTCAAATCTGTTCCTGGAACCAACCAATAAGGAGAAATTATAGTGTAAAGTTTCTTGCACAAGGAAACAAAAGCTTGCTCCAGGTGACGGGGTTTGAACCCATGTAGCTAGTAGCCATCCTTAGATTACTAGTCTGATGTTTTTATCATTCAGCCATGCTACAACTTAAATGTATCCTTCGATGATGGTAATTACCAGATGTGCTCAAGACAAAATCTAAAAAAGCCCCTTTTTGATTATATTTCATTTAATACAGCTTTGTAGCACTATATGAATCTCTTGAAAATTATTTGAGTAAGCCCCCTTTGATAATATTACTTCATTTACATTGTGTTAGATAATAGGAGTAATCTCCCTTTGGCAATTTTGATAAGAAATAATGATTTTTCTCTTTTGTCATCTGGTTGCAGATATTTTAATGGTCTTATTTTCTCTATTTAAACAAAATAATTTTATCTATTACTTTTTATGCCCCCACAATGTGGGAGCATATAGCGTTGCACTTGTCCGTCCGTCCGTCCGTCATTCCGTCCGTCCGTCCGTCAGTCCGTCCGTACGTCCCGAAATCTTGTGAACGCAACTCCTCTTAAACCGGATGGCAGATTTTGCTTAAACTTACAGGGATGAACAACCTTAATGTGTAGATGGTAGTAAAGGAAGGAATTTTCACTGCGACCAGATTTAACAGAATTATGGCCCTTTGTTGATTTTTTCACTAGATACTATGTAGAAATTTTGTGAACGCAACTCCTCCTAAACCGGATGGCAGATTTTGCTTAAACTTACAGGGATGAACAACCTTAATGTGTAGATGGTAGTAAAGGAAGGAATTTTTGCTGCAACCAAATTTAACAGAATTATGGCCCTTTGTTGATTTTTTCACTATATACTATGTAGAAATTTTGTGAATGCAACTCCTCTTAAACAGGATGGCAGATTTTGCTTAAATTTCCAGGGATGAACAACCTTATGGTGTAGATGGTATTAAAGGAATGAATTTTTGCTGTGACCAAATTTAACAGAATTATGGCCCTTTGTTGATTTTTTCACTCTATACTATGTAGAAATTTTGTGAACGCAACTCCTCTTAAACCGGATGGCAGATTTTGCTTAAACTTCCAGGGATGAACAACCTTAATGTGTAGATCGTAGTAAAGGAAGGATTTTTTGCTGCGACCAAATTTAACAGAATTATGGCCCTTTGTTGATTTTTAGTTTTCAACTTGTGGCACATGTAGTCCAAAAAATATTTGACCTTGAGTCATAAGATTGACAGAACAGTGGCGTGTGGGGGCATCAGTGTCCTATGGACACATTTCTAGTTTTTGTTTGAACTTCAGGTTATTACTGCACTAATGCTTCAACAACGGCCACGCCAACTTTGGGAGCTATGGGCGGACCATGTGACCCCGGTTACTACTGCCCAAGTGGATCAGGTGCTGCTGTACAGTGCGACCCAGGAACCTTTTGCCAAACATCAATGTTAGCTTTACCTACAGGAAATTGCACAGCAGGTTAAAATTTTTTACATCATTTTGACAGTTATTTTATTACTCGTAAAAGTTTTACAGATTGTATTTTGAATGTATTTTTACAACTTGAATTCAGAATGCAAAATTATTTTGTGAAGTGAAAATGTCATTCAACTTTGGTGCAAATCTGGTAAAATTTAACTTTTACATGGAGTTTAATTTTAAAGAACAACATGTGGATTATCTGGTTTATTTGACCTTTGACCTCAAGGCAGATTGGCAATAATTTGAACTGTTTATCTGAACATTTGAGTTTTATATGGATTGAAAAAATTTTACTGTATGTTTCTGTCACACATTCCATGATACATTTTTTTCTGGTACTTTCTTTAGGATATTACTGTGTTCTACAAGCGTCGTCTGCTTCCCCGACTGATGGAACTACAGGTGACATATGTCCGAAGGGTCACTACTGTCCGCAGGGAAGTTCAAGCACAACACCGTGTGAAACCGGATATTTCCTCAATGTGACGGGCTCCGATGACATCACAGATTGTGTAATATGTACTGGAGGAATGTTCTGCCCGGGAACCGGAAATGAGAATCCAGCTGGGTCATGTGACCCCGGCTATTATTGTCCAGTCGGCCAGAATGTGTCCTCACCTGCTGATTACAAGTATGTTCATGTTTTGCATTCTCGTTTGATTAATTTAATTGTCTTTAGGCAAATGTGTTTTTGTAAAGGAAAATGTGTTAAAAACTAAAATATTGTGAAGTGAAAAAGAAAGTAATTTACACATTGCAAACAGAAAATTACAAGCCATGTAAATTAACTTAAGAAAGTCAAAATATGCAAAAAAATAGCCCTTACTATAATGTAATAGTCACACAGTAGAAATATGGTGATAAATACTGCAAAATCATCATAAATCAAACATAACATGTTAATTATTACTTGAATATTGAATCTTGTTATTTTTCTTCAAATCTTAATATATTTTCCTCAAGTTTGATTTTCTTGAAAAATATTGTTAAACTCATCTGAAGGAATGCAGCTTTAAATTTTGAATTTAAAATAAGTGGTATAATAAACTTGCTATTTCACTTAGAATCACAATCATGATCTAGTAGAATATTAAAAGTAATTTAACAAATTGAAATTATTTCAGTTGCCCTGTAGGCCATTACTGTCCTGGAGGTACAGATGCTGCCCTTAAATGTCTGGATGGAGAATATCAGACACAGGAGACGCAGACGACATGTGACATTTGTCCGGCCGGTTACTACTGTGACAACACCGTAGACATAGCAGTTGTCAACGCGTCAACTCTCTGCCCAGGAGGTCACTATTGTCCGCAGGGAACTAGATTTGACAATGAATTCCCATGCCCTGAGGGAACATTTAATAACAATACAGGTAACACTTTGCCTTTATATTTTTTTATATCGGAAATATATTTTTTTATATCGGAAAATTAAACTAGAATATTATTGCAAATTTATTTTTCATGCTCGCTAAAATTACATGGAAAGTAATAAACTTCACTTGTTCTATATTTAGGCTTTGATCAGGAGAGTGACTGTGTTCTCTGTCTCGGAGGTTACGCATGTCCGGTCACCGGAATGACTCAGATGGATAACACATACCTGTGTGAAGCAGGATATTTCTGTAAACAGGGAGCTAACTCCACCACGCCTAATCAAGGTTAGTCTTGACAAGAGTTATCTTTTACAAAAAAAAGGAGACTCTATTTTTATAGCATAACTTAATTTTTTCCTTGTATAAGAGAAAATAAAAGATGAAAAGATTAGAATACGAGATCAGGACAGGTGCTTGCATGTATTTTTTTCCAAGCATTTTTGTTTAATGTACAAAATCTGTTAATAAATTTCATGTTACATGCTAAGATCAAGGGGATGGGATGTAAGTCCATTTTAACTACATTTTTAGGTCAGCTATTTGAAGAAGAGGGAGAGCTATTGTAATTTTCCAGGCATGGGTGTCCCCTTCACCTTTTGGTTAAGTGTTTGCATGCAAATTGGTATCTCCAAGAATTAGTGAAGGGAATGGATTGAATCTTCACATACTTGTACTCTGTGATTACCTAACATGATGTACACAGGTTCTACAACTATGAGTTACCTTTTTACTTTTTACAGAGTTATGCCCCTTTTCTTACAGTCAAGCACTTGAATTAATTGGTGGGCTGTTTTATGAACAGCTCTTGTTCCTCATGTTTTTTTTCTTCTAACTTCTTTGGTATGTAGTATATTCATTTTGATCACGTTTGTAATGTTTTTGCTTTTGGTTATTTACAGGAACTGATGCCAACATTTGTCCCGAAGGATTTTACTGTCCACAGGGCACAACAGATCCAGTACATTGCCCTAAGGGTACATACAGTAATCAGACTGGTCTTGATGCTGAGGCTCAGTGCCAGGACTGTCCAGCTGGGCAATATTGTGATAGTGTTTCCATGACAACCACAGCTGGACTTTGTACCGCTGGGTAAATAAACTGTTGGGTTTCTTGGGTTTACTTACCTTTTAATAAGGAAAACAAGTAATAATTAAAATACAGTTTCTTCACTAGAAAGACTGCACATGTATTATCAGGGACAGTTATTCCTGTTCTGTATCATTGTAGACTGGTTTTAAAAAAATGAGAGAATTGAATTAAACCCAAATATTTCAAAACACCAACAATCTTGTAATCTATTGTCATAAATTTTCTATTCGTTCTTTTCTTTTAGGTATTATTGTGAGATAGGATCAAATCAAACCACAGAATACATTTGCCCGGCCGGTAGTTACTGTCCAGAGGGTTCTCCACATGCCCTCCCATGTCCTGCAGGTACATACAGTAACACCCAGGGAATGACTAACTCCTCCTCTTGTACACTTTGTGACCCTGGAAAATACTGCAATGATACAGGTAATTATTATGGAAACATGTGTCTATAATGTTTGCTTGAATTATTTTTGAAATACCAATACTGTTGTGTAAAGTAATGGCGTAAAGTGAGCAAGATAAATATGAATGAGATGTAATGATATTACTAGGTTATATCCAAATATTTTGTTTCTAGGTTTGACAAGCCCCGTTGCAGACTGTGACGCAGGTTTTTACTGCCCAGAAGGATCCTCTGTTCCTAATCCAAATGACACAGTCTGTCCTATCGGATTACATTGTCCAGTCGGTACCGGAACACCTGTTCCTTGTGAATCCGGTACATACACCAACCTTACGCAGCAAGATGCCTGCATTACCTGTCCAGAAGGATTTTACTGTGTACCGTCAGAAGTTATTGTTGGTAAGTGTTGCTAATTTGATTTCTTAACATTTTCTTGTTTATGCTATGTGGGTCAACTCTCATGGAGCTTCTATGAAATTTAACCTGCCTTAAACCTGTCCTAAAGTTTCAAAGTTATCAAGTTAAAATAATGAGTTCCAGTATGGTCTTACATAACATAAAAATAAATGGTTGAAGTATCGACAGTTCTCATTGTAATTTGTCTGGGAATTTTCATATGGCAATAATATGTTAAAGTATATTTATATTTTTCTTTATTTTCAAGGCAACCCTCAATCAGGATATGCACTATGTCCGGCCGGTTTCTATTGTCCAGCTGGCACTGGAATGAACTGGACCGCTTGTCCATTAGGAACGTTCTCCAGTGTTGAAGGTCTAAAGATGGACTCTGAATGTCAGCAGTGTACCGGTGGTAAATATTGTGACCGGACCAACCTAACGTCACCCGCCGGAGATTGTGATGCTGGCTTTTTCTGTACTTCCGGTGTTGAGACTCCACAACCAGATGGGTCAACTAATTTAGGAACTGGTGGAATTTGTCCTCCAGGATCAAAGTGCCCTACCGGAACAGACATTCCGGATGATTGCCTAGCCGGAACATACCAGGTAAGATTGGTTATGAATTGCAATTAATGGTATTGTTTTTCAGTTCCTTATCTTTGAAAGTATCAGCAATATTTAACTTTGTCATACACTTTCATATAAGATCAAAGATTTTGAATTTTGGTAAGTTTTGAAAGTATCAGCAATATTTAACTTTGTCATACACTTTCATATAAGATCAAAGATTTTGAATTTGGGTAAGTTTTGGTCATAGATTATATGTTCATAATTATAATTTTTCAAATATTGTTTTTGAATCTGCTCAGGTTTTATGTTGCTTGATATTCAGGTCACATATTTCATCTGTATCTTTAAGAAAATTGGATTAAACTGCAATATTTTTAGATAAAAAATTGTTAATTTTTAAATTTGTTCTAAATTTAATTGTCATATTTTTGTATTTTTTTTTATCATATGAATCAAAGGCGGTAAAATTGTTAATGCTATTGTATTATATTTTAATGTACCTGTCTGTCTGTTGTTTATCTGTCTATCTTGAACCTGACCACACTGAATATTTATAATAGTCTAGTCCAGATTTTGAATTTGGAACAGTCCATTCTGGGTTCCAGGGGTTTCAGTATTAAATTAGTAAAATTGATCAGGCAACAGTAAAAAAAGTCTGGGTTTGGGCGGCATAATTTATATAGTGCTAAGATAGACTTAACTGTATTAAACTGGCATGTCATTTGCAAAAAATTCTTAACAGAAACTTTCATAGTTACACATTGTCCATTCAAAATGTTATTTAAAGGAATTATACGTCATGAATTTGAAGAATTGTCTTTTGAGTGTCCAAATCATTTAAAATGGATTGAGAGTAAGAATGATATCATAATTTAAATGCCTTAGAAAAATGTTGTTATTGTTGTTATTGTTGTTGTTGATGTTGATGATGGAAATATGTGTTGTAATGTTTTGTTTACATGTAAGAAATGTGCTGTTTAGAAAATATACTCAATTTATGTTTAATCCTCGAAATTTTGTTTATTAATTTAATATACTCCTTTATTATTATTTCCATTCTTTAAACATATTATACATCATCATCTTAGTGCAGTAATGGTTTAAGTCCTAAATTTAATAGGAGTTAACCAGTTATTGCACTAATGTGAAGACACATGCTTAAAATTTATGATTTTGCCAAGTTTTAATCCTGTATAAATATATACCCTTTTGTTGTATTTTACAAAAATTCTTTCCTGTAAATAATTACCCTTAGTTTGTTTATTGCATGGATACCCCATTCCGTCACCTTCATGCAATAACTGGTAAACTCCTATTAAATTTAGAAGGACTTAACCTGTTACTGCACTAATGTGACAATTTATGTTATTTGTAAGGATTTTTTTGCTGTCTCGTATAAAATGAGTTTTTTTTTATCCCACTAATAAATGTGTCTACTTTTTTCTATTAGGATTTAGTGAACCAAGCAGACTGTACGACATGCCCGGCCGGCTATTACTGTCTTGCGGCCAGTACCAATTATACAGACACACCCTGCCCAACTGGACACTACTGCCCCAACGGTACTCAAAGTGACACCCAATTTCAATGTCCACAGGGAACATTTAACAATCTTACAGGTAGGGGTAAAAAACAGAAAAATGTTTTCCATATTAATGCGATATAGTTACATACTCAAATATAAAACTGAAGAAAAACTTAAAATATTCTAAATATTGTTTTGAGGAATGTTAAGTCTTAATTTGGAAGCACTTCAAAAGGAATTAATGAAAATTTTTATAAAACTTATCATTGCTTTAGTACCTTCCAAAATTGTGAGATAATAAGATTTTTTTATTTTATTTTTTTATTCGTAGCTGAGCTTGGGATCTGCTTTTTCCAAATATATATATTAATATAAGTCAGGTGTTAACAATGTTATTATATATATCTAGGTCAACAGAGCATCGATGCATGTATGGATTGTACTCCGGGCTCCTATTGTGGCACTCAAGGACTCTCCGAACCTACTGGTATCTGTGACCCGGGCTGGTATTGTGAACTAGGCTTCGTTCCTGGCTCAGCCAACTAGTCCAGAAGGTGGAAAATGTGTGGCTGGTACATACTGCCCAGCAGGAAGCTCCGCACCAACCGGATGTGACCCAGGCTCGTACTGTGGTTCAGATATGCTGGATGCGGTGACAGGAAATTGTAGCGCTGGATATTACTGTAGCGGGAATTCTACCACACCTACTCCCTCAGGAACGGGAGGTAAATTGCACCATGTTTTTTAAATATTTACAATAGATGAAAGGTTTTAAAGTGATATTATGCTCATTCTTTCTCTGTCAAGTTGAGCTTAATAAGTAATATAATTAACTAATGATTGACGTTTATAATGGTGATTGACCAATAATTGATAAAGAAACATGCCTACTCAACTTTTAGAAATTGCTACTGATAAGTTCTTAATGATATTTAAACAAATATTATATGCATTGGTCATGTGGATTATTGATTATTTTTAATTAGTAAAATATGAAATTGATTACAATTATGATAAATGTAAAGTTATTTTACTTTAACATGTGCACTCATCACTTACACTTGGATGAGCATAATATTACTTTAATGTGTATTGTACTATATTGAACCATTTTATTACTAATGTCCGGAGTATTTTTGCTTTTTTGCATTGTTTAAACTACTTAGTGAAGCTTTCATTGCCTCTTCTAATTGTACATGTCCAAGTGTAGTTGATTGATAAAGTCTTTACTATTGTAATATTTATTTTAGGTGACGGATGCCCAGTTGGTCACTTTTGTATCTCCGGAAGTTCAGCTCCGACACCATGTGACCCGGGCACGTTCCTTCCGAGCACAAAAGCACAGGACCAGTCTTATTGTATCAGCTGTACAGCAGGAAAATACTGTAGCCAGTCTGGACTAAGCGCTGTCGAAGGAGATTGTACGGCAGGTATGGACATTTTTCCTGAATTATCAAAAAAAGAATTAATTATTATATTGTCACCTTAGTGCAGTAACAGGTTAACTCCTAATAAATTATAAATAAATAATAAATTATGTAACAAGTTAACTTGTTATTGCACAAAGATGATGATATGCTTACACCAAGAGAAAAAAATATGTAAAAAAAAATATTTAGTATATGTAGATCGATTACATATGAATTGATATCAATGTCTTCATAATTAAAAAGATCTTACCTAGAGTTCTAAAAGTGTGGGGTATTTTGTCATTTTTTCTCCTTTCATAATGATTTTTTAGGAAAGTAAAACCAAAACAAATTTCGGAAACAAATATGATGTTGAGAAAAAATATTCATCTGAATTGTTCATAGCTGCTGTTTTTATAATGAGCAATTTAACAATGCATTTCAGGTTACTATTGCCCAGCTGGACAAATCACCAGTACACCATCAAGCTACGAATGTCCTGCAGGACACAAATGTCCGGCAGCAGTGTCCACATACACAATTTGTCCATCAGGGACGTACCAGGACGAGACCCGTCAATCTACGTGTAAAACGTGCATGCAGGGTTATTATTGTGACAATTCTGGAGGAGCAATCACTAACTACACAACCACTGTCTGCCCCACTGGTAAGATATATAAGTTCACATCTTTCACCATTTTTTAACCTTTTATAGGGATTGTTGTATTATACATTTATGATTTATTATAAGAATCTTACACTGGCTGTCAGTACATACCGGAATATCTAGATTGAGGGTAACTGTTTACGGAAGTAACGAGGTTCTGCCGAGTTTCTGCTAAAAAGTTACCCGAGAGCTAGATATTCCAGTCTGTACCGACAATATGATGCAATTTCATATACTTTAATATATACATGTAAATATATGTACTTTATACTATAATTTTATATATTTTATGATATAACCTCTTATACTTCTTTATGATATAATTATACCCCCACAAACGAAGTTTAGGGGGGGTATATAGGAGTCAGCTTGTCGGTCGGTCGGTTGGTCGGTCGGTCCGTCGGTCGGTCCACATCATGGTTTCCGGACAATAACTAGAGTTTGGAATGAGGTATTGTAATCAAACTTGGTATATAGCAACCTTATGTGGAAAGTCCGGTTGGTATTGCATTTGGACCCCCTGGGGTCAAGGTCAAGGTCACCGTTACTAAAAATAGAAAAATGGTTTCCGGACAATAACAAGAGTTAGGAATGAGATATTGTTATCAAACTTGGTATATAGCAACCTTATGTGGAAACTCCGGTTGGTATTGCATTTGGACCCCCTGGGGTCAAGGTCAAGGTCACCGTTACTAAAAATAGAAAAATGGTTTCCAGACAATAACTAGAGTTAGGAATGAGATATTGTTATCAAACTTGGCGTATAGCAAGCTTATATGAAGACCTGGGTTGGTATTGCATTTGGGCCCTCTGGGGTCAAGGCCAAGGTCACTGTTACTAAAAATAGAAAAATGGTTTCCGGACAATAACTTGACTTAGGAATGACATACTGTAATCAAACTTGGTGTATAGCAAGCTTATATGAAGACCTGGGTTGGTATTGCATTTGGACCCCCTGGGGTCAAGGTCAAGGTCACCGTTAGGAAAAATAGACAAATGGTTTCCGGACAATAACTAGAGTTAGGAATGAGATATTGTAATCTAATTTGGTTTAAAGGAAGCTTATATGAAGACCTGGGTTGGTATTGCATTTGGACCCCCTAGGGTCAAGGTCATCGTTACAGTGTTACTAAAAATAGAAAAATGGTTTCCGGACAATAACAAGAGTTAGGAATGAGATATTGTTATCAAACTTGGCGTATAGCAAGCCTATATGAAGACTGGTTGGTATTGCATTTGGGCCCCCTGGGGTCAAGGTCACTGTTACGAAAAATGGTTTTCGGACAATAACTAGAGTTAGGAATGAGATATTGTAATCTTATTTGGTGTATAGGAAGCTTATATGAAGACCTGGGTTGGTATTGCATTTGGACCCTCTAGGGTCAAGGTCACTGTTACAGTATTACTAAAAATAGAAAAAATGGTTTCCTGACAATAACTAGAGTTAGGAATGAGATATTGTAATCAAACTTGGTGTATAGCAAGCTTATTTTGAGACCCCAGTTGCGATTACAATTAATTGAAATATTTCTTTGTACACAGTTGATAGTTTGTGTTCAAATTTTTCTTCAGACTACTTTTTTTTCAAAAAGTCAAAGTTGTTGGTGGGGGTATTAATCACCTTCAGTGATAGGTCTAGTTTCATTTTTTTTGTGATCAACCTAAGATACTTTATAAAAATTTGTTTACATTTATTTTCATTAGGTCATTATTGTCCAAATGGAACACAGACAGCATATGCCAACCCATGTCCAGCCGGAACATTCAGCCAAAACACTGGACTAATTGATGCTAGTGAATGTGATCCATGCACAGGTAAGTGTTGTCCAAAATAACCTCTCTTGTTATGCTTTATACCTAATTTTAAATTTTTTTTTTTATCAAGTTTATGTTTTGAAACTGTTAAAAATCAATGTTTGTAGTAAAAGGTAGCTCAAATCAGTATTGATAACTTCTATTCATAGATTCTTTATGATGTTAAATTCTTCTGGACTTTAATCAGTAGATTCCTGAAAAAATTTTAGTCGCAAAATGTCTTTGACTTGAATTTGTGTTATTTTTTTATCTTTGTGTTATTTTTTTATCAATAAAAAATCAGATTTTTTTTATTGCGATTTATTTATCAAAAAAAAAAACAAAATTAATTGCCAGTCAACATATGTGTATGGACAGTAACATGAGTGTAATTAAATGCTAGCATTGTCAGTGTTGCAAATGTTAGGACCTTTGTGACACACTTATTACTGTTCTAGGGGTAGGAATAGTCTAGATATTTATTCAAACTGTCTTCAAGTTATATTTACAGAGTGATGCTCATATAAACTATTCTATTCTAGGCGGGTACTACTGTGTCCAAGGTACAACCACACCAACATTGTTGTGCAGTGCTGGATATTATTGCCGGAACAGTTCACAGACTGCTGCGCCAACACAGGGACCGGAAGCCAATGAATGTCCGGTTGGTCACTACTGTCCGGAACAAACAACGGAGCCAATCAAATGTCCCATTGGAACTTTCTCAAATGCCGTGAGATTGATGAACGAGACGGATTGTACGCAATGTACACAGGGTAAATTTTGCTCGTTTTCATACATTAAAGATATGTACTGTATAAATGAATATTTTCGCGTGTTAGAAAGTGAGCGAGAGAAAATATAAAGAGTATCGTGCAAGGGTAGCATTTTATTATTATTACAGGTTGGATGATATTTATGCTAGAGAAAATTTTAGCGATTTTAGTCAATTTGTGAAATTTGCCAATATTCTGTGTCGCTAACTTTACCACCTATACAGTAACTCTTACCAAGTTTACAATGCTTGACATTGGCTTCTTGGGATTGAGGCTAAAAGCCCTACATCGGTCATGGCCATTTGTTTATACGGTTCATACTAGAACTGGTAAGTCCAAGAAGGATTTAAACAAAGATTCAGCTTTTGTTGCATCCAGTCAAGAAAGCAGAAATGATTTTAGCAGGGTTATCATGGTTTTTGCGCTTTGAAATTGCTGATTTGGAACTTTTTTTTACCGCACCTGATGGGCCTTGCCACCTTTCCCAAAAATCTGGAAAAAAACAATCTGCCAGTTTAAAGGTAAATAAATAAGTAAAGTCTTTAACAAATTGTTTATTGTCCCACAAATTGTGAATAAAAGGGAAATATGTTGTTTGTTTCAATAGTTATGCACTTACATAATAATTTTACTAATATCTATTCACACAGGATCCTACTGTGATGCTCAAGGACTTACAGCCCCAACCGGACTCTGTGCACCAGGATTTTATTGTGAAACCGGATCAGATAATGACTCACCTGTTGAATGCCCTGCAGGAAAATACTGCCCTGAAGGTAAAATTAATGAATTATGGTAACTTGACACTCAAATATTTAATTTTAAAGTGTATTTAACATTTTGTAAGATATTGAACGAACATGGCAGTGGATTTTTTTTTATAATATTAGACATAGAATAGATTTTAGTATGCATGCATTTACATATTCGTTAGTCTAGGTTTGTCTGTATAAGATCTTTACCTTAAACAAATATATGACTTCATGTGATGTTATTACATAAGAAAGACTTCAGTCTACATATTTTTCTTCCATTGTATATTATAACAGCATTGCAAACATAATCGTCAATGTCTTCTTTAAATCCTTAATCCGCCCCTATCCAGCTCAGTGATACCGGTCCTGCAACATTTTTTATTGTTGAGTGTTGGACGTTGTTCAAGGTTTCCATTTTACCTTATTTTAGGGACGCATACTCCAACCAGATGTCCAACGGGAACATTCTCCAATGCAACACGTCTTGATCATGCCGACAATTGCACCGCCTGTACTGCCGGATTCTACTGCACGACAACGGGTCTGACTGAACCACAGGGCAACTGCACGCAAGGATACTACTGTGTTACAGGTAAAATATTTTAGAGATCAGAAAACAGAAGTGTTGCATTACTTCTCCATAGGTTGTTTCATTTATGATAGTTTTCAAAGTTATTTTTTATGAAAACACCTATGAATAAAGGCATAGTTATTAAATGCAATGAACTGAAAAACAATCACTTAAATGTCTTTTTCAGGATCAGTAGTAGCTAATCCAACCAGATGTCCAAAAGCTTTCCACTGTCCTGAAGGTAGTTCAGCACCTCAGGAGTGCCCAGAGGGTAGCTACACTACACAGACTACACAGTATGAATGTGTACCGTGTCCACAAGGGTGAGTATTTGTCTTCAGGATAAGACACACTAAAAAAACAGTAAAAACGGAAAATTTTTGATAATATATTAAATAAAGTGAATGTGCTTTGACATTTTTTCAACAGTTTTCGTAAAAATTTGTACCTACTTTTGTACATTTTTCCTTTAAAGAGAGTGTTTACAAAAAAAGTACCAGTGGACCAGGACATATATGATTGCAAATAGTCTTGCCATTCTGTCAAATGAATGATGGAAATTGTAAAATGTTGAATTTGCAAAAAGTGATGAAAAGAGATAGTAAAATATTTGCGTTAAGTTGCTAAGCACAGGCTCTTTATATCCATATCTGTTGGGCAAGTTTCACTTGATATGAAAAATGCTAGGTACAGAAAGGTCATCAAATATAATTATTTCAAGGGAGAATGTTATAGTGTATGTTTAAATAAGAATTGTAAATATAAGCTATAATAATCAAAAACTTGATATGGTGGTTGTTTTATGAAAAAATATGATAATACAAAATTGTGTGATTTTACTATTTTGAACAAAACTATGAAAGATTAAAATATCAATAATAAGTATAAGGTAAACTTTATCATGTTAATAACTGGTATATTTTACAGATATTACTGTGTATATGACAATGCTGTACAAGGAGACGTAGATTCAGTGAAGTTTGACTGTCCCAGAGGTTACTATTGCCCTCAAGGTACCGGACATGATTGGCAGCCTTGCCCCGCCGGAACATTTGGCACGCAAAAGAATTATTACCAGGTAAGTTAATGCAACTTTTTTTGCGCGATTTATAATTGCTGTCTTAAATACCCAATTTGAGGGTACCACTGGCTATTTTTGGTAAGGTGTCTGCCTCTCAAACCAGGAATCATGAGTTCTAGTCCTATTTTGGTCACAATCATGGTACCTCGTATGACACCAGTATTGGTAATAGTTTCAGGAATCTGAATTCAGAATGGTTCAAATGAGCTTCAAACTTTCATCACAGACGAGCTAAAGTAAACAAAATAAATTTCACTTTTACTTATATGAAGAGCTATTGTATATTACCTAGCATGAGGGTCATCGTCATACTTGGTTAAGTTTTTGCATTCAAGTTGGTATTTCTAAAACTCCTGAATAGTATGGATTGAGACTTCACACACTTCTTTTCTGTGATAATTAAATATGACAGGTCCCATAACTCTGAGTTATCTTATAACAGAGTTATTCCCCTTTTCTTTACTGTCACATTCTAAGAATAGTCAAGCACCCTGTCTTACAAATAGCTCTTGTTAAATTGTTAGTTCTTCAAAACTAAATATATAAAGTTTCTTGAAATTAAAATTGTAGGAGTCACAATGTACTGACTGCAGCGCTGGAAAGTATTGTGACACTGAAGGAGCAACAGCCGTTACCGGACCTTGCAGTGCCGGTTACTGGTGTCAATCCGGTGTTGACCGACCCAATCCGGACAATGATGCTGCGAATACCACAAACGCTACATGTGGTCTAGGTGGACATACAGGTATATTGTTTAATACTTATTTTAACTATTTAGTGAGATTGAGAATTAGCGAGATATTTCTAATATTACATTATGTATATATATGTATTTAAAGCTCGTAAACTTATGTTTTGAACAAGATGAGATATGCATCTTAATGATGAAGATGGACATAAAGGTGAAAGAAAGTCTTTGTTTCAACTTCAATACTCTTGCTAATGAGATATCAAGTTTTCATTACTGAGACTTATCCTTCATCACTAGATATAAATAAAATTGTAATTATTACTTTGTCAGTGAAATATATTTTATATCAATTAATCTTTGTGAAATATCATCATCAGATTAAGTTGAATTGTTTTTCCAATATATTAGAATAAATGGAAAGCACAATTTTGCTTTATTATTTGAAAGATAATGAAGATGGTGTGGGTATCTTAAATTAATTCACCAAGTTAGGCAAGTTGGGCATTGGCACAAGCTCATCATTGGCTAAGGGTTTGCTTGCATTTTAGTTCTGTCCCCACATCAGCAAAAGTTTTTTTGTTGAAAATTCATTGTTATTAAAGGTTTTGTCTTGACAAACATGGAAAGTATTTGCTTGAAACTTAGCACCTATATTATCAGCTGGTTTTACCCATGTTATGTGTGCAGACCAAGATAATGGTCTGCACTATTCCCTGTTTAGTCAGAATTTTTATCCTAAAGGTGAAAATATCATAATATCATACACTGTTTGTAGGTGTTGGAAGTATTTGTCCAATCGGATCATACTGTCCAGAGGGCATAGATCTGCCAATCAATTGTGGTGCCGGAACATATCAAGATGAAGAGGGTAGCAGCTACTGTAAAGGTTGCCCTGAAGGTAAGATAATAATAATTGAATTTTTTATTGAACTTTGAAATGTTATTGGCATCAGCCGTTCGTTTGGATATAGAAGTTTATAATATATGTAAAGTTTTGTTCAGTTTATACTAATTTACTTTAGTTCTATTGTGTTGGAAAGCTATAAGCTTATTGAAACACTCTCGAATCTGTTCCTGGAGCCAACCAGTACTGAGCAATGAGTATCAAGTTTCTTGCTCATGGAAACAATGGCTTGCCCCTGACAGAGTTTGAACACATGTGGCCAGCAATTATTAGATTATTGGTCTGCTGTGTTAACCACTTGGCCACACAGCCATAGCCACTCGGCCACACTGCCACAGAATAGATGTTTATGTTATCAAGTTATTATGCTGGGAAAAATAGATGTTAGTGTGCTGAGAAGAAAGATTTATGATTTTGTAACTTCTAAATCATTAAATTGTTTGGGTTTTTTTCAATTTGTAAATATTTTCTTGTTACAGGCTTCTTCTGCCCAGCAAATACCTCCGATTACACAATTAACCCATGTCCAAGCGGTCATTATTGTCCAGAGAATACAACGTCGGCCAACGAGTATCCTTGTTCTATTGGAACATTTAACCCCAACACCCAGCAGACAAACTCTAGCTCATGTGCCCTGTGTACTGGTGGACAGTACTGTAGCGGTACTGGATTGTCTGCCCCTACTGGCAACTGCAGGTAGGTCACCTTTTATCCCAGGCAATGTCATGTGTTGCCAAATAATCTTAAAGCAGCACGCCTCCAGATTCATTTTAATTTCCATGAAAACTTTAGAAATTTATTTGAAAATAAAGTATTGTGAAATGAACAAAAATAGTAATTTACATATTGCAATCTGCACTTACAATCCAAGAAAATTAGGTCATCCTTAAAAAAATGTTTGTTTGCAGTAACCCAACCCAGAATTTTCAAGGTGGGTAGGTAGGTCGATTTTTTTTTTTTTTTATTGAACTGTACTCCCAAATAAACATGGAATTTCAAAATGCTGGACAATATATGCTTTGATAATCTGGTAACAATTAATAAATTGATAACTGAATTCTAATTTAATAAGACCTACATTTTATTTCTTCTATTAACCTTTAAAAGAACGAAAACAAAGCACAAGGCATAATTTTCTAATTCAAAAAAAAAATTTGAGTAGGGGCAAATTTTGTGAGTCGGTCGCGTTACTGCAAACTAACATTTTTTTAAGGATGGCCTTACCAAAAAGTGGTCAACATATGCAAAAACAGCCCTTACTGCATTAGTAACAGAGTAAAAATATGGTGTCAAAATACTGCAAAATCTGTCTTAAACCACACATAACATGTGAAATATAACTTGGATCTTGAATGTTTTTAGCTTTCTTAAAATTTTAGTACATTTTTCTCAATATTGATTTTCTTGAAATATTTTGGCTCATCTAGAGGTGCGCAGCTTTTAACTTAAATTATTTCATGCCAGAAATTTTGGGGAGCAAGGGTGATCCTGAATAAATAAATCACTGAACGATAATTTAAATAAATTTTTTTTCATTAGCAAAGAATAAGATATAACATTTTACATGATACATAAACTTTACTAAGAGTGTATGTCCTAAAATAGAGATTTGGCTCTTGATTTCATAAGAGAAATTTAGGGAATGATTTCTTAAAAGAAAACGGTTAATGATTTTTAAGTTTAAAGATATTTGGGTTCATAATTTACAGCAGAAACTTGGCAAAGATTTAATTTTCTGATCAAAAATGAGTAAACTATGACAGTTATGTTGGACGTTACATTTCTTGATATATAAACTATATGTGTGTAGTATAGACACACCTTGAACCAAACAGTACTGAGCAATGAGTGTATAGTTTTTTGCTCAATGAAACAATAACTTGATGGTGACTGGGTTTGAACCCATGCAGCTAGCCATTTTCAATTTATTAATCTGAGTCTTCAAATTATCTAAATTGCTTGTAATAAATTACGTATTACGACACAATTTTCAGTGGTGGTTGGTACTGTATAGAAGGTGCTGTCCAACCCAAACCAACAGTAAATGCCCAGGGAGGTAAATGTAAACAAAGGTATTATTGTCCCGAGGGTAGTGACGGCCCAACCATCTGTGGAGAAGGTGTATACTGCCAGACAGAGAGATTGGACTCTCCCAGTGGGCTCTGTGATGCAGGTGAGATATAAATGTGTTTGTTTTTCTTGCTAATATGCCAAGTTAAGTTAACTCATTGGTACGAAGATTTAGATATTGAAACTTAAAATACCTACAGTGAATATAATTGGTTGTTTTGGAATTATGGAAAGATGACGCTGTCTTCGTGGAAAACCCAGAAACACCTTCCAATTTTATTTCACATAATGCAGTTTCAAATCTGTGTTTATAAACTGGCACATTGCGAAACAATGTTCCTCCTTCCTACCAGTACACATATTTCTTAATGAAAAGCGACTAGAATATCTATAATAGTTATTAATATCATATTTTGAACAATTTACAGGATACTGGTGTAATAATGGCAGTAACTGGAACCAGCCTTATGATGGAACCACTGGCGGCTCATGTCCTTACGGTCATTACTGTCCACAGGGTAGCGCAGGAGGCGTCCCCTGCCCCATGGGATATTTCCTAAATGCTGAAAGAAGTACTTCATTGTCCAGCTGTACTTTATGCTCGCCAGGTAATACCTCAAATTTTTGTTTGACTCCTACGAATATTTTCTTATCATAAGTAATTCTGTTCCGTCTGCATCTATAAAACTCTTTGATGTCGGGACAAAAAATTGTGATTTGGTTTTTTTTTTGCACAGGCCTCTTGATTAATTTACATATTTTTGACTTTACAAATCTTCACATCTGTGATTGCTGTGATCATACTCAATACTGATGGCTGCCTAGTTAATCAGAACTTTCTTTAAATTCTTTCAACTAACATTTGACAGAAATTTAAAAACAGAGCAAATGTTTTATACAATATTTGTTATGGTAAAGGTTTGAAATCGATTTTTGAAAAATGCATTGTTTCTTATTTAGGCAAATACTGTGAGACTGAAGGATTACAATTGCCGACTGGAGATTGCGATCCTGGGTATTACTGCCCAGGCGGTCAGTCAACATCAACTCCTGCCAACTACAGCTGTCCCGAGGGGTCTTTCTGTGCAGGTGGTCTTTCTGCCCCAGTGGATTGTCCGAGTGGACAGTACCAGGTAACATGTCTGCTTTTTCTTTTAATTTTTGTTTCTTCTTGTCATCAAATTTAGAAGTACCTGGCCAAGTGGTTTATGTTAATGATTTTTTATCACTTGCCCCTTCACAGCTGTGGGACGGAATCAAATCAATAACTTTCATGTGAAGATGCTGTCCAGCTGTATTGGTTCACTTTGGGTGCCTGCTTATGATTAAATTGACACACATAGACATACAGACACACACCCAACACACATACAGAGAGACCTAACCTAAATTCTTCAGCAAAAATTAACCCTGATTACACTTGCTACAGATTGTCGGACCAATTTTTTTAACATTTAAGATGTTTGAAAATAACCTTAAGTACCTGCTTTAAAATTACAAAAATATTTTCATGTTTATTAAAGGATCTACCAATCGAGTCAAGTTGTAAGACATGTCCAGAAGGCTATTACTGTGACTCAGGAATAGCGGGTGGGGTATCAAACTATACCCAATATATCTGCCCAGAGGGAAGTTACTGTCCCGCAGGAACAACCCATGCTGATCAACACTTATGTCCACTAGGAACATTTAACAATGCTACAGGTAAAATTTCAGTTGAATTTATAAGGCCTAAAGAAGTTTTTGCTGGGTCTTCCTGCCTACCAAGTTAAAATCTCCAGACAAAATTTTTTTTTTTTGCCTAAATGTTAATCTGAGACATGCTTTTGAAGAATATTCAGAAAAAGTGGTTTATTAGAATAGATATACAGAATTTCTTGGTGAATTAAAAAAAAAAAGAATTCCAAAATTTGCAGATTGTACTTCTGTAGTTGATACTGAAGTATAAAATAGAAATTAGAAATCGGATGAGTTCAACTATTTTGCATTTTCAAATTTATTGATGGTTAAGCTGTATTCTGTTGATGCATGAAAGAAAAAAAAATCAACCAAATGTTTTTTTTATCCATTCACAACCCTGATTGAACATCTTTTAAAATTTCTTCAGGATTAACACATTCGGACAATTGTACTGACTGTGTTGGCGGAATGGCATGTGACGAGACCGGTCTTACCTATCCAAAACGAGAATGCTCAGCTGGTTATTTCTGTATCTCTGGAGCGCAGTCCATGACTCCTGTCCAAGGAGTGAATGCTGACGTCTGCCCAACTGGCTCCTATTGCCCCCAGGGTACTGCTGACCCAGTTCCGTGCCCAGAAGGGTCGTATAATCCTTCTACAGGGCTGCAGATGGAGAGTCAATGTTTGAATTGTACAGGAGGAAGTTATTGTAATGAGACAGGTAATGATTGTCGTCTGCTGCAAGCTATTTTCTATTTATAGAATTCCATTCAAGATACCTAAAAGAAAGGTTCACTTTAGAATGTTACTATTTTTAGATTGGATATCAGATCAGAAAAATCTTGAAGTATATTCAGATTATTGCTCTTTATATAGAATATACAGTAAACTTGGTATATAACGATTTTCAGGGGTTGAGTTGAATTTTTATTTGGTGAGGATGGGGCTTTAGTGTCTCTTTCTTTGTTACTATAATGAAGAAGTATATAAAAAAAAACAATCGATTAAGAAATTATTGAATAATTATACCATATCAGGTAAAAAAAAATTAAATTTACACAAATTTAACACACCTTTTTCTCACCATTTTATAGGCCTTAGTGCAGTAGTTGGACCATGTTTCGCTGGTTTCTATTGCCCCACTGGAAGCTTGACTGCTACAGAGGAGCAATGCACTGTGGGTAACTACTGCCCCGTGGGTACTGAATATCCTGTGCCGTGCCCGAATGGTACGTTCTCTGACAATGTGGGAAATGCGGCACAGTCTGACTGCTCTTCATGCAACCCTCGATATTACTGTAACGGAGAAGGATTGACTAACGTCACTGGTTTATGCAAGGAAGGTAAGTCAAAACCTTTACATTCTGAATTTGTATAACGGATTTGTTTTTTTGAATTCGGAACTAGAAAAAAAAAAGAACTACCAACAGTATGCAGGGATGAGCAGGCTCTTAACTTGTTACTTATGGCAACGGTTAATTATGTTTGGTTTCAGTAGGGAAAGGCGTAAGACGTGTAATATTTGTTATATACTTATTACACAGGAATAGAAATCTATGCAGAAGTCTACCTTAAAGTTTTGTTTTTTTATTTTCGTTTTTTACTTTTATTAGTTTATAGATTAATATGATTCTAAATTTATGAGTAAAATAGGTTAATGGGACATGTAGCCTAAAGTTTCCTAGAAAGTCAAAAGGTACAAAGAGTAAAAACGTTTTTTATTCTGAATGCCATTTTAATAGGTATAGAATTTCGGTTTTTAGCTCACCTGTCACAAAGTGACAGGGTGAGCTTTTGTGATCGCTTTTCGTCCGGTGTCCGTCCGGCATCCGTCCGTCCGTAAACTTTTACTTTAAATGACATCTCCTCATAAACCACTAAGCCAATTTCATCCAAACTTCACAGGAATGTTCCTTTGGTGGTCACCTTTAAAAATTGTTCAAAGAATTTAATTCCATGCAGAACTCTGGTTGCCATGGCAACCGAAAGAAAAAAACTTTAAATATCTTCTTTTAAAAAACCATAAGAGCTAGAGCTTAGATATTTGGCATGAAACATCTTCTAGTGAGTGTCTACCAAGTTTGTTCAAATAAAAGCCCTGGGGTCAAAATTGGCCCCGCCCCGGGGGGTCATTGATTTTCCCTATATGCATATAGTAAAAACTTAAAAAATCTTCTTTTAAAGAACCCAAAGAGCTAGAGCTAAGATATTTAGCATGAAACATGTTCTAATGGGTGTCTACCAAGTTTGTTCAAATAAAAGCCCTGGGGTCAAAATTGGCCCCGCCCCGGGGGGTCATTGATTTTCCCTATATGCATATAGTAAATACTTAAAAAATCTTCTTTTAAAGAACTCAAAGAGCTATGGCTAAGATATTGAGCATCAAACATGTTCTAATAGGTTTCTACCAAGTTTGTTTAAATAAAAGCCCTGGGGTCAAAATTGGCCCCGCCCCAGGGGGTCATTGATTTTTCCCTATATGCATATAGTAAAAACTTAAAAAATCTTCTTTTAAAGAACCAAAAGAGTTAGAGCTAAGATATTTAGCATGAAACATGTTCTAATAAGTGTCTACCAAGTTTGTTCAAATTAAAGCCCTGGGGTCAAAATTGGCCCCGCCCTGGGGGGTCATTGATTTTCCGTATATGCATATAGTAAAAACTTAAAAAATCTTCTTTTTAAGAACTCAAAGAGCTATGGCTAAGATATTTAGCATCAAACATGTACTAATAGGTGTCTACCAAGTTTGTTCAAATAAAAGCCCTGGGGTCAAAATTGGCCCCGCCCCGGGGGTCATTGATTTTCTTTATATGTGTATAGCAAAAACTTAAAATCTTCTTTGAAAAAACCCAAAAAGCTAGAGTTTAGATATTAAGCATGAAACATCTTCTAGTAAGTGTCTACAAAGTCTGTTCAAATAAAAGCCCTGGGGTCAAAATTGGCCCGGCCCCGGGGATGTCATTGTTTTTAACTACATGTATATGTGTATAGTAAAAACTTAAAAAAAATCTTCTTTTAAAAAGCCCAATGAGCTAGAGCTTAGATGTTTAGCATGAAACATCTTCTTATGGGTGTCTACCAAGTTTGTGCAAATAAAAGCCCTTGGGTTAAATTGGCCCTGCAACGTTGGGGGGGGGGGTGGTTGTTGGGGGGGGGGGGCCTATATACAGGTGAGCGACCTCAGGGCCATAATGGCCCTCTTGTTTCACTCTTGGACCGCTGGTTGTAACTGAATCTACCCATGTGTACGTGCCATCTAATCTTGGTCTGAACATGGCCTGAACTGTTTGAATAGTCAGTCCTTATTTTGAATTTTTCCCTAAAAATGAAGAATGGTTTTGTCCAGATTGAAACATGGACAAGTCTGTTTAAAAGATATTTAGGTTGGTCAAGGGTTAAACAAGATTAATATCTTTCAGGATATTATTGTCCGAGTGGAAGCAGTGTAGAAACGGAGATTATCTGCCCAATAGGGAAGTATTGTCCTACCGGAAGTGCCGACCCAGCAGACTGTCCGGCCGGGACGTATACAGCAGCAGATGGACAATTTAGTTGCGCGAGCTGTCCCGCAGGTAAGAATTCAACCCTGTTTTGGGTGATTGAAATATTTATCTTTTCCACTTAAATGAGGTACGTTTGGCAATGATATTGAATTTTAAATTGTTGTTTTGTCCATCATAGGTAAAAATGTCCATAAATAAAGGTATGAATGTCAAATCTGTTATTTTATTTTATATAACTGTAGTTCAACCCAAAACAAGAACTTTTTTGTCTTTGTTTTTAAAGGAATCCATGCAGCAATCTTGAATGCAATAATAAAAGATAACTCAATCTGGAATTTAGGTTTCAAATGTGAAAAAAAGAAATGTTTTCTTATTTCAGGTTATTATTGCGTAGCGGCTAATGTAGTTGCTGGCGATCTAAGCTCAGTGATAACGGCCTGTCCTGCCGGGTACTATTGTCCTAACGGCACTGGGTATGATTGGCAACCATGTCCCGCTGGAACCTACAGCGACGTTACCGGACTTACCAAAGAGAGCGAGTGTACATCTTGTCTGGGAGGATATTTCTGTTCCGGTATGTCATATCGTAGATATAAACTGGAAAGATATGCTTTGATGATAAGGAGATTATTAGTATCAAATGTCAAAGATCTAATGGTGAGGTCTAAAAAGAGAGCTTAAAATGAATTGTAACCTTAGTGTAGTGACAGGATGTCATGTGAATTTGAGAATTTCTTTTTGCATTTCAGTTTCAAACCTGACTGGACCATCTGGGCATTGCGCAGCCGGCTATTACTGTATCTCCGGTGTAGACAAAGCCAACCCAACCATGCTTGACAGTGGCCAGTGCCCTAATGGAACTGTTCATCCAATCGTAGGTGATGTTTGTCCTATAGGACATTACTGTCCTGAAGGTACAGACAATCCGATTGGCTGCCCAGCTGGCACTTACCAAGATTTAACCAATCAGGACCATTGTAAGGCTTGCCCTGCAGGAAAGTTCTGCCCAGGCAATACAACAGATCCTTCAGTGAATGACTGCCCAAGTGGTCATTATTGTCTTGAAAATACAACTCATGCTAATGAGTACCCGTGTCCAGCTCAGACATTCAATAATTTGACCAGTGGTCAGTCTTTAGACGACTGCCAGTGGTGTTTACCAGGAATGTATTGTTCGGGAAGTGGAAACGTCTGGCCAACAGGAGATTGTGCCCCTGGCTACTACTGCACCAATGGATCTGATACAGCTACTGTAAGTTATTTTTAGATGAAATCATTTCTATATTTAGCCATTTTTAGATGAAGTTATTTTTAGATTCATTGACAAGTTAAATTGACACTCTAAAGGTCATCTTTGTGATCTCCAAATTTAACAATTGGGAAAGATACAAGATTCTCCACTCTGTATTAATTGAATTAGAAGTTGATGTATAAATATGAGCTATCATAGATTATAGCAGCTGCTATCATAGATCTATTAAGCTAACTGAATGCTTTCGTTACATGAAATTTGATTGTATTGGGTATCACACTTGTAACTTGTCAGCCCACAAAGCTCCCTAGGGAGAGTATCTGTTTTGTATTCCATGGGTTGCTCCCTGGCCAGATCCCCAGTTGAGGGAAATATCTTTGTGGCAATTGATCTTGCACATAGAGTCTGAAGGTCATTTGACTCATAGAAGATTCAGAAACCATGTGACATAGACGGTCACTTGCGTAGAAATTGGTAATTACTGGTTAGTTACCCAGTAAAGTGGGATAGGTGGACCGATTAACCAGATAAGACCAAATATGTAATAAGGTCAATGTTAAAACCAAAAACCTAAGTAGAGCAAATAGTTTTAAGTAGGCAACAACCTTAACAACCAAGGAGGCTATGTTTGTAATTTATGTAAGTCACAACACATTCAAGAAAATTATTTACCATTTCTTGTTTAACAGGACATTTTATATTATTTTACTCTCTTAAATTCATAAATACATCATTTGTGTGGAAATTTGATTTTCTCATTTTAATAAAATTTCGATTATTTTGTTTTATTTAGCCGTGGTTTTTGGTAAAGTTATTTGTTGACTTCACAGTGACAGATATTTCGTTAATTTGTTTGATGTTTTGTCTAACTGTAACACATTGTTGTACTGTTGTTTTTTTTAACAACACTGGACTAAATGTTCTGTACTTACAGTGTTAACATATAGAGGATGTTGAATAATGGTGGGTTCAATACTGAATTTATTGAACAAGTTGAGTAAAATTATATTATACAAGCCTCTGGCGAGCTTAATATTATTTTATTCAACAATTCAAATAAATTCACAGTAATGAACCTACACGAATATAATATTCTATTTATCACATACCCAAAATAAAGACTGTTGAAAATGAAAAAAAAGAAAAGATTTTTCATTGACGCGCCTATATTGTAACACTAACATTTAGCGCATCTTAACGCTATGCTTTTATAATGCAAATGATATCATATCAAAATATATGCACGGCAGTACAATACCATTTTTACAGAGTCGCATAAGCGGCATGGGAATGTGATAGAAATTTATAATGAATGGAATATTAAGTCTGATTGATTTAAATTATGTTAATATTAACTTGCTATAATTGGATTGCCTGATTTTCATAATTAGTGTGCTCATGTTGTTATTTATTGTGTTTGTTAACAATGATACTAAATTAAATTTTATTGTTACAACATGATTACCTAGGATGAGGTAAAAATCACCTCAACATATTTTACTTCACTATTCACAGCTTATATAATGGAAAGCATAAAAAAAAATCAAAAAAAATATTCATGTTGGAAAATTATGTTTAAAAATATTACAGAGTTAATGATAATGTCAAGTTCGACCCTGTGGTTACTTATGTTCCTTATATCAAAGAAAACAAAAAACGGAGGGCAAATTTTTGAGAGCAAAAATCTGAGTTCTTGATAACAATGATCTATTGTGTAATAATCTGCATGTTGTAACTTAAGTTATTTTCATTATATCATCATTATTCCTTTTTTAAATTATATGTGCCACATAAATAATCATATTGATTTTCCATGTTAATTTTAAATTTATATTACGATTAAGTCATTCAGGTCAAAATTTTAAAACTTATTCAGATTCACTGTAAAATGCTTTATTGATTAGAATCATATTAGATTCAAAATATGGATCAGGATTGAAATATGTTTCTGTATGCAAATTTTGTAGAAGGTCTGGAAATAAATTTTTTATATGGTATTAAAATACTTCACATTTTGGCTTCTTGAATGGTATGATTTCACAGGAGAAAAAATTAATTTTTATATTTATTTTTTTTATTCAGCCCACACTACAAGGTGGCCGTTGTAGCCCTGGAACATACTGTCCAGCCGGTGCCAGTTACATGTACAATTGCACCCTGGGAATGTACTGTAGCCAGTCTGAACTTTCAGCCCCAGAAGGGTTCTGTGACGAGGGTTATTATTGCCCGGGTGCTGTAACCAGTCCACAAGAATATGACTGCCCAGTCGGTCATTTCTGCCCGAACGGAACCGGTCTTCCTCAACCGTGTAGGAACGGAACATATGCTCCCACAACAAACCTTAAAGAGGAAGGGGAATGTACTCCATGTGACGGAGGATTTTATTGTAATGGAACTGGTCTATCAGCAGTGAGTGGACAATGTGATGCAGGTATGGACAAAAGATGTGTGGTTTAAAGTTCCAATTTGAAAGTTAATGGTTAACTTAACTAAATTCTGCATGATAAATGGTTGTTCTTTTGATATTGTGATACTTTAAAAAGGATTGCAATTTTCTTTTAATGTCTTTTCTACTGCAGAAGTGCTTGTTGTTTAACTCTTTTCAGTAAAATGTTTTGTCGAAAAAAAGTAAGGTAGAGTCATGATGTTAAATATTTTTCTTTATCTTTAAGATATAGATAAGGGAAAAGAAAAGATTAGAAAAATAAAGCATTTATTATATATTTATAAATGAAATATTGAGAAATATTGATGAATTAAAATGCATATTTTTATTGTCATTATTCTCACTGTAAAAAAATTTTTTTTCACTGCAGTGAAACATATTTTCAGTATTTTCACTGGTGTCTTGCTGGACTTTCTACTAAATCCAGCCAATACACACACTTTTTTTAAGGGGAAGTCTTTCAAATTGTAATGTAAAGAAAAAAAACAACAAAAAAATGTGTATAATAAACAGAAAATTTAATACCGCCACTTATGAAATATTTATTTGCATACCACTCGATGAAAATAAATCCTGTAATCTTGAATATCCTCTATATATTTGTAGGATTTTACTGCCCACCTGGACAGACCCAGCCAGACCCCTATGACTACAGGTGTACCCCAGGCTATTTCTGTATAGCCAACAGTCCAGATGAAGTAATTTGTCCCAGCGGCCAGTATCAGGACGAGTACCAGCAAGACACGTGCAAAAACTGCCCTGCAGGTATTTGATATACTGTATTCCTGGAATCTGTTGCGGAAACAACAATCGCGGAAAAGTATCCACCGCAAAAAACTAACTTAAAAAGTGGGAAATGATTTCTAGCAATACAGTAGATATTTTATACCCAATGAATGAATTTGATGATTACTGTAAAATTAAAAATGTTCGAAAGTTATTAAATTTCACTTATTCATTGAATAAATGTACAATATATTTAGCAGGTCTGAAAGTAAAAATTTGCTAGTATCTATATGACTTGTTTAAACTAAATAATATTGACAGTAAAAATAGAGTTGACTCGGAGCCAAAATGGTTGCAACTGTTACATATTTGAAATATGTAATAAACATTTCCTTGTATAACATTACATCTTTTCCATAACATCTATATTATTATGCCATACAAAGTAGATTCGAGCCAGTGAATTTAGTTTAATGATAGTGGTATAGAAGAATGCAATGTACAGAATTTTCAATACTTTCATGTGTATCGTTTTCACTTAGGTTACTTCTGCGACAATGCCCATGGTGCGATCGGCAATTTGAGTAACTATGAGTGTCCAACCGGATACTACTGCCCAGGATCAGTGGTTCGTTCCAACGAGTACCCGTGCATACCAGGGACGTATAACAACGTTACTATGTTGACCGACGTGTCACAGTGCCAGCCATGTTTACCTGGTTATTACTGCCAGAATGCCGGACTTACGGAATCGGAAGGATTTTGTTACCCTGGGTATGCTTTTTAATTGATAATTTTCTGTTAAATTAACCAGCAGCGATATTTTCAAAGATTTTTCTTAAAATAAGGGGTATTTTCACAAATGGAAAAATCTCCCTATTTTTTATGTCAGAACATTCTTCTTTGATTATTGCAAACTCTAAAATCTCCCTCTTTTTTGAAGTAAAATCTCCCACTTTTTGAAGTAAAATCTCCCACTTGATCATCATGAAAAGTTCACATGTATGGTATGAAGCTATACATTTATATCTGCCTCAAAAATTATTGTTTGAATTTGTATTTTAAAAAAGAATACTTCCAAAATGCTTTTATGTTTGAAATCATCAGAAATATGGTAGTAAATTGCATCAAAAGTGAAAGGCGCATGCATGAAATCATTTTAAATGGACAAAACCCTACTTAAAGTAGCAGAATAATATAGTGTTCCGAAAAACTTCAATTCGGTCTAGCTACAATATTCATTTGTGTTAAAAAAGGGAGACTTTCTATTTTGAGAATCAACCATAAGTTTATGGAAACAATTTGATTTTTCTGTTGATTTATTTTATAAAAATATTTGTTACGATACATGTAACTTTATACCCTTTCACAAAACTTGTCAGATTTATGCATTACAATGAAATAGAATGGTTCAGTTTAATATTATTAAATTTTAAATTCTGTACACTTTTTTTTTTCCGAAGTACCAGGGTTATGTGCACCTTTATGTACAGATTACGTTTTGTCTCATTTCAGATACTATTGTAATGGAAGTACTATCGAGCCAAATCCAAGTTACGCAATTTGTCCAATCGGCAACTACTGTCCTGAAGGAAGTTATGAGCCAACTCCTTGCCCATCAGGTACCATAGCAACAGGAACAGGAAATTCCAACCTGACTGATTGTGAGCCGTGTAAACCAGGAAATTATTGTACAGCTGTCAGCTCCCAAAATGGTAAAATATTTTGTTATATTTACAGCTTGTAGTTGTCTGTATAGCCCTATTGTGGCTTTATCTACATATTTCTTTTTTACAGTTGGCCAAAATAGGTTTGATAATATTGACAACTCTTGCAAAATTTGTTATAGGTAAAAGCACCTAAAAGGTTTTCATCCAAAAGAATTTTTTTTTCAGTTCCTGAAACTGTTGTATCATACAGATTCCAAAATAGTTATATCATATTTACAGTTTTATCATATTTACTGTCCCATAGTAGTTTTATCTTATTTACAGTTCCCGGAACAGTTTTATCATATTTACTATTCTTTGAATCGTTTTCTCATATAAACAGTTCCTGGAATAGTAAATGCTTCCAGAATTGTAGTTTTTATCATATTTACAGCACCCTGAATAAATGTTATCTTTACTATGTTTACAGCAACTGTTGTCAAATCTGAGCATATGACACAATCAATACAAATTAGAATAGGTTTAAATAAAATAACAGTAATTATCATCATGAAAAAAAATTCCTCAAATGGGAAATACAAAAATAGCATATTTTTGATAAAAAAATATTATTTTGATTATTAATTACAGGCGTGACACTGAGTAAGTGTTAAGTGTGTTAGATAAAGTTGTTAATTAAGTGTGGTAAATCAAAAAATTGTTCAATGTTGTAAAAAAAAAAAAGAATGAATGAAATAATGCTTATTGAAAACACTTTGATTTAATTGTAAGATTTTGTGGTATTTGTGTACTAATATAAAAACAATGGGAATTTAATGCTTAGCCTATTTATCATATGATTATATATACTTCATATAAAGTTCTTATATATTTATCTTGTTATTACATTCTTATTTGATTATTTTATTATACTTATATAAATATGATATCTTATAATGTTTATACCTATGTTTTAATCTTCATATTATGTGATATTTGTGGTACATTCTTTTAATTATGTGATATTCATATTTTGATATATTTATGTGATATTCATGTTATATTCTTTTTATATTTATGTGATATTCATGTTATATTCCTTTTATATTTATGTGATATTCATATTATAGTCTTTTTGTGTCGCCTCTACGGAGTAGTGGCGACATATAGGGATCACTTCTCCGTCGTCTGTCTGTCCGTCTGTCTGTCTGTCCGTCTGTCTGTCTGTCTGTCTGTCCGTCCGTCTGTCACAAAACTTGTCCGGACTACCCCTCATAAACTACTGGTGCAATTTCATCCAAACTTTACAGGAATGATCAGTATCAAGTCTAGTTGTGCATATTGTCAGCATTTTCCGGTTCAATGATTTTTGTCAGAGTTATGGCCCTTTAATAATTTTTAATTTTAAAGTTTGTCCGGACTACTTCTCTTATACCACTAATGCAATTTCAATGAAACTTTACAGGATTGGTCTGTAGCCCAAGTCCTTGCGCATATTGCAAGGGTTTTCCGGTTGAATGATTTTTGGCCGAATTATGGCCCTTTGATAAAAAGGTGTTTTTTTCTGTGTGTTGCCAGATACACAATAGCTTGTCCGGACTACTCCTCATAAACTACAGGTGCAATTTCATCCAAACTTTACAGGAATGATCAGTACCAAGTCTAGTTGTGCATATTGTCAGCATTTTCCAGTTCAATGATTTTTGAAAGAGTTATTGCCCTTTAATAATTTTTATTTTTAAGTTTGTCCGGACTTAACTTCTCTTATACCACTTATGCAATTTCAATGAAACTTTACAGGATTGATCTGTAGCTCAAGTCCTTGCACATATTGCATGGGTTTTCCGGTTGAATGATTTTTGGCAGAGTTATGGCCCTTTGATAAAAAGGTGTTTTTTTCTGTGACTGTTGCCAGATACGCAAAAGCTTGTCCGGACTACTCCTCATAAGCTACTGGTGCAATTTTATCCAAACTTTACATGATTGATCAGTACCAAGTCTAGTTGTGCACTGTTCGTCTGTCTGTCCGTCTGTCACAAAATTTGTCCCAACATGAAATTGGCCATTATGAGGCGACACATGTGATTACTGATCGCTCTTGTTATGTTTATGTGATATTCATGTTATATTCTTTTTATGTTTATGTGACATTCACGTAAATATATTCTTTTGATATTAATGTGAACTACATGTAATATTCTCATGATTATGTGATATTCATATTTCAATCTTATTATGTGATATTCATGTTATATTCTAACAATTATGTGATATTCACATTGTAATCCTGTGATTATGTGATATTTACATTAATATAATTATTCTTGTTATTATATGGTATTCTCATTTTTGTCTTGAAATTTCAATAATGCATGTTTTTAATTATGTGCTGTTCATGTTTCAGTTTTAAATTATAAAATATTATACATGTTTAAGTTTTGAATTTTGTGATATTTAGTTGATAGAGCATGTACTTGGTAATCCACTATTAGTGTTTAAAACGTTAAATTAATTAACTGTGTGATATTCATCTAATATCGCAACTTTTTAATGCTTTTGATGAAGTGAATATTTAGTGTTATTAGAACTTGAATAATGCTTTTGATGTAATTTAATTCATAATTGCTGAATTGATTTCTTGTGTGACAGTTACAATTTAATGTGTTTATCTACATTTAATGGGATAATAATATAATAAAATATGTTTATCCTGATAAAGTTCTGATACAAGATAAATTTTAAATAAATAACTATTAATCTAGTTTGACATGTTGTTTTTTTGCCATGAAAAAAATATTTTGTTAATTGCTTATAGGAAAATTCATCAAGTTATTGTGTTTCTTTAGGATAATCAAGCAAAGAAATTTTATACGGTTCATTTTTAAACCTTTAACCTGAATTATTAAAGTGATTATCATTATGCTACAGGCAAACCGTAAAAAGTTAACAAAGCTTATATTCTTGGTACCTTTATTTTGATTTTTTGCAACATTAATTTTAGTAAACCCTTGAACCCTGATTCAGGACGTCCAATTTAAAGGACACGCTGATAGAAAATTAAAGGGTATTAAAGTTGTTGTGCCAAGAGAAAACTGGTAAGTCATAAATATACAAGGTTTAAGAATGGACTACTAGTATCAACAAAAAAAGCAAATAATTTTGAAGAGATATAATTTTGTGAATAACATTAAATTATTAAATATCTTTAAGTGTATAATGAATGAATCCTATTGAATTATCATTCTATCAGATTTTTTTGAAATTCGTTTTTTAATTCCATCTTAATTCTTTTTGGGTTTTACATGTTTTGTTACTTTAATTAATAACATTTGTTTATTGTTCTTGAATAAAGAAAGATTGAATTAATTTACATAATTTTTTTTATATTTTAGGTTTTAGTTTACCATGTAACGCGGGCTACATTTGTAAAACTGGATCTGACGTCCCTAATCCAACAGACGGAAACATTGGTTATATCTGCCCAGCCGGATATTACTGCCTTGAAGGTGCCGTTCTTGAGACCGCCTGCCCGAGGGGTCAGTACCAGCCACAGACAGGTCAAGGTGAATGCAAGTTCTGTGAAGCCGGAACATCTTGTCCGGATCTAGCAATGAATCAGACGTTACCGTGCCCTGCCGGTTATTACTGTCTAAACGGAACTGTAGACAATGGTGAACCTTGCCCAACAGGTAAAATATATTTTAAATTAACGTAAAGCTAAAAAAAAGTGGTACAGTACTTATCATGTTTATTGTTTATAGTTCTAACTAAAATTTGTGCGAGGATTTTGTATATATTTCAAGTTATTTTCCATTCATACTGAATGAATGTCAGAAATCTTTAAAAAGGAAAAAAAAAAAGAAGAGAAAAATAAATGTAATTCATATTGAAAATTGAATATTTTCTTTATTAATTGGTAAAATCCAAATTATTGCCTATAAACTATACATTTTTCTATGCTAGTATACTTATATATCTGTCAAATTGTCGTTCATACTGAGACTATAGCTACCATTATTATGATACACTATTTTATTGGAAGGCGTACATAGTTTTCTATTTTGTACTTAAATTGTACAGTGTGTATACATGAAAGTCATATTATCGCCTATGATCTATACATTATGGGAAATAATCGTACTTAATGGTAAATTTGTCATATTATTACAATTTTCTATAGGAACGTATAATCCAAGTGAGGCTGTATCCGCGTCCGATGAATGTCTCCCATGTGGACCAGGCGAATATTGCAACGTACCTGGACTGTCTGCACCAGCCGGAAACTGTAGTGCTGGTTATTTGTGCCTCGGCAACGCAACTACGCCAACACCAGACGATGGAGTTAATGGACCATGTCCAATTGCTCATTACTGCGATGAAGGTATTTTTGGGGAATTTTAAATCAAAATTAGATGACTTAATATTTTGGTAGATCTACCTCATATTTTCGGCATTTTGTCATGAAAAATTATTTAAAATGCAATACTTGGCTGTTATTAAAATGTATGTTTATTATATAGAACAAGTTAATGAAACAGGTGATCTTGGGCAAAATGTTTAAACCTTTATATTGTAGTTAGGTTCTGTATATAACATGTATTTTTTTCTTTCTAGGTACAACTGCTTCTGTTCCGTGCCCATTGGGAACTATGCGAAATGAAACACATGGGGCTGGTCGGGCAGACTGTTACCCTTGCGCGGGAGGCAAGTATTGTAATGCTCTGGCATCCACCGGTCCGGCGGGCGTATGTGACCCTGGATATTACTGTCCATCATCAGCCGATATTGACAATCCGCAACCAACATCTTATTTATGTCCCGCTGGATTTTACTGTCTACAGGAAACTGCAGACCCCATTGGATGCGATCCAGGAACATACCAGCCAAATCAAGGTGAAACGTCATGTCTGCAGTGTACAATAGGACATTATTGTCCACAAAATACAAGCATACCAGTTGATTGTCCCGCGTACTCGTACTGTCCGGTTGGCTCGGCTACACCTCTGCTTTGTCCTAATGGAACATACACAACTGATACAACTACAGGACTTGAAAAACCAGAAGATTGTGCCGATTGTGTTTCAGGTAAATAAATAGTCCTTTATTCACAAATTTAATAATAGAACACAGCTGGGTTTTTTTGTTTTTTTGTTTTGATTTTTAAAAAATCGTTATACATGATAACTTGATAGATAATTATACTAATTTGTTAAGGGGTCAACCTATCATTTTTGAAGACAAGAGAATTATATCGGTACACATTTTTTTTGTTGAAATTTTATGTCTTGTTTGCCAGAAAAATAAATTGGATACTGTATTTTAAATTAGAATAACAGCAAAGAGTTGATTCTTTACAATTTCATGTAAGGCTTGAGAAAAATAATTTCATTTCTACTTATATATTATAGGTAGCTACTGTACTGGAGGTAATATCTCTGGCCCATGCTCAGCAGGATTTATATGTTATGTCGGAATGGGCGCCCCAGATCCTGACGATAGCTACATGCCGAATGGCGGACCATGTCCATATGGTTACTACTGCACCGAAGGAATCATTACACCGGCAGTGTGTCCACCGAACTCTTTTATCAGTAAAACTGGTGCAGTATCTCAGGCTGAATGTCAACCATGTCCTGGTGGTAGTATATGTGTGGAAAATTCAACGGTTGCGGAACCGTGCTGGGCGGGATGGTATTGTCGGGTTAATGAGGATCCAGAAATGTGTCCGAACGGAACATACAATGATAAGACCGGAATGAGTGACTCAAGCGCATGTTTGCCATGTCCGGCTGGATATTTCTGTGATAGTCTAGCTCTTGCAAATTACACCGTCAACCCATGTCCTCTTGGATACTTCTGTCCTAATGCAACAATTGTTCCAGAATCATGTCCTATAGGAACTTATAGGTAAGTTATGATGCTTAGATATTTGCAGTTTTGACTTTTTAGAAACATCTTTTTATCTGTTTCTATGTGATTTGATGAAAATATATATACTGGTTTCTTGGCGATTCCGTACTCTAGCAGTTTTCCGGCTGTTATCATTTTAGTCCAGTACAGTCTATTTTTTTCCGATAAATCAGAGAGACCTTGGTATTTCTGGACATGTACCTAACTGTACTCTATCAAAGTGTTAATTCTACTCGATGTCTCCAATATCGCTCGAATAATTCACGTTGGGTGCCTTTTCAATCTTTTTCCAATTATAAACTCAATACACTGACAGTGAAAAATGTAGTTGTTTTTTTCCTGAAGTTTACAAATGAAAAAATTTTATTTCGATAAATGGTCCTTTAAGTGAAAATATGTTTTTATGCTGTTTAAAAGAAACATTTATGAAAAATAAGTGTTTGCTCCAGCCAAAGCATTGCTGTAAATACAAACTGGTCAGTGAATATATTTTCGTTATTTCTTCGCAGGGATGTCGTTGCAGCGGAAAGTGAACTAGATTGTTTCCCGTGTCCGGCAGGGTCATATTGTCCAGATATGAACATGACATATTCTGGTATCCCATGCGTGGATGGTACATATTGTCCAGAGGGGGCCGCTATTATCAGGGAATGTAGAGCAGGTACGTGTTTTTTACATACATAATTTGTCACCTTAGTGCAGTAACATTATAAGTTCTTTTAAATTAAAAAGGAGTTAATCAGTTATAGCACTAAGGTGACAATATTATTTTAATTAGGGGTGTCACTTTTATCCTTTTAAATGGGTTCGTTTGGTTTTTAGTTAAAAACCTGGTTATGAAATTCAATAACCAGTAAAAGCTTTGTATTTGAAAAAGGGGCGAAAAAGTTCTAAATTAATTCTAAATATTTCTTTAGTTTTTTATAGCAAGTTCTGACAATTTGTTTGTATTTTAGTTGTACCCAACAATGTATCTTTTTCCTATCTGATCGTGAATTGTATCACCCTAACGAAAATAATTATTCGATATTAGGATATGTAATGTTATCATTTTGAATTCAACAAAATACGAACAAAATGTCATATCTTGTCATAAAGAAACAAAGTTAATGTTGAAAATCAAAGGATTTTATTATTACAGTCATCAACAGTAAGAGTTTGATTCAAAATGTAAATTCTTTCTATGTTTTTCATTTTCAGGCTACTATTGTAACAACTCTGAGACTGAAATTTCTTGTCCACCGGCTTACTATTGCCCAGAAAACTCGACAGAGCCAACCAGTTGTCCCTCGGGCAGCTACTGCACGGGCAACTACTTTGACACATGCAACTGTACAGATGCAGGTAATGTTGTGAATCTTTGAACTGAAAGTGTATAAATTTAGTTATATGTACATGTATTTTGTGTTATAATTATCTACTACACAAACTGTCACAAAAAAGTTTGTGTAGTAGATAATTATAAATTAACTGTTTCCAGATAAATATTTTGTGTTAGTTAGTATACAGCCTTTTAAAGAACCATACACTTAAATTTTTGGAGGTAATAAAAACTTTGGAAAAAATGAAGAAAAAACCCTGATGTATATTGAATTTTATGGAAAAACTATGATTTTTTAAGAATTTTAGGAAAAACTATGATTTTGAAGAATTTTAGGGGAAAACTATGATTTTCAAGAAATTTCCTATGAGGAAGCAGCCCTGTAGGAGAAAAGCGCTGTGGTAATAATGTGCAAAGTTATATGCACAAGTGCATACAGTAGAAAAATCCTGGGTGTCTGCAAGTAAATAAAATAGCGTTTTAAGCTAAAATGCAGTACATGTTTATACACCATCTCTGTCTCTTTTGGTATCTTGTTCTATAGGGAAGATCAGTCTCTAATTTGGCTTAGAAGAATGTAGTGTAACTTAGATTTTATGGATTCTAAGGAATACCATTATTACGTTCTTTTATATTTCAAGTCACATTTGTATTTTTTGGAAGTATGCAGACTTATATGCCTTTTATGTTATGTAATGCTTAATAAAATTTTGTTGTTGTTGTTTAGGTGCTATTGAGCCAACAATGTGTCCACCCGGTTATGGAGAGATGATCGGTGCCTTACATACAACCTTCGATGACACCTGTTCACCGTGTATAGCCGGAACGTATAGTAATTCGGACGGAAGCGGTTGCACCCCCTGTCGAGCTGGAGTTGTCTGCCTTGACCGAGCCACTTCGGATACTCCAGTGGCAAATAATAGTGACCTTGCATATATATTTGGACCTAATGGAACGCGGTCATATCTTTGCCCAGTTGGTGAGAATGAGTTATAGATTTTAACTTTTTACTTCACATACATTACCCATTAATATCGTAATCATCATATTGATAGTGTTTGTGACATCCAATCACTTTCATCTTTATATGTTGGTTTCTTAATGACCAGTTATTCAGTATACTAACATATTGAAATTTCTTGTTTCTTCTAATTTATGGTTGTTGTTGTTTATTTAAGGGTACTACTGTCCAGAGAACTCGGGTCAAGCCACTCCATGTCCGGCTGGTACATACAACAATCAGGAAGAAAAGAAATCAGTGTCGGACTGTGTCGGATGTGCCGTCGATCATTTCAATCATGTCACGGCTGCCGAAGCTTGTCTGACATGTGGCGGGGAGGCGGATCAACCCAAGACAGGACAGCCTACCTGTGAATGTAAAGGAGGTGGAAAAGATTTCCAGGTCTGTGATCTTTTATATGGTCTTCCTAATGAGGTTGTTTGCGTATAAATCTTTTAAATAGTGTGATCTTTTATATGGTCTTCCTAATGAGGTTGTTAGCGTATAAGTCTTTTAAATCATGTGATCTTTTATATGGTCTTCCTAATGAGGTTGTTTGCGTATAAGACTTTTAAATCATGTGATCTTTTATATGGTCTTCCTAATGAGGTTGTTTGGGTATAAGTCTTTTAAATTGGGGAAATTTAGTAAAGTTCTTTGTGTTGGTGACATATAAAGTTAAATTAACATTATTTGTATGAATTAAGTCAAATATGCAGGTAATGCATACAATGCTATGTGTACAAAGTAACAAATTTGTTTTTTTAATTGTAATTTCTTTTGATTTTTTGGTTTGATGATATTTTAATGTGTAAGCAGGTATTATATCCCCTGCTTGTAGCTTGTAGAAAGTTATTGTTAAAATTTTCAAGACAGAAACGATCAAAAAGACTTCCAAATCAATTATATGAAGAAAAATGTTTGCAAATTGTGCATTCACAGAATAATTGCTTATTGATTAAAAAAGCTTAAAGCATCAACTTAATGAAGTAAAAGCTGAAGTTAAACTCCTATTGAATTATGTAAGGAGTTAGCCCATTACTGCACTAAGGTAGGATATTTTGTTTATGAACATTTTATTCTGTTTACGTGCAATATTTTGTTAAAAAAGGGGCATTCTGAGTTCTCTCTATCAGCTATTCAGAGGATAAACAATAGGACTGTAAAAACATCATAATTTTAAAGTGTATAAAGCTATATATATCTGATGCAAAAAAATTTGTTTGGATTTTAAAAAAGAATACTTCCAAAATGCTTGTATGAAATAAAAATGGCAATAAATTATCTAAAAGTGAGTTTTGCATGCAAAAAGTCTTTGCTAATCGTATAAAATCCTAAATAAGATAGAAAAATAATATTTTGTTCTGTAACATTTTGTTTTGTTTACGTTCATTTGTTTTGTTTACGTTCATTATTCATGTGTGTTAAATAACAGAGACATTCTATGTTACAGCTTTTTCGGGAATCAACTATATGACCATGGAATCAATAAAATTTTTCTGTTGATAAACTTTAAAAAAAAAATATTTCGTAAGATTCGGATTTATATCCTTCACCTTTATAACTTTAATAAGATGAATTCATTAAACATGCAGATAAAAAACACGATTTGTTTTTGCTTTTAGGAAAGTGACCGTCGTTGCGTCTGCTCTGCTGGATATAAAGAGATATACGGATCCGATGACTGCGAGAAAGAAGTCTTCCCATTGTGTAAGAAAGGAAAATGGCGTACACAATCTGGCAGTTGTATAACGCCTGCCCAGTTTGCAAGAGAGTGCGAAAATAACGTATGTATATTTTGTTTGGTTATGTAATAATTGTTTTAAGATCAACCCATTGGGGACCTGTCCTTATTAGGTCAACGCGAAACTTGTTATTTGCATGATTATACTCAAGTGTAAGAAAAAGGCACAGGAGGTTTCTACGTATTCAGCAGGAAAGCTGGAAAGAGGCTACATGATCTTTATGTATGGTGTTTGTGTGTCTTAAAATCTAACTACACAATACTACAAATTGAGTAGGTTACTATGTTGCTGTGTACACCACGCACATAAAAGATCACTTTTAGATCTTTTATCTTGCTCTCACATCATTCTGGTTTATTCGTCTTAAAAGATCACTATGGTCTTGTACTCTGTAGACCATGAACATGAAAGATCAATATATTTTCATTATGTAAATCTTTTATCTTGCACTCACATTTTGGCGGTTGAATTGCTGATATAGGCTTTTTAATGACAAATTAGGGTTTTTTATGACAACCATAAATGAATATTTGTAATGATGATTGTACATTTTAATTTTTAGGTCTGTGACGCTGGGGAATATGAAGGTTATATTGAGCAGAAAGGGGTGTGTTTATGTACAGCAGATGACCTTCGAGAAATATGTGACCTTGAATGCAGGATAGCTCAAAGGGACATCTTAACATTCGTTTGTGCGACTCCACCACTTGAGGCCTATCTAGAAGTCAAAGATGCAAATGGAAATATTGTTGTAAGTTGAAACGAAGGCTACTTGATGGCAATATTGAATTATGAAAAGAAATTGGTGATGTGTTGGGATTGGCAAAAATGTCTTGACCTCACTACCTTATGATAAGCAATAGTCATGTGTTTTGCAAAAATGTCTTTGTCTCACTACCTTTAATGGATCACAGGGTAGTCATGTGGTTTCATGAAACACCAGTACCTTGTCAAAAGAATATTTGAGCCGCGTCACGACAAAACCAACATAATGGGTTTGCGACCAGCATGGATCCAGACCAGCCTGCGCAGTCTGATCAGGATCCATGCTGTTCGCTATCAGTTTCTCCACTTGTAATAGAGTTGGTAAGCGAACAGCATGGATCCTGATCAGACTGCGCGGATGCGCAGGCTGGTCTGGATCCATGCTGGTCGCAAACCCATTATGTTGGTTTTGTCGTGACGCGGCTCATTTTTGGTTGTATAAAGGATACTGTATCTGCCACTTCTTGATTTTGATAGATAAAGAGTGATATTGGGTGTGAGACCTTATGAGGTTTTGAAGTAATTAACAGGTTTACAGAATTTTTAATTGATACAGGAATGGTGTGAATCATGATCCAGTGTTCAGAGGACTAACCAATAACTGGATCCATATTGTCGTGGTCTGAATCCCTTATATCCGAGTAATTGCTACAGCCCTAAACTTCATTGTTATTATGTACATGTATTGACTTTCTTGCTAACATTTTTGATATTTCATTTTCAGAGTCAGTTTGTTGTGTCCAGTTTGTCCGCTATCATTAACTCTGTGAACGCTTTTACATCTTCACAATGTAACGTATTTGATGGCTCGTCATCTCCAGTATATTTTACCGCCATGGACGAATCATCTCAGGGATTTGTTGGTAAGTGCCGAAAAATTTCTATTTTACACCATTGTTGGTATCTGAAAATTTACGCTATTTGATGGTGACTTCTTATTTAGCCAAGTTATGTTTGAAAAATTGCATTTTTTAATGGTTTCTGTACTTATTTGTCTATTCATGCCTGAAAATCGCACTATTTTATAGTGGCTCTACTTAAATGGAAAGTCATGGCTAAAAAATTGCAAAATTTGATAGAGCCTCTACTTATAAGCATAGTCATGCCTAAAAAATTGCACTATTTGATGGTTGCTTTACATAAATGCCCAGAGTCATTTTTAGCTCACCTGTCACAAAGTGACAGGATGAGCTTTTGTGATCGCTTTTCGTCCGGCGTCCGTCCGTCCATCGCCCGTCCGTAAACTTTTGCTTTAAATGACATCTCCTCATAAAACACTGAGCCAATTTCATCCAAACTTCACAGGAATGTTCCTTTGGTGGTCACCTTTAAAAATTGTTCAAAGAATTTAATTCCATGCAGAACTCTGGTTGCCATGGCAACCGAAAGAAAAATCTTTAAATATCTTCTTTTAAACAACCCCAAGAGCTAGAGCTTAGATATTTGGCATGAAACATCTTCTAATGAGTGTCTACCAAGTTTGTTCAAATAAAAGCCCTGGGGTCAAAATTGGCCCCGCCCCGGGGGTCATTGATTTCCCTATATGCATATAGTAAAAACTTAAAAAATCTTCTTTTAAAGAACCCTAAGAGCTAGAGCTAAGATATTTAGCATGAAACATCTTCTAGTGAATGTCTACCAAGTTTGTTCAAATAAAAGCCCTGGGGTCAAAACTGGCCCCGCCCCGGGGGGGTCACTGATTTTCCCTATATGCATATTGTAAAAACTTAAAAAATCTTCTTTTAAAGAACTGTAAGAGCTAGAGCTTAGATATTTGGCATGAAACATCTTCTTGTGAATGTCTACCAAGTTTGTTCAAATAAAAGCCCTGGGGTCAAAATTGGCCCCGCCCCAGGGGGGTCATTGATTTTCCCTATATGCATAAAGTAAAAACTTAAAAAATCTTCTTTTAAAGAACCCAAAGAGCTAGAGCTAAGATATTTAGCATGAAACATCTTCTAGTGAATGTCTACCAAGTTTGTTCAAATAAAAGCCCTGGGGTCAAAATTGGCCCGGCTCCGGGGGTCATTGATTTTCCCTATATGCATATAGTAAAAACTTAAAAATCTTCTTTTAAAGAACCGTAAGAGCTAGAGCTTAGATATTTGGCATGAAACATCTTCTAGTGAATGTCTACCAAGTTTGTTCAAATAAAAGCCCTGGGGTCAAAATTGGCCCTGCCCCAGGGGGTCATTGATTTTCCCTATATGCATATAGTAAAAACTTAAAAAATCTTCTTTTAAAGAACCCAAAGAGCTAGAGCTAAGATATTTAGCATGAGACATGTTCTAATGGGTGTCTACCAAGTATGTTCAAATAAAAGCCCTGGGGTCAAAACTGGCCCCGCCCCGGGGGTCATTGATTTTCCTTATATGTGTATAGCAAAAACTTAAAAATCTTCTTTGAAAAAACCCAAATAGCTAGAGTTTAGATATTAAGCATGAAACATCTTTAAGTAAATATCTACAAAGTTTGTTCAAATAAAAGCCTGGGGGTCAAAACTGGGTGTCATTGTTTTTAACTATATGTGTATAGTAGAAACTTAAAAAATCTTCTTTTAAAAAACCCAATGAGCTAGAACTTAGATGTTTTGCATGAAACATCTTCTTATGGGTGTCTACCAAGTCTGTTCAAATAAACAAATAAAAGCCCTTGGGTAAAGATTGGCCCCGGGTGGGGGGGGTGGGGGGCTATATACAGGTGAGCGACCTCAGGGCCATCATGGCCCTCTTGTTTAATGGTTTCTATACTAGTCTAGTCATGCTTGAAAAAAAATGATACTATTTGCTGGTTGCTCTTCTAAAATGCCTAGTTATACCTGAAAGTTTGCACTTTGTATGACAATGTCTAAATTTCCATGCCTAGTCATGCCTAAAAAATTGAAATTGCATTTTGTATGATGGTGGCTTTACTTAAATGTCTAGTTATGCCTGAAAAAAGGCACTTTGTTACTTATAAAACTTTTCCACTATATTATGGCTGCAATCAGACGTAAGTTTCATTGTAAAGTGATTGTTAACATAGTGGTTAGATGTCAAATTGTTTAATAATCTAGTTTATTTTTATTTGTTCAGGTGTATATAACCCGGACACAACGGCCATTACAAACCTTCTATTGGATAACATCAAAAATAATATTACTGCAAATGCGACGCAGGACAGTAACACAGACCAATACACCCGCCGACGACTGCTGGCAACCGGAACGTTTAACGGAACTACTTTCAGCGGAATAAAGAATCCAATAGTATGTCTTGAAAATGGTGCGCTCATGTTGTGGGCAGTGAATAACAACAATTATCCTATTTATGACAGGTAAGATGTGTTTGTTTGATTGGGTTTTACGTCACTCCTACACAGTGTAGGTCATATGGCGACGTTCCAGCTTTACTGGTGGAGGTAGACTTTTGTTGCCCTTCCGTGCATAGGCACGAACAGTCATGCTACTAGAATCACTGACATTCTATAAGCTAGCTGGATAGCTTCCTCACATAAAAGAATCCAAAGTCCCAGTCGGGATTGGAACCCACAGCGGTGATGGGCAAGTGGTTCAACGACGTTAACCACTCGGCCATGGATGCCCCTAAGACTTAAATATTTAAGTGTACATCTGCATACAAACTTGTCTCTAAAGACCAGTGAAGGAACATGGAAAGAAATCTGTATTTTTTTCCCAGGTGATCTCTTGAAAGTTTGCTTAAAGGCACATTATACCTAAAAAATTCAATATTTTTTTAATTCTTAGAAATGTCAAACATGTGTTAAATAGTGTTTGAATAATGTATTAAGGGCATGTTATGTGACGAAAGTAACACTGAATGTGAAGTTATGTGTCATATAGGTAGCAAAATGTAAAAAAAGTAGTAATTTACTGCCATACAAAATACTGATACACTATAATTATATCTATTGCCAACAGAGCTTTTGTCGCAGAAGATAGTTCATGTATATGGCAAATGAGTATTTCTTTGAAAACTGAAACAAGATACCAAAAATTAAAAGTTTTTGAGAAATAAAATGTGTTGCATTTCTGAGGAATAATGGGCCTTTAATATAAAGTTAAATGTCAACCTTCTGTGATGGTTTTTTGTTGTCGTTTTCTTACTTTCATATTTTACATTACCTTTACTCACTGTATAGAATTTTTTTTCATTGAATATCTTATATACTATAGTTAATTACAAATTTCAGGAATAATCTGTTCAACACCAATTCTAAGTTTGACTATGGTGGATTTAGAGTCCTAGTTGAGGCACAATCCCAGGTGTCAACATCAACAACGCTGTTTTCATACAAGTTTAACGATCATGGAACCTATGTCTTCTACTCTAGTGCCAATCAGTACAAGAAAATGGTAATAATCATTATTTTCTGTTTATGTAAAATTGAGAAAAAGCCATTGCCAGGGTTGTCATAAACGTTTTTTTTGCAGGTTTTGAATTTGAGGTGGTCATTTTAATTTTCATCATATACAACACAGTGTTTTCTTAATTCTGAGGCCGTCCAAAATGCATTTAAGAGAGTTATTTTTGCTTCCTGCTGCCTCTTAATGACAACCCTACATTACACAAGGGCCAGGTAAATTGCTGTATGCCTATAATTTACCCATAATGCTGAAACGAATATAACAATTTACATTACTTATTATGTGCCTTATAACTCATTTGCATGTTGTTATTCCTCATCCATTAAACTTAAAAGAGCCAAATATGGCATCATTTCTCTAACAACCTCCAACATCTGTGTAAGCTATAAGCTTAAATCTACGACCGTGTCAGACTTTTTCCGATTGCTTAGAGTATCTCATATATAGTTAGTTACTGTGAATTAATGAATTATACATTTTGTTTTTGTTGTCTCATTCAGTATATAAGCGTGATGCAGGTGGGAGCGAAGTGTGCAACGACTGGACCATTCTTCCCAGTAACAACATCCAACTTGGTTGCCAACAACATTGGATTTAACCAGGACATCTTGCAGTCACCCGATTGGCCGGTTATTCTGGCACTTCTAGGAGCCGGTCTTATCATGATCATCCTGATGATAATTGCTTTGGTATGATTTTCATTTACATATTATGTTATTATATAAAGCCTGAACTTGCTGAAATTTTGTAATGGACTTGTCTGGCTTATAGTTTGGAACAGTCTCTTCTTAAAATTAGGGGTTTTCATGAATGCTTAGAATTATATACAACATTAATCCTTCTCATGCCTTATTTTTGAAATGGACTTGTCCAGCTTGAAGTTTAGAATAGTCAATCGTTGAAATGAGAGGTTTTGATATAGGAAAATGCTGAAAATCCAGTCATGTCAAGAAACCTCAGTGGAGTCCCTTTGATAGGAATAGAAAATTATCACTAGGCTATAATTATGTGATATATCAGTTTCCTGCTTTCCATGAAGACACATAAAACTGTCTGTTATTACTGATCTTGAATAGTGTGGAAACCTGAGACAGAATTATACTAAATTAACCAAACTTACTTTAAACATAATTAGTAAGAAAATGTTTTATATGCAATTCATAGCTGCTATTCAAGAAATATGGCTGGAACAAGAACATGTACCTGTTCCCATTCTACCGTGAGAAAACATCGAAATATGACTTTGACAACTATGCTAGTAAAGGATCAACCGTCTACCCAGTGCGAAAATACCACAGGAATATGGGTGCCATTCAGGATGATCAGATGTTTCCACCATTGCCTATTGAACAAGGTAACATTCAGAATTTTTTATTTAAAACTTCATAACAGCCTTTGCAAACAGCTTTGTACCTGACCAGGTGGGGCGTCCGTGGCAGAGTGGTTAAGGTTGTTAAATTCAAAACCACTTGCTCCTCACCGCTGTGGGTTCAAATCCCAACAGAGACTTTGGATTCTTTCATGTGAGGAAGCAGTCTACCTTGCTTACGGAACATAGGTGGTTCTACTCAGGTGCCGGTAAATCTGGTATGTCACCATATATTCTTTATTTTGTCGGTGTGAAATTTACCCCAATCAAACAAACAAAGATGACCAGACCAAATACCTCAACATCTTGTATAGTATCAGGCTGTTTTTTATTTCGCGATAAATTGGATAAAATAAGAAAAATTAAGCAGGTGATATTTTCAGCAGACGACAATTTTCCTAACATGCAAATGGTTCAAGAACAGTAACTCTAGCTCATGAATAAATCCAGTGACTTCCCTTTACTTATTTTCTTTTTGTTTGATACACATTACAGGACCAATGGGAGCTGTTGGCGAGAACACAGAGGATGATTTCTGGGATTACAGCCGACAGGTGGACCTCGAGGGTTTCAGTTCAGGCCGAGTGTATGACACGCTAGCTAGACAGTCTAGGAACATCACACAAACTCTCGGAAAACAGAAGGAAGAGGTGACGCTTATTGTACACGCTTAAAAATTGAATATGTGTGAAAATATCGGATCATGGAGATAAATTATTTAATATTTGATTAAATTGAGAATTGTCAGAATATATCAGATAAATTATTTACTATTTGATTAAATTAGGTTTCATAAAAATATTTTGGTTGAAAATTTTTACTATTTTATTAATTGAGAATTTTTTTTCAGATATTTTGTTTGAAAATATTTACTTTTGACTTAAAAAAGAAAAAAACAACAGAATTTTATTTGCTGAGGTATGAGTATTGTATAATTTATCAATTTTTATTGTGGAATATTTCAGGTGAAACACATGTTCCAGAATGTTGCTGGGCAGACGGACTCATTGAAAGGTATGTGGACCGCCAAGATGAACATGAAAGGCATTCCGCTCATCGCCTCAGAGACCGATCTTGAAGAATACGATAGTAAACTACACTTCCTGGAAGAGGAGCTGGAAAGGCGCAGGGAAGTAGGTCACAGATTCGAGGCTATTCTTAAACGTCAAGAAGATCTGGCGGAAGATGACGAGAAACACAGAGAGGCCCATCAGGTTTGTTACTTCTATTATTTAAAATGTTAAATTATATATAAAGAAAAATAATAAACTTTAAACTGTTTAAGAGAAATCTAGCAAAAGTGAAATCATGTGAGCATGATTGTCTTCGACAGCTTGTTTTAAAATTCTCAAAACATAAAGAAGATACTGTGAGAGCAATGAAAACAAAAATAGGTGAAAATTAAGGGCTCACTGTGATTGAGTCTGTTCCGGAGAGATAATGTCAAGTGCGTGACTTCTTGTTCCACCTAGCGTTATAAGCTTGTGCAGAGTTCAAATTTCATCATTAATCTTTAAAAGTGTTGATATTAGTGACCATGGTATACCAGAAAAAGTATTCAGGAACAACATTGGAGATGAAGTATGGGGAAACGTTTTATACTTGTCACACAGAATTCAATAAAATCATCATTTATCTAAATGTGCATGTTTAGGAAATGTCTCTAGTATAATTGTTTTTGTTTCGTTAATTTATTTGAAACATATTTTTTATCCAATCTAATTAGGTAAGCTATCAAGCAGCACTCCGAGAAGCCGTGCGAACACTTAAAGATCACACGGAGAAGATTCAACGCGGCCAGTTAGTTGACGCCTCGGGACATTTCGACGGCGAAGCTCATCATGCAATGGAAATGAGAGTTGCTTCTCTGTCTGACAGAATGGGTGGCGATGTTTCAGAGGAAAGTGCTAGGCTTGGCTGCTGGGGTGTTCTCGGCGAAGGAACTGGAGCACAACTTCTTAATGGCGGCAACCCAATGACAAAACAGGATCTGTTTGGTAAGGGATTTAATATATCTTTTGTTTAAAAAAAAGTTAGGTTTTACTCTCAGGTTATTTGAAATGCATTTATCATGTATTTGATCTGAACCTTGTGGCTGTTTGTTAAAGCTATATGGCTGCTTTTCCTTAAGTCGTGGGTTTTCCTTGAGTCGTGGGTGGGTTAAAATCGTAGATGACTTTTTGTATGGTTAAAAATGTATTTTAATTATATATATTTCTTATAATTTGTTGTTAAAAAGTTGTAAATACTGTAACAATCGAATAATTTGGCCATTTGTACGGTTTGTTTACATTTTTTGACAACAACAACAACAACCTACTGGTTTCCGGTGTTTGGAACAGGTGCGACTTAATTTCGCGCCAAAATTGGGCCCACAGAAAGTCTCACTGAACTATTAATTGAAATATAAACTAACACTTGGTCATCGGCATCATTATATCTATTATCGATCCATTATCCATCTTGAATAAAATTTTGAAATCATTTGTTGTATCTCCGTCATTTTGCAACTAGTTATGTTTGTTTATAAAGCAAAATGAACGGTATAGGATACATTTGAAAACCACATTGCTTTATTAAAATATCATTTGCAATTGTTGCTACAATTTTGTTAATGTATAAAAGATTTTGAAGGCAGAATGAAAGTTGCCCTGATGTTTTATTTTAGTTTCATTACAAACTCTAATAGATCTTATTGAAGACTGTTAAGTACCGAAAAAATTAATCAAATCTGACTCTAAATCGCTAAAGATAGAAGTTTCTAGTCATACAATGATGTTTAATAAATTGATTAGGTAACTTGACATAGTTCACTGAGATTTCACAAATGTTTTCTTACACTACTGTTGACATACATGTTAGCCACGACTCAAGGAAAAGCAAAATGCATGTTAATGCAAAATGGTACCTATATAAAATGAGCTAGATAATCGGAAATAAGTCTTAAGAGATGCATAAAAGATCATGACAGTGCAAAATACAAATAGTTTAACATTTTCTGGTAATTTCCATGCTTGTTCCTGTGACGTCATCATACGTCACTGGTCTATTTTTAGAAATGCCCACGACTCTTGGTAAATAAAGCATATGCCTCCAAATAAGCCAAAATATTTCAATAAAAGCTAACTTGAGAAAAATTTTTCCAAGATTTTAGAAAAGTAAAATGAATCAAGATTGAAATAATAATATACATATTATATGCGATTAATAACTGAATTTTCAGAATTTATAACTGTATTTCTACTGTGATTTTAGCATATTTTGACCTCTTTTTGATAATTTATGTCTGTTGCAAGTGCCATTGATTATGTGTAAATTGTTTCTTTTTGGTTATTTCACAATATTATAGATTTAAATACATTTTTTAAAAATTTCATGAAAACTAGCCTGGATCTGGAGGCATGCTGCTTCAAGGGAAATTTACATCAAAATACTTCTCTTGTGCTAATGTAGAATCTTTGGTAAAAAGTGCCACTGAGTACGTTGAAAATTAAACTTGGTCTTTTAAAGCCGACTAATAACTAGTCTATTTTTAGTTTTAGGCAAGTGCATATAAGTTGATAATTATGATGGTGAAAACTATGTGATAAGCTTTAATGGGAAACTTGGTTTAAATGATCATGGTAAGAACCCTTAAAGTCTTTGGTTTATATGAAATATTTTAGGTAAATCCTCCAGCGTGGCGGAGACAGACAAGGCCACTGGTCTTCTTAAAGCTCGCACTGGTTCAAACATGTTACTAGCAGACGGCAGCACCCAGCAGGTACCGGAACACAACTTCATACACCCACAGACCGGTCATGTCCTACCTATACAAGGAAATGTGGCTTTTGACCCGATTAAGTCTCGCCTTGTCTTTGTGGTTGATTCAGCTACAGGTATTTTTTTTTTATTTATCATTTAGTTCATTTTTTTGTTTATTTTTTTATCATCATAACTTTGTTTTGATAGTTTTGTTCAAAATGTGATTAATTATAATTTTGAGTTGGAAGCTTTGTTCCTAATGATTAGCCAACATCTTCCTTCCTGTGTCCGTGCACTGTTAAACCAAACAATACTAAAAAGCAAAACAAAAACAAATTATGTGAGATGCTTTTGCTGACCGTTCATTTATATCTTGTCAAAATTATATTCCAGGAGAAGCCCCACATTCTGATACACCATACATTCCATTTGTACCATACCCAACAAGAGATGGCCGTCCAATTAAAACTAAGCTCCGCCCAATGCAGCATGGCAGTGACCTTCGTTACGGAGCGCCCATGTCAGATCCTGAGACCAGCTTACATGTGCCGATACTAGCCGTTACATTACACCCAGAAACACAGGCTGTTCTACCTGTTGGCGGAACCCATATCGATATAGTTACAGGATTGCAAACACCCATTGAAATCGGCTCATTGATGGTTGACCCGAACTCCGGTTCACCCGTTCCAGTACTATCAGTGACACTTGACCCGGAGTCAGGTAAATGTATAGTTTCTCTCATAACTTTAATCTTGTTAAATTTTAGTGTATAATTTTATAAAATTTATAAAAAAAAATTATTTTTTTTAAATATTGTAAATAAAGAACATTTTTTGAGAATTACACAATGAAGTCTTTTTTTTTTAGATATTTTGATTTAAGAACTTTTTTTTTTTAAAAGTGCTCAAAGAAGCATCTTGGGTTGCTTTTACCAGTAATACGTTTTTTTTGTGCAATTTTAGTACATGTTGAATAAACATTTTCCAACATCAGAATTGATTGTATCTAATATGTAGTTGTATCCATATACAGGTGAAGTAGTACCAGTTGGCGGAATCAATCCTAACAACACACCTATACTACCCGGAGAAACATTTGTGGAACCACTCAGCCGTAAACACGTTCGCGTGCACGGTGGTCATTTGACAGTGACACATGTCGAGCCATCTGCCGGTGGTTACCAAGCATTATTGAACTCAAACGTGCTGGCGTGTGAAGCAAGGGTTACTGATGCTGTCAGGGTGTACTTGGAAGCTCTTGCTGGTAAGTTATTTTAACTTGTCTGTTTCTTGAAAAAAAAATGTCTAGCTAATATGATGTGTCGTCAACTGATCATTGTCATCATCTTGCAAAAACTTTCATATATTCAATCATTTGAAGACCGCCTCCGTGGTCGAGGGGTTAGAGTCGATGACTTCTAATCCAGTTACCTCTCTGGCGTAGGTTCGATCCCCGGGAGATGCTTTGGTAGTTTAAAGCGGAGGAAGGTAGTCTAGTACTGGTGTAACTCTCCAGGAACGATGGTTAGGAAACTACCCGCCTATATGACTGAAATACTGTTGAAAAGGGCGTAAAATGAAACAAACAAACAAACAATCATTTGAAACTTGTTGCTATAGTTTTTTTGTTTTTTTCACATATAATTTGCATTGGTTTGCAGCCTGGCCTGGTTCTATACTAGTGACAAGTTGTTGTTTACATTCAAATTGTTTAAGATTATTAAAGCTCTAATTTTACGTATTTTGTGCGCAGCTTGCCGAGGCAGTGATGTGAATGTTCACCAGGAGGAAGCCAATCTTGATAAAGCCATTAAGGAGCTCGAACACGCAAGGGAACTGATGAAGGTACACCTCATTCGTACACAACAGGATATCAAGAGAAGGCAAGAGAGAGCCAGTATCCTAGCAACCACTGGCGGTTCTCCAGGTATGTTGTGTTTATTATACAACAAGGTCTGTTAAGTGGTGTAATGTGATGCTGATAGAAGTAAAATAACTCCAGATATTTGCTAATGATAATGAACATTTAGAAAGTGGTTTAAAGTTGAGAGAAATTTTTTTAAAAGAATATTTAAGGCTTCTAGCATAAATTACCACTTAACTATCTATTTGCTGGCTTTGAGTGAAGCTTTTCAATTGTTTTTTGGGTTTTTTTTGTTTTGTTTTTTACAATTTGAATAATTATTTTGAAAAACAGAGTGAGCAAATGATATGAAATTATACACACAAGTTATTGGTCTAGAGCTACATCCAATGGTACATTAATCTTAAGGGGAATCCACTGAGGTTTAAAAGCCTAAAAACATAACATTTGATATTCTTACATAATTGAGGTGGGGCACTTTAAACAGAAATATATGCAAAGATAGTAAAGAAATATACTTTGAAATAAATTGAAAGTCGTATTTCTATGCTTTTTTTAGCCCAATTGAGTGAAAAGCATTTAAACGCTTCTCATTTTGGGTCATTTTTTTTACAATTTGAATAATTATTCTGGAAAAGGAAGTGCTTGAATGATATGAAATTTTGCATAAAGATTAGTGGTCTAAACCTACATCAAATGGTACATTTATCTGGACAATTTTTGTCAGTCCCATCCTGTCAAAAAACCTCAGTAGAGTCCCTTTAAGATATTTTCATGTGTTAAGAGATAAAATATTTAAGATATGTGTAACAAAATGAAAAAAAAAAAACGCTCAATTAGTAACTTAGTGATAACAAATGTATTTTTGGTCATATTTACATATGTAATTACAACAAGTGGCTTTACTCTTGAGACTTTTCTGTAATCTTTTTCAATCATTATTAGGAATGTACGAGTTCAACAAATCTGGACAAATGCTGCCAATATTGGTTGGCACAACAATGCCAGACAGGGCCGGTTCCGGGATGGAGGTACCTATTCTTGGAGCTGAGAGACACGCACAGTCAGGCAAGACAATACCACTTGGTGGAACGATGGAAGATCCAGAAGGAGCTGGTAAGTGTCTTTTAGGAATACAATGTATTCTGTTTTAGCTCTGTGGAAAATATAAGGACTTACAAGTTTCAGTGTAAAACTATATGCTTGCTCTTCCATCATCGTTTGATTTAAAACAGTGAAAATCAAGAAGACTTTCCACCTTGGCAGGGGTTAAGTTTGCCCTTTTAGATATGTAATTCTGTATCAGTTTTATACCCCTATATGAGTTTCTTGAGTTTGATAGATCTTCGATGTTTTTCCACAAAAAATGTATAATTCAGTAAGGATTGGATAACTAAATGACTGTTGTTTGTTTATTATTACAGGTCTTGTGCCTATCAACATCGGAAAGAAAGCAATTGATGCCATATCTGGTGAACTCAGTCCCGTTATTGGTGTAAGACTGAATCCTGAGAATGATACCGTTGTGCCTATAACCTTGTCTTCTGGCGGTCATCGTAAACCCACGGCCCCTGCAGGTGCTCTTGCGATGTTGGAGGAAGAGATTGTGACACGACGCAATTACTGGAAGTCGCAACGCAAGAGGGAAGAAGAGCTTACAAGAGGCGAACACAAACTGGCTGTCATGTTGCTTCAGGACGTAGACAGTGTAACAGTCAAGTCAGTTTCTAAGGCGTTGGAAGATATTGATATGGGAGCTAACCAGCTACAAGAGTCGAGCAAAGCAGAAGTGCAGAGACGTGGTGCCGCCCATCATGAATACAGTAATAGTTTGCCTCCAGAGGTCATTGCAGTGCTGGAGGATTGCGATGCGAAAGAATGTGAGATGGAAGAAGCCCATGTTGCAACACACGTCAAATTTGCAGATGCTGTTAGAAAGTTCTTCTCTAAACTTCAGCAAGAAGAGAAGAAGTTCAAGGAGAAGATGGATCAGATTCAAGGTAATTTATCAAGAATTAAAACAGTTTAATTTTTTTCTGATGTATCTAAAGAAATTTTATGATCATTAGATACACTGTTAACAAATCTGGAAAAGGGGAGTTTCCTTGAGAGCATAGTAAATAAAGAAAAAAGTTGACAATTTCAGACAAGGATTTTTAGTCTTGTTTTTGTATAGGCTGTCCATGAAAGAAAAAGTAATGTGCAACATCTCTCGGTCCCCCTAGCACTGACTTAAGTTGTATACAATATTAAATACTACATGTACAGGATCCAGTATGGGATCTGTATGGTCTTTTCCCTGAATTTCAAGGATATCAAAAGTTGATAGCCTCAAATATTTTAGTGCATTTCGATGATTGAAAGATGATGTTTTAGATAGTCAACAAAAAGCTATATTTTATATCAAATAAAAATGAAAAAGATAAATTCATGGATTGTTTCTTTTATATTTGTGTTTGTATTTTATAGGTTCTGGTAATGCTGATGCAGAAAACACTCAAGTACAGCGCTACCGTCAATCCAAAAACCGTCTCCTCGCAGAGCTTAAAGGCCATATTGTTACACATGTAGAACATTTAGATCATGCACACTCTGGGGTAGAATATGCGAGACAGAGGTCAGAATTGTGTTGCCAGGAAGCAAAGGTTGTCCTTAACCATAGTGCATTGCTCGCCGGAGATTACGATTGTCAACTTAGCGGTGTTTATGGTGACGCTACTAGTGCCGAGAATGAAAAGGAATCTGAATTAGTTCCTTTGATCAAACAATTAATTGCAATGCTTGAATCAGGAGGTCCATTCTATTTGTCAACAGAATTATTGGAGATGATCAAGAACGCTGCTGGCGGCGGGAATGTTCATAATGTCAATAATTACAATATTGAAAATCAAGGCGGACAATCTAAGTTCTCATCTGATTCAACAACAGGAGGTTCAAGTGATAAAGACAAGAAACGTGAAAAGGATACTGCTGGTAAGGATTCAAAGAAAGGAAAGGCCACTCTTGTAAAAGCATCGAAAGAAAAGAAGGACAAGAAAGACAATAAAACAAAAGGTGATAAAGCAGCAACAGTTCCTGATCCAGGTGAAGCGTGGAAGGACTTGTTAAGAAAATTGTTTGAAAAACAAGCTTACGAAGCTGCTAAACTTGAAAATGATCTGAAATCAGATGAAATGACTTCGATGCAAGACACACTGGAGGAATTTGAAAAGAAGAAACGGAATATGATGTATGAAGCCAAGGAAGATCTTAGACAGAAACTTGAAAAGGTTCAAAGCGAGAAAGAACGAGACAGAATCATGTCAGATTATGCTATGAACCTGCAAAAGGTGAACGATGCTTTCGACAAACAGAAACAACTGCAGCTAGAAGGTCTGAGAAAGAAACTGTTGGAGAATAGACGAAATAGACGAAAGGAGTTGTACCGCAAACACTGTGCTGAGGCCGAGTCACAAGGGGTTGGTATAGAATCTGTACCTGATGTTCAGATGCCAAGCTATGACGAGCTTATGAGAGACTTGCTGAGATTACAGGAAAGTCAGGAGAGATCTTTAGCTGAAATCCAGATTGAAGGTGAAAGAGCTAGAGATGAAGTCCAGGTATGAAAACATTCTGATTTAAAAATAATTTTTAACCTTGATAATGTACAGTAACACTATGTTAGTATTAAAGTAATGCTGGATAGTGTAAGCTGATTAATTAAGTAAAAGAATTTTGATCCCTAGTAATTAAGTCTGAAATGTCACAGATTTAAGTGCGAAACATAAAAATAGAAAAGAATGAATGAGTTGTACATTTCAGTCATGCTACATACTAATTATTGGTACATTTTGTTTAACTCCTTCCTGCTATTGGCAACTAATGTGATCTGTGAAGACCAGGATCAGCGGGCTTATTTGTGCCTTTTGATCATGGTCTGCACTGTTTGCTATTTGGTCACTACATACTTTGAAATTTTCCCTAAAAATGATAAATGGTTTTGTCCAGATTGAAAGATAGACAATTCCATTTAAGATATTTAGTGTGTAAAGGGTTAATATAGTCTGTTGATAAAGATAATCTAGATGTGTAGCAATATTGAAAATCTAAGATCTCTTTGGTTGAATGAGTCATATCTCTTACTTTAAATCATTTGCCTGTGACTGCTATATTGGATTTGAATCCCTCCAGAGAGTACAAGTTCTTTGATCTTCAGTGTGAAAAAAGCTACATGTCCAGCTAATTTACTGTTACTAAGGCATTAAAGGTCATAAACTAAAGTGTAGTTACAACCTAAAACATAAGAGATAGGTATTTCTATAATACATTGAACATTTTTTCAGGTACCCGAGATCGACCGTGAATTTGAGAAAAAGATCAACGCGCTAGATGTTGAAGATGAAATTAAAAAGGAGATGATCCGCCAAGCTCGGGAACGTAACCTTGCTCTACAAGATCAAATCGAGAGAATGAAGGATGCGTTACGTCGAAGAAAAGACAGAAAGAAACCAGCTAAATTGATGGAAGAAGAAAGAAATGGCATGTCGGCAGAAGAGCAGCAGAGATTACTCGAAGCGAGAGAAATTCAGAGTGAGGCTGATCGTGAACGTGAGGATAAAGCGTTATTGGAGGCGAGAAAGCTCCTTGAAAAGGTAATTTTGATTTTTGAGACTTGATACTTTAATTTCGTTATGTGTTTGAATGTGTCTCATACAAATACAAGATACTTCTTTTGTGAATTTTTTTTTAAAGCAGCACACCACAAGAGTTTAAGCTGATTTTTTTTGAAAACATAAAAATATTTCAACTCTTTTGGCATGCGCCTTTTACCATAAATATATTTTTCTAAAGTTTGATTTTTGATGATTAATTTCCTCATATGAAGACTTGTCACTTTAACACTTGATCAGCTGAATTAATAATTTCTTTATTTGGAACAGAACAGATGGCAGCATAAAGTTTTTTAGTACCACTGAAGAAATATTCAAGATGGTTCGAATCATTACTTGTTGAATTTTGTCGCTATCATGCACATGTTAAGATTTTAATTTTAAAAAATATATTTCTCAATATTCATTTTCCAAGTTGTAAGACATGTTCAATCTATTTGATAATTTGCAGGAACTACAACGGTTGGCACAAGAACAAGCCCTTCGTGATGCGTTACGTAATAAGAGCGATGAAGAAAAAGACAAAATACTCGCCCAATACCAAGCAGAGATGGACAAACTAATGAGCCGACAGGACGAAACAAGACAAGCTCAGAAAGACAAGATAGTCGGTAAACTGGCTGCTAGAAAACGTGTCCGAGAAGAATTAGAGAAAGAACAAGCGGTTGCTAGGGAGCTTGATAGAATTACAAAGAGACATGTAAGTATTCTATAAGCTTTTTGCTAACATTCCAGCAAAATAGAAAATTATTCGAATGACAACATATTTCCTTAAGGATGTGAAGGAAGCGAAAAAGATGGCAATAAATTTTTCTGTTAGATCTATTTTCTTTATTTGATATATTATCTTTTGCTGTATATTGGTTGACAGGTTGCTGTAATCTTACAGAATTGTTATACTTCAGACAGATTTATTTTGTACAAATTATCCTTATGAAGAACCAGATTATCTAGATCCTAATTAAGATATTGTCCATATTAATCAAGTATTGACAAGTAGTTTTATTTGTATTCTTACTTTTATATCAGGTTGCTGTAATGTAAAAACAGTTGATAATCAAAACAATTGTCACTCAGATCTCTTTGTTTCATTTAATAAATCAATATACAATGTGATCATAATTTGACAGGTTGCCCAGGGTGACAGTGATGCAGCAGACGTCATTATGGACATAAACGAGAAGGTAAATGGTGAAGAATTAACGCCCGAGCAGCAGAAACTTCTCGAGAAGCAGACGCAGGAAGCTGAAGCATTAGAAGGGAGACAACTTGACGAGCAAAGAGAGATGAATCAACATCTTAATGAAGAAATGGCCACTGAAGAAATGGCGATCGAGACCCAGATTCAACAACAGAAGAGATTGGTGCGTATTTTAAAGTGAACTCTCAGTATTTCATTTTCATTAGAGTTGTGAAGTTCACTACGTGATTTTTACCAAGTATTACCATCCATTGCTATATTAAGAAAGGAGATTTGGGTGTCATATAATATGACTCACTAGTTTAGAGACCGAGTGATTAACTATCAAGCATCTGACATAGGCTGCATGATATAATAAGGCAGTGCACAAAATGTTAATATTTCCACTCTCATGATTTTAAAGCATTAGAGACAAGAATTGTGTATAGGATGGCAATGGAACAAAATGTGAATCTTTTCACTCTCATGATTTTAAAGAAGTAGAAGTAAAATGTCAGTTTATCCACCTTTGTATATGAAGTGATATGACATGATTCATTTCCTCTCTTGACACTTTATATATATTTTTATATTTACATGCACTCGAAGCTTACTCTTTGTTCTGTAAAGTTTTCCCGTTGTGACTGAGGGGTTGCCTTTAAGGGTTGAGTTGCAACTACTGTTTATCCCTCTTTGGTCGTAAGAGGCAGGTAAATGGGTTTGAATTACTGGAGTCTATGAATGTCAAAGCTCCAGCAGGTGAGGTGGTTTTGACCCCTGATGTTGCTTAAAGTTTGTAACACCTGAGGTTTGCCAAAATCTTCTTTCCTGTCTCGGCCCCATTATGACCTGAACTGTGTTGGTATGCTGGAAAAAACAAACAAAACGAACAAAATCTGTAAAGATTAGTAAGACTATATTTTTGTATTGTTTGTTTCAGGCTGTAGCAGAGCAGAAGAATAAATTTGATCGTGACATGTTGTTGAACCGACAGAACATGTCAGAGGACGAGTACAAGCGTCTGCTCGCAGAACATCAACGTGAAATGGAAGCTTTAACTGCTAATCTTGATCAGGAGAAGGATAGGCAGAAGAGGTCAATTAAAGACAGGGTATGCGTAAATTTTGATCATTTTCTATTCATTTCATGATATACATGACAGCACCATAATATTATCCTGTTACTGTAAAACTGTTTCAACCAGTTATTTGTCATATTAAAACATATATCTAACCGTACAGTAAAATCTCGACAAAACAACACCCTTTTGGAGACATGAATTTTGGTTGTTACTTGGATGTGTTGCTCAAGAGAGTTTAAATTTATGATGAAATAGAGAAAAATAAAATCCCTTAAGAAAGCCCAACACAGCAGAAATTGTGAACATGTTGCAGGCTTGGTTTGATTGAGCCTGTTCATGAACGGTATTGATAATTGCAAGCTACCTTCCATGCTCCCCTAGCACTGGCTTAAGCAGAATGATAATATGTTGTAAAGAGGTGGAAGGTTATTGTTTGGCAGGTGGCTTCTTTGCAGAGGTTGCACTTTACTAGTATATCATAAATACACACTAAAAGTGAACTTCTTCAAATGACAAAAAAAATACACGTAGTACATCTCTGTTAAACAAAGATGTTTTTTTGTTTGTTTATTCAATTTTGACTTATAGTTGAATACTTTTAAGAAATTAATCTAATTAATGTTGACAGATTCTTGAAAGACGTAAGAAACGTGATGCTCAGCTCGAGGAGAAACATCGTCTCGAAATGGAGGAGGAAATGACACGTCAACAACAAGAACGTGACAAACTTAATGATGAAATTGCACGAAAGGTGGAAAATAATGAGCTGAAAAAGAATGTGCAGGTAATTGTTTACATAAATGTTGACATTATTGATTACATAACCTTTTGCATACCAGTAATAGTTTATGTAATCATTTCCATCTTTCCTATAATTGTTTAATTTGATAGTAAATTTTATCATTGTTTGAAATTTTGACCAAAAAAAAAAAAGGATGCATATGGTTCTCATATTATTAGATGAATATAAAATATTTATAGAAAATCTGAACAAAAAATAAAAAAGTACAGTTATATTTTGGGATATGAGATATAAAAAATGAAATTTGTAGACACAAATTTTGTTGGAGTCTTTTTATGGGTGTTATTGAATTAAATATCTTAATAGTTTATGTTTTACTGAATTTATTACCATAATTATGGTATCTATGTCAATTTTATATGGTGATATTGAATTTATTATGATAAGGTTTTTATATCAATTTTATATGATTGAATTTATTACCATAATTAGGGTTTTATGTCAATTTTATATGATGTGATTGAATTTATTACCATAAATAGGTTTTATGTCAATATCATATTATGTAATTGAATTTATTAGCATAATTAGGCTTTTATGTCTATTTTATATGGTGCAATTACCATTATTAGGGTTTTATGTCAATTTTTCAATTTTTTTGTGTGTGATTTAATTGAATTTATTACCACAATTGTGTTTTTATGTCAATTTTATGTGATGTAATTGAATATATTACCATAAATATTAAATTGATTATGTATATACTATAGAATTTATAATGTTGACTTTATTACATTATTTGCAATGAATTTAACTTGTGGGAATGGATGATTAAATTGTATATTGTTAATAAAAAAGGAATTAAAGCGTTACAAAGTCAGGAAACTTATACAGGTAAACTGTAACCATGGTGATATGAATATGTTTAAACACTGTTTGTAATTGTCTTCATTTAAAAGCATGTTTTGCAGAGACTATGTTTTTATTTTCAGGATTTTTTTTTTTTTGGTTTTAATAAAAAAATTTGACACAGATTTTGTAAAGCATGGGATTTTCTTGATTTGATATAAAAGCATCTTGTTATAATGCTTTTCTAATTTCAAGATATGATGGGTTTATAAAATATTCCAAAATGGGGGAAGAAGGGTGGAAAATTGGGAAGGAAGGGAGGGTGGTGTGTAACAGCTTACCATACTTATAGTGAAATATATAAAATGTGCATGCTTTGTGAATTCACTAAGTACATTGAATAAGAAGTTGTGTGTCAGTCTTAATGTTCTTGGGGGGTTATTTCAAAAGTTTTCTTGAAGTACATGGCTAAGAGTTTATGGTGAAAAGTCAGTTTTGCCTTTATATAGATAAGACAAAACAGAATCTGCATATGTAAAATTAGAGATCTCTAATTTAAGAAAAATTAATCTTAATTTGACTTGTGGGTTGTAGTGAGAGGGGGGGGGTTGGAGTCGGTAAGCATGAGGGAGGGGTCAATTCTATGTATGGGTAATTAGTTACAACAGAAATGAATACCTAGGTCTTTTTCTTAATAAACATTTCCTAAATCAAGGAATAAATTTATTTTTTGATGATAATGAGTTTTTAAAATCATATTAAAATTTGTTTGGTCAATGATATAGCCACAATAATATGACTGTTAAATGTTGATATGTATGTTTGTGTTTAGTTATAACAGTCAGACCAACAAAATTTATATGGATGCTAATTTGCATGGGTTTTATTTGTTCAAATATTCTAAAAAAACAAACATCACTAATTTAAAATCAGTATGTAAAAGATAAATCAGTAATGTAAAATTATCTTGATATAAAAATGCATGGTGTAGATTAATGTATGTGTGTGTGTTTTTGTTTAATAAGGTCTAGAAAGTTATAACTTATATAATTATAGGAAGTGTAAACATTCTAGTGATACTATACTGGTAAATTATGGAAAGGTTAATTAATACAAATTTGTATATGAAAAAATGTAGTATATTTAATAAATAAGTTCTGTAAACAGATTCAAAATCTGATATTTTTTAAGTAGCCTAAAAATCAATTCTGTTATATAAAGATAATAAATATACAGCTACAAAATTAATGTTTGTCTTTTTGAACAGTACAGGCATTTATATAATAAAATGTTAAAAAGGTTTGCAGCACACAGTAAAATGTTTGGTCAACCCGTAGGCATGCGGGGGATGACTGGATAGTGCATGAGTAATAATTAGCCAATATCGTGCTTGATTTCGGAGAGTTAAATAGAAAATTATTTTGGAAAAAAGATTAATTATACATATGTATAATTTATGATACATGTTTAGGATGGCTTGATTGTGGTACTATATTTGTAACCAAGTCAAGCCATTATCGTACTTTTAATCTAGAAAAATCATACAATGTAATAAATAATAAGATTATGATATAGTTCAAGAAACGTTGGTTATTTTTATATGTAGAATGACTATAGTGTATTCAGGTAATGTAGGATAAATCATTATCATACTTTTCATGCAGGAAGTTAAAATAAGATTATTTATAAATTTAAGGGTATAAATGGGGAGAAGGCCGAGAATCTGATCTACACGGTATTACGACAACGCCATCTCAAGGAGGCTATACATTTAGAAGATCAACTTGCCCGGGAGATGGCCGCAGCGAAGAGACGCGCAAAGGCTGAGGTAGAACAGAGCCGTCAAAAAGAGCGGGAAATGTTGTTACAGGCATTTGAACAGGTGCGTAAGATGTTGTTTTATATTGCAGCTTTTTTTAATGATGATATATATGAGAATAGTAAAGCACCTTGTACTACTGAAAGCTGTTGTTTTAAATCATAATAAAATTCTGAGAGCTGTTACATGTACAAATTAGAAGAAGACTTGATTTCACCATATGACCTTAATGGGGTTGGTGCACCGTAAAACCGAACAAAACAAAAAACAGACTTGATTTAGTAAATTGCCTGATATTCATGACCTCAATATATTATGAAGCATTAAAATTTTACCAATTTACCATTGCTTTTTTTGGTATGAAAAGAGTGAGTATTTAATTGTATCGCTGGTTATTTTTTTAAACAGGAAATGATGGACCTTGTAGCAAACTCTAAGGGAATGAGTGATGAGGAACTGGCTGCTAGAAAACAAGATCTGAAGAGAGAGCAAAAGGTAAATTCTAGAAGTTCTGTGTCAAAATTTTGATTTCTAATCTACAATTTATGATAGAGAGTTATTGCATCTTTTTTCTTCCATAAACATCTTCAGCTGGAGTATGCATTTAAGACCTTAGCCAGGGGATTTAATAAGTCAAAGTGCTTCTGCAGATGTTAATGCACAAAAATTTGTTCATTAGCTCTGTTCTTTCATGAAAGTATGTCTAGATTGGTAATTTTGTTTTTCATTTTCTGTATTGGTCTAAAGAAACCATTGCCTGTGCCATGCTTTCCACATACTAGTGTATGTCATTTGACAGTTATGGTTTGATATTTAAGCAACTAGGCTGGGCCCTTGCATTTAGATGTTTTTACATTGCGCGCCGAATCATGCTTAATAATAATAAAAAAAATAACAATGGCATAAAGTCACAAGAATCTGTCTATTAATGCATGTTTTCTTTTCTGTTATTGTATACTTTAATGTGCAGATTTTATGCAAAAAAATTATTTGATAGAGAAAAAAAATTTCTACTAAGAATGTAAATTTTTTGAAAATCTAAATCCATTATCTCAAATTTAGGATATGAGAAAATGACAAGTTTGGATTAAAAAAATTTTCATTGTTTTACGTTTACATGTATTGTCAACAATAGGGCAATTGTATCACCAATGTATATTTTTCCTTGAAAAAACAGAAACAGAGACGTGACTTTGACAAGTTAACGCAACAACTTGTGGAGCAGGCCGAAAAAGATATAACGCCAAAAATGGAGACGACCCAGACGCACCAGCGACTTGAACTGAAAGAAAAACAACTACAAGAGCTCTCGGACGCCATGCAAACGTACAATCCTAAGGACGAGATAAAGAAGAAGTATGCCGAGGAGGCCAGACTCGCCGCGTTGGAGGCGCAGAAATTCAGGGACGAGGTGTTACGTAGAATGCAGGAAGAGTTTGATAGGAGGAAACGCGAGGAGGAGGAGCGAGAAGCTGAAAAGAAAAGAAAAATGGAGGAGCATTATAAGTAAGAATATAAAATTATCGTATGTTTTTCAAGGAGACTTGTATGGGATGTCGGTAGCCGAGTGGTTAAGATCGTTGATTTAAAATCACTTGCCCCTTATTGCTATGGGTTTGAAATCCTGACAAGAACTTTGGATTCAAACCTTTCATTATTTCACGCCCTTTTTGAAAATTGATTATTTTCCGCCCTTTTTGGAAATTGGTGCATTTGAGAATTTTCAGAGTCATGGTCTGCCCACGAAGATCAGTTGGATTAGGTAGACAGACCTCCAAGACATAGCCAAATATATTTTCAAAATTGCAGAAAAAAATAAACAAATCAGTTTTATTGGGTTGAAGAAATTTTATCGAAAATGATTTTTGACAATAGCCAAATAAGAAATTTTTATAGTTGTTGGAAATGTTTGTTCACATTTTTTGAGGGTTGAGGGGGCTGGGGGTAGGCATTTTTGCTGTCGGGGGAAAAATCTGTTAACCAAGGCTGTTTAAAGAATGAACACTTTATCATATTTATATTATTTTGTTTGCAGGAGATTACAACAAGAGTTGGAGGATGAACAGCGACTGGAAGAACAGAGATTGAGAGAACGTGAAGAAGAGAAGAACAGATTAAGACAGAAACAACTTGAAGAGAGAAAGAAGAATGAAGAAGAAGAAATAAGGAAGTCCAACTTGAGTGAGAGTGAGAAAGAGAAGTTGTTGAGAGAGCATGAGGAGAACATGAGAAAACTGATGGACAATTTCCAGGAGGATCAACTCAGGTGAGAAAGTTAACCCTTACTACACTATATATCTCAAATGGACTCATCCATCTTTCAGTGTGGAACAAATCATTTATCATTTTAAGGGGGAATTTTCAATATTTGTACAGACTGAATAGCAAACGGTGTAGATTTGGAAGAAAGTTAAATCTTACCACACTAAATATTTCAAATGGACATGTCCATCTTTCAATGTGGACCAAACCATTTTAATTATCATTTTAAGGGGATATTTTCAATATATGTACTGACTGAACAGCAAACCTTGTACATTTGGATTAATGAAATGTCAAACTAAATATTTCAAATGGGCTCATCCATCTTTCAGTCTGGACCAAACCATTTATCATTTTAAGGGGAAATTTTCAATATTGTACTGACTGAATACAGAATACAGCATAATTCAAACGCCTGACGTGGATAGAATTGTCATAAAAAAAATCATACCCATTTGCTATAAAACTTGATAATCATGTAGGGAAATGAAATAAGTAGAGAAAAAATGTCTTACAAAAAATAACAAAAACCATCAGTGGAGTCCCTTTAAACTTCTGTGGAGTCCCTTTTATGTGAACATAATGATTGTATTACTAGGTTAATATGACCGAGTTTCATTTTTAGCTCGACTATACGAAGTATATGGAGAGCTGTCCTACTCGCCCCGGCGTCGGCGTCCGCGTCCAGATTTTAGATTAAAGTTTTGGTGCAGTAAAATATTTTTCACTATAACTTTGTCATTTCTTAAGGTATCAACTTCAAACTTCAAATATATCTTCCTTATCATCAACCACATCATATGTGACAAGGTTCATAACTCTAGCACCAATATTTTCAGATTTATCTCCCCTTGAACTTAGAATTTTCCTTAAAAAATACTATTTTTTACTGTTACTTCCTTATTTCTTAAGGGATCAACCTCATACTTCAAATATATGTACCTTATCATCATCCCATCTTATGTGACAAGGTTCATAACTCTAGCACCAATAGTTTCAGATTTATCTCCCCTTGAACTTAGAATTTTCCTCAAAAAGTACTATTTCTTACTGTTTCTTCTTTATTTCTTAAGGGATCAACCTCATACTTCAAATGTATTTACGTTATCATCATCCCCATCTTATGTGACAAGGTTCATAACTCTAGCACCAATATTTTCAGATTTATCTCCCTTTGAACTTAGAATTTTCCATAAAAAATATTTTTTTTACTGTTATTTATTTATTTCTAAAGGGATCAACTTCATACTTCAAATATGTTTACGTTATCATCATCCACATCTTATGTGACAAGGTTCATAACTCTAGCACCAATATTACAAGAATTATCTCCCCATAAACTTAGATTTTTTTACTAGAAAAATGTTATTTTTTATTATAACTTTTTTATTTTTAAAGGTATCTACCTCAAATTCAAATACTTATTCCTTATCAACAATTTACATTTTATGTGACATTGTTCATAACTCTTGATGCAACATTTACAGATTTATCTCTCTTTGAACTTAGGATTTTCTTTAAGAAATATAATAGCTTCTTTTCTTTTTAAGGTATCTGCTTCAAACTTCAAATATATGTTTCTTATCATTACACAAATGTTGTGTGACAAGGTCCATAACTCTAGCATGACTATTTCTAGCATTATTCCCCTTGATCTTGGAATTTATGTTAACAAATATTATTTTTTTACTATAACTTAATACATAATTATACATAATTTTTTCATAGTTTTGTCCTCCTTACTGCGTCCAGTATTTCATTAGTCGAGCTTCGCTGTCTCCTGTGACAGCTCTTGTTTGTTTTTTTCTACTCATTGCTAATAGCTGATAATTGTTTTTTCTCTCTAGGTCCAAATCGGCATTAGCGGCAAAACTCGAGGCAAGAAAGAAGAAACGCCATGGTGCTGAATATGCCAAACTTTCCAAACAAATGCTAATGGAAGAGAACGCATTGCAGAGAAAGAACCTTGAAAACAAACAGCAGGAGAATCAATTAATGGGAGCTAACTCCACAAAGACCGATACTTCCGATGTATTAATTGGCAACTTGCCAACAGGTGCAACAAGACCAGACAGCAGGCAACCATCGTCAGGATCTGGTTCATCTGGTGGTCTCGGTGTGAAGTTGACCGGAAATCAGGAACAAGACTGGGTCAATATGTTAATGGCGTCACCTTTGTTCAAGCAGATCAACGATCTCGAGAATATGCTTGAAAAGTCAGACGCCTCTGACGAAATGCTCAGACCTCATGTCAAAGGTATGGGAATTCTTAATTCAATGGTGCTTCCCAATGTATCCTTTTTATTCCAAGGTGCCTCTAATGCCGATTATTTAGCGACTTTTAATTGTTAGCCATGCACTTATCGATTCTTACAAGAGATAATGCACAAAGGAGCACCCGAGGTCTTCCTTCACTAAGGCTCCCACATTTACAATTTTTTGTAAACGTTTACACGATTGCAAAGAACCGAAACGATACCGTTTAAACGGTGGTACCTCTATGTACTATACACACCATGTATTTGAGTCGCCAAATGATGTCTTTCTTTCTATTTTTTACACATGTACAAATAAAGATTGTTCAGGGCTCATCACGATTGAGTCGGCACACATTTTCTGCATTGTAACTTCATTTTTTACCAAAAATGTATTATGTCACGAGCAATTTGCACCGTAATGCTGTGTGGAGGGTTGTAAACACCTATTTTCGGTTTGTTTTCTTTGGAATAAACCACTAGAATTGATAAAATCCATGATTACAGGCAATGATTAAGAAATTGTGTAAGACAATATGGTCATTTCGATTAAACGGTAAACAATATCGTAAACGTTTATGAATGAAAATCGAAACGAATCCGTTTAAACGTGTAATCGTGGGGGCCTTATCCTTCACCAGTAAACTTGGAATGTGGCCATATCTTTTAAAAGTGTTGCTGCAGCTTTAAACCAAGCAAAAATAAAAACTATTCCAAGGTTTTAAGGAGTATGTAACTTTTAAACATGTATATGAATGTTTATTACATATAGTCAAAATGAATGATATAAATTTGAAATAATTTTAATATGAGAAATTTTTGATTGTCTTGTTGAAAGAAATATTACCGTATAAGTGGTTTTTTCTGCGGGCTCCAAATTCTGCGGTTTTTCCAAATTTTGGGATGTTTTTATTTCTGCGGACTTTATTTCTGCAGCACATTCTTTGAACAAAACGTGATTTAATTTCTGCGACTCCTCTTATCAAAGTCTAAGTCACATAACTCTATTTTATTTGCATGTACATATTCGCATTTGTTTATCGTCGTCACCACAAAACTGTACAGTAATTACAAACAATTATATTGTTTGCTTGCAAACAAATATAATACGCAACAATGGAAAGGTATGCATCTTTTTATCAGCGTGAAATGAAGTGTGGAAAATATACCCTGGTAGTATCTTTAATTTAATACCGTAAATCAGATGACAATTAAAGTATACGACGATTATCTAGCAGTATAAGGGTTGAAATGGTTTGACTGATTTAGTGATAAACAAATCTTAAGCATATCTGCAAACACTATATATGCTGTTTAAATATCTTTTTTCTTAAGTTAGCATAATTAACAATAAGTACATCCTTACAAACACAGAATACTTACTTAGCAGACAGCAGTTTTATTCAACTTGAAAACCTGCTAACCGTTATAATCCGCTAGTCGTTATTACTGTAGACGAAACAGATCATAATGTAGTACACATATAGTGCCAGGTTAAAAAACAAAAACATGGAGAAATATTCTGCGGTTTTTATTTCTGCGGTGCTGAAACTGACCGCAGAAAACGCAGAAATAAAGTCACCGCAGAAAAAACCACTTATACAGTATATAATTATATGTAAGCAAATTGATATTATGTATCAGTATGTATGTCAATGATTTCAAACAAATGATATGCTTTCAGGTGCCGACTACAGTCGACCATACATTGATGTCAAGGACGCCCAATGGACGTGTAAAGGTGACCTTGTTCCGGTTGATATTACCCAGATCTCCTCTAGTCAATTTGTCGTTTACCGGTTTGGTGTATTTGTGATTAAATTACTGCATCAACAAATAGGTAAGTAATGAAGTTGATCAAACTTGTAATAGTCTTTTACTTTTGTTTTGTCAGAAAAGTATTTATACCCCTACAAACAAAGTTTAGGGTGGTATATAGTCAGCTTATCTGTCGGTTGGTCTCCTTGGTTTGACGATAACTAGAGTTTGAATTTTGTTATGTAATCAAACTTGGTATATTGCAACCTTATGTGAATAATCCTGGTTGGAATTGCTTTTGGACTCCCGGGGGTCAAGGTCACTGTTAATTTTTAATATGGTATGATGCATATGTAGCTGAATAGTTATTCCGATGGACATTAATAGAAATTTCCTTGGGCCACGTGAGTTATTTAGTGTTTATGTGAAGTAAATTATGAAATTTGACTTTAGACTGTTCACCAACAATATACTTTTTGATGGGCATAATGTCTCTTTAATATGTGATAAATTAATTTCTTTTTAGATTACTTACGGAATTAAGGAATTCCAAATGTGTCTGCCATTGGGCTCTTGAACTCAAATTAAATATATTGAATTGTAAATGATTTTATAATGATATCATAATTATCAATATCTTTATTATTATTCAGGAACTCCCGAGGTTACCCTACTGTTAGCTTCCAACCTACCTCCCAACAACTACGATCATAATGCATTTAGAAATTCTGTGTTTTATGAACATGCTAGGAATATATTGTTTGTGCGTAAAGAGAGAATTGACTCTATTGGTGAATTTGTTGTGCTTATCTTACATTCAATGTCCCACATCAAATGTGGACAGATGACGGACGATGGAAACGCTCAGTTCTTGCGGCAGTTTTACAAGGTTTGAAAGTTCTCAAATAATATTCTTGAAAGTAATTTTTCTCAGATTCTTCAGTCATTTATGTCATTAATAAGAGCGGTTTTGCTTATCAATTTTGTTGGCGTGTCACTAGGAATAAAGATGCAAAATTCATTTTTACAAAGGCATGAAAGTACTGTAGTATTTATTGGCTTTTATAGTTTATTTTTAGCTCGACTAATCAAAGAATATTGAAAGCTATTGTATTCTTGTTCATTTTTATTATTGTTCATAATCCTAACAAGCCTAAATCAAGTGATTTCTTGTTCATTTTTATTATTGTTCATAATCCTAACAAGCCTAAATCAAGTGATTTTATATCAAATGGCGGGGAATATATAATAACTAGCAGATGACAGGCTATTCTTATCAGTAGTTTTTCAAGTAACGTTAACCAGTTGCGTGTCTTACTGTTAAATCATATGTAAAATGGGCTGACATATGGTAGGTTTAACAGTTAATTTTAATACTTTGGTGTCAAAAGATGTGTTGAAGTATTTGATGAATCAAAGATCCAAAGCTTTCCATCGGTGTACCAAATTTTAAAATCGGAACAATGAATCACAACAAACTAGGTTTAGAAAGGCATTCATTTGTATTGTTTTAGCATAGGAAATATGGAAGATAAGGGAAATAAGTGGAATTTTTTTCGCTCGATATATCTCGGTTATTTACGTAGTTCATATCGAAACTGTTTATGGATGTATTTAACATTGTTGCTTGTTATCATCATATTCATCATCATTGTCATTATTATTCAGAGCATTTGGCTTTCTTTCTCACCTTTGCTGTGCTTATTTTTGTCAATCATTGGAAAATGGTAATTCAAGGTTGATGTTTGTTTTCTATTTAAAACAGTGCCTCAAGGTCGTCTGCCAGGACATGTTCTTCTCAAGGTCACAAGGTACAGCCACAGCACAGTCATTGATGGGTCAGCCAGCAACTACTAGTAGACCTGCCCTGGAACAAGCACTTGCTCCTCTTGCCAAGAAAACAGATGAGAAAGAGAATGTGATTGGTGAATTGGTAGAGATGAAGATAGATGGACCAACCAGAGAAGAGTTCTCACCACAGGTAATTTGGCTATTTTTGGATCTTATTTAGAGTGGTTAAAATTTAGACTGGTGTAAAAATTGATATGCATAGGGACACTGGTGCAGTGTTATCTCTAGATATTATAGACACCAATTTAATGTTTTATGCAGATAGAAATTCTGTTATGACAATAATATTATCTTTTCTAAAAATGAAGATATGTTTATATAAAATTTGGGCGGTAATGGTTTTATCTTGTTGAACGTTGTAAATAGTTTATAAATATAATTACTTGATTATCATTAGCTTGGGTTTATGTTTTAAGTGTTATGTACATGATGTACATGTCTGCTTAATAATGGCATATTTTAATGCTTTATAATAACATATTTTAACCCTTTCACTGCCATAGGGACGGCATAAGCCGTCATTTTCGGCTTATTTGCCATGTGGACGGCTTTAGCCGTTTCTATAATAAAAATAGTAATAATAATAAATTAATAATAATAATAATAAAAATAATAATAAATATAAAGAAAATTATACCATCGACAATAGTTATTATTATACTAACAGATTGGGAAACATATATAATTATTATAATACTAATAACAAATAATAATAATTATATTAATTAATAATATATTAATTTCTTAGAAAACCCTCTGGCAAATTGGTGATCAATAAAACAATAACCCTCTGGCAGCAAAAGGGTTAATGGCATATTTTTAACAAACATGTCTACATCTTTTTTATTATTAAAACATCATTATATGCATTAACAAAAAAAACACGAGTCTTTAAAATTACGTGTTATTTCACATGGTTTAGATAAGCTAAAGTTTATGTTGTTATTTGTTGTTGATGTTTTTTTTGTCATGTAAACTATCAAAAGTACTGTAACAACATCTTTTCATTTACAGCGCTTGAACCAGAGAATTTATGGTTATGAAAATAGATCCGGCACTTCACGTTTACGGCAATACTTGGCTTCCAAGGGTGGCTACCTAGCAACATCAGATTACCTGGCCAATCGTATGGCAGAATTGAGAGGCACAGGTCCAGTTAGTGTATCACGTCCTAGGTTAGTTACATGTTCATATTTCTCGATTTATTTTTAAAAATTTGAGCTACAAGCTGTTTTTTACTGTATTGAAAACTTTATATCAATATTCCATAAGATAGCTTTCTCACATAAAAGAATCCAAAGTACCTGTAGATAATAATTCAATGAAGTAAAATCATGAAATAACTTGGTTTTTTTTTTTAAATGACTTACACTAATCTGTTTTCTCTTATTCTACTTCCAGTCAACACAGGAGGCCACCTCCCCCAATTTCAACTCAAAGGGACGTTGTTGACTCACAATTAGTAGATCTCCAAACCAAAAATGACGCTTTGAACGAAGAGTTATCAGATATTCTAAAAATGGAGGCTGGATTACGCGAGGGTATCAGACAAATGGACAAAGATCCTGCACAAAGAGAGAACGTGTTGAGTGCACAAGAACAATTAGAAACAACATTGTTACGGAAGAACGACTTTTTGAAGAGAATTTCCTCAATGGAGGCAGACATTTTGAAAAAAGAAAAGGAGCTTAGATCAAGGAAAAAATAAAAATTTAATCATGTGATTTAAAAGAAAACAATAACAACAACAATAAATAAACAGTTAAAAATAACTATCAAATAAGAGTTGTTTCTGAATAAATTCATGTAGCAAAAAATATTTGTTCAAATAATGAAAGAAAAGTTGTTAAGTAATGGGGCAGAAATATATTGATTTTCAGATTTTATTTTAACTGAACATTATAGAATTTTCACGATTTTATTTTAAATGAAAATTATAAGAATAGAAAGTTTGCTACAGAACACTTTACTGAGCCCCTATGTTATAGTGGTTCAAATGAAGTCCAAGGCGAAAAAAAACAACAAACTGAATTGACATAAAAAAAAATGCCCCTGTGACCTTGGACAACCAATTCTGGCGGGGTGAAGCCTCAAGGGCATTGATGACCCAAGGATGCATCTAGAAACTTTTGAGTATAGATATAATTCTCCCTTTAATTAATGACAAAACAGTTTTTTGACAACATTTTTTATTATAAAATTTTGTAAATGAAATGATGAGTGGAGGAAATAAGTGAAATAATGAGAGAGAAAAAAAATGAAAATAAGGATCCAGTAATTTGATACGACAAGTGTGGGAAATTTCTAAGCGGCTACTGAACTGTGATACATTATTATGTGAATTATTTATACCATACATCCTTCTGTGTTACGATTATTGTGTTACAAATGTTATTATTGACGAGAAAAAAACAGAACAGTTCATTATTGTTATTGTGTGTTACTGCTGAACTATGTTGTTAGGCTGCATTTTGTACATTCTTGTATCAAATTACTATTATTTTGGATATTTAATTTATAGATGCATTCAATCAGCATACAATTTTGATACATTTCTTCTTTAATGCATGAAAATTATAAAATCATTATTTAATGAACACATTAAATTTTTTAGTACAAGTGTACTTAAATGAATTTGAGGCTTTACCCCTTTTTTATACAAATTGTTTTGGACATATCAAATATTGTTTATATATTTTTTTTTATATTTCTTTGGCATTTTATTTTTGGCATATATTTAATGTAATTGATTTGATTTTTTATAAGGCAACATTCAAGTATTAAAAAATATAATTGTGATAGTTTAAAAATATCAAGTTAAACAATTAAAAATCAATGGGCAAAATGTATATAGAAATCATGCATTACAAACTCCATTAACAAATTGTTCTTTTCTGTGTCACTTTTACAATAATTTTTCTGTTCTTTTTTATCGTATTTGCCATATTTTGAAATGTCTGCTCATTGTAATTTATTGATATACATGTACATTCTGTCCTATTTGATACATTACTTTACATTGTATTTTGTCTTATGTCATACATTAGTGTACATTCCGTCCAATGTCATACATTAGTGTGCATTCTGTCCAATGACATGTAATTGTTCATGCTTTTGTTAATCTTCAATACAGCTTTACATTCCTATTGTTCCATTTATGTATGTTTAAACGTATGAAAATGTCCTCCTCCAGTCTAGTATATTACTGCACACACACACATGCACACATCCGCTTTCCATCCAAATTCTTCAATATATACTAGAACATAAAGTAATATGTGTACATTACATGTATGTAGCTTCATTACCAATTTACATTCCGTCCAATTACTGAATATGATATGAAAGAACCTCACTTTTATCTTCTTCTTTATAAATAAGAGGTGTTAAATCCAATGAAATTCATGGTTTAATATACATTCCATCGAAACCAATAAATTTATATTTATGTCACCATGTAGTGGTAAAATCAAATAAATTTCATGGAGTCATATGTATTAAGTTAAAACTTGTTAATTAATAAACATGTAGTTGTTAAAGGGGTTAATTTTAAGTCATTTTGTCATGATTAATTTTTTAAAATTTCTGTACCAACTTCACAATTGTATTGGAAATGAAAAAATAATGTATCAGTGTATCTATATATGATAATATTAACATGATAACTGTTGCAATTGTTAGCATTTGTTTATTTATCAATTTCTGCACTTTAGCATTTGTTTATTAATCAATTTCTGCAATTTTTGTGCGTTGTGAGTTATTGCATTTAATTTGTTTATAATAGATAGTCTATTTAGACAACTTTTGTAAACTTAAAATGATTTAGTCAAGTTAATCAAATTCATGTATAAATAAACGATTTTGTGCAAAATATATAATTTTTTAGAAGGGTTTTGCTTGCAATAATAACATTTATTTATAAATCAAAAGTTACTGCATTTTTTTTTTCGAATCAAAATTTGCTTTAAATCAAACATGTCTTTCAGTCATTCTTTGTTTTATTTTTCATAATTGTACATGTTGCCATGGTAACACTCTTCGTTCTTTGTATTCCTTTTTATTTGAAAATGCACAATTTTTATGAAATTTTGCCTTTTGATATGAAATATATACTTCAAATGAAGGTATGAATTGAATTATTTCCTTTAAATTAAAAATAAAAATGCTGTTTTTTTTTTCTTTTATAGAAAGTTATTTTAACATAGTATAGCCAGTTATAGAAATATTTATTATTATCATGTAGATAAAGGAATATAAAGATAAAAAAAATCTTTAATAATTTATGATTTTTTAATACTGTATGAAATCTTTTAAACTGTAAGAAATCGTAAAACGTAAAAAAAATCCTATGTAAAAAAATCATATTAGAAAATCTCAAATGATACTGCACTGGTTTCAAGTATCCATTGTTTAAACACCAGATAACCAAGCAAATTGTTAGGTTTTTATGGCAATTATCTATGCATAATAACTTATTTATTATCCACCTGGACTTTAACTTGTCTCTTCTCATGATTATATTATGTGCTTTGTATAGTTTAGTTCAATTTCACAACTCATATTTTCTACATTTTTGCCCATTGTTTTTATGAAGATGAATAATATATTTTATGTACTTGATTGTAAGAGCAATAAGTTTATATTATATTGAAATTTTAATTTATTTTTCTGTTAATAAAACATTCAAAATTCTGTTTAGTTCATTTTGTTTTAAATAAGTCCCCAGAGTCGGTGTGGGCGTAACCACTTATGCTAAAGTTTGCGTACCACCTGAAATATTTTCAGTCCATTGACATATGGCTTTGAGACTTTGCACATATATTCACCATCATACTCTCAACCTGCGTACAGGAGGGAGGTCTCTGTATTAAGCTTTTAATGAAGTCAAGCACCCCATGTTAAAATTGACAGTTATTGTTATTAAAATTTTTCTTGCAATATCTTGGTGAAATTTTTACTGACTGATGACTGAATGTTGGAAATTGACAGTTAAAATACATTTACTTCCCATTGCCATATCAACCCCACTTGTAATATTCAAGGTAGGTTATTCTTGTATTTTAAATATAACAGTACTTTCCCTTTGATATAGTTACATCATTTGCAGTTTTCAACGGAGATTATTCTTAACTTCAGAGAAACATTTATCTTCCTAATTCTTCCATAGCACCATATACAATTTTCATGGAAAGTTATTCTTACTCTAAATTTGAAATTTACAGTAATCTCTTTAAGCCGAAGTACCGACAGTGGAATTTTTCAAAGGGAGGTAATACTGTAAATTCATTAATTTCCCTTTTCCATAGTAGCCCCATTTGCATCTTTAATGGGAGATTACTAATAAACTTTATTCATTTTCGAGTATTTTTTAATTAAATGAATTCAGTTAGTAAAATCCCAAATAGGGCCATCCGTGTCTCTGAAATAGTAAACAGAATGGTATTCTGTGTAGTGACACCTTTAGTACAACTTGAATGGTTGTAAATCTATAAAAAAAGGATTTTACAATTCATTCCAGTTACGACAAAAATCTCTGGAAATAAATTCCTACAAATACGTCCTGACTCCGAGCCTGCAATACATTATTAAAACCATTGCCATGTGTTCTTGATCAGAACAAATTATCCTTAGTTTGTTTTTATTGTTGCATGCTTGCAAGTTTTCAGATATTTGCCTGAATTGAGTTTTTTTTTCACTCGCGAAAGCTCTCTTATTTATATTAAACCAATTTAAATGAATACTAAGTTCAGGGTTTTCAGATTTTCTGATATTTTCAACTTTTTCACCCATGTATTGTTGTATGAAACTGATATTCATAATATAAATCCTTAATTAGCCTGTATGCGACCAGTGCAGACCAATATCAGTCGACTCGTTCATGGCGTCCAATCCTGGTCTGCTTTGTTCACTTCTCAGTCAGTACTTATTTTGAAAAATAACCCCGAAAATTGTGAATGGTTTAATGCAAATTAAAAAATTGTTTAGTCCATTTAAAGATACACATTGTAATGTATTAAGATTGCTTAGGGTTAAACTGATTTTTCCCTATATTTTCATCATTTTAAGATATTTTAAGTCATCTTTTAAATAAACATGAAACTTTAAATGTATTACATTTAATAATGAAGGAATTTTGAGAAAAAAATTGATCCCGACTTTCATCCGGACATAAGGGAAGGTGTTATGGGGTTTGAGGGTGTCAAAGTATTACCCTTTGTCAAATGGAAAAAAAATGTCTTAAAATCAGTGGTAAAAAATGAAAACCAAAGAAAATTACTTCAGTTGCATAACATATCAACATTTACCCCATAGTTTAATCATTATGTTCATTTTAATAGAAACGTTTAGACTTTCTGCTGTTACATTCTCCCGTTTGAAAAGAAATGCAAAGGGTGTTTAAACATAGCTTTTGAGATTAAATTTAAGATTTTAATTTAAGAGACTAATTTTTAACAAAGATCATAAAATTGAAGTTGCGGATAGACTCCATCGACTTCCATTGAGGTGACACGAACGACAACTCTGTCTTGAAATTATACTGGACATAGTTTGAATAAATTGAGATTATTAAAGAACAAACATTAAAAAACGATTTTCCTTTGTTTACAACAAGTAATCAATCTTGTGTTTTTGTCTTTCTTTCTTTCTTTTTTTCTTTCTTTCTTTCTTTCTTTCTTTCTTTCTTTCTTAATTTCTTTCTTTCTTTCTTTCTTCCTTCAGACTGTTACGTAAAACAGCTTTAATGCATCTCGTGTTTAGGGCGTGTACTTGTTTTGTTAAATTCTAAATATTTTACGTGCTTTTGTTATCTTTTACGTTTTTTAGCCTTTCCTTTAAAGGAATGACTCAATTTCTAAAACTTCGGCAACTTTTATATTCGTTATCAGTAAACCACTTACAATTAATTGATAAGAAAACGACTATTCCCTATTTTGCTTTCTCCTTTTCAAACTTTCATTAATTTAGTCACATTTCATGTCAAAAATCCGTAAAATAGACATTATATAAACAGGATACGTTTATACAGTGTTTTAATATATAATTCAAAGCTGTATGTGGTATTAACAGTTATAATTCAAAAAAGGTAAGAAATATATTTTGGTTTTGTCGGTTTTCTTTCTTCTCTATATCTATATGATGACATATGATTAATGTTGTTAAAGTTCTAATGTTTAGACAGTTTTAATCACAATGATATACTAAGGACGTGCGCTAATTGGGAATGTATAATTTACCATTTTACCAAAAACACCCTGCTGACCTCCGATTATAGAGCTCATATGTGAAAAAGACATATTGTATCCGAGTATAAGCAGGGGGAGGAGTGTGTTGGTGGGGAGGGAGGGGGTGCCTTGATGTGGCATAAGACACATTAACTATATATAATATTTGTATTCGAAGATGACATATTTGTAGACATGTTATTTAACCTTTGTAACAGAAACATGTTTAGTATATGTAGACATGTTATTAAACCTTTGTAACAAACGTGTTAAGTATATGGACTGTAGACATGTTATTTAACCTTTGTAACAGAAACATGTTCAGTATATGGAATGTAGACAATGTTATTTAACATTTGTAACAGAAACATGTTTAGTATATGGAATGTAGACAATGTTATTTAACATTTGTAACAGAAACATGTTAAGTATATGGAATGTATTAAACCTTTGTAACAGAAACGTGTTTAGTATATGGAATGTAGACATGTTATTAAACCTTTGTAACAGAAACATGTTTAGTATATGGAATGTAGACAATGTTATTAAACCTTTGTAACAGAAACATGTTAAGTATATGGAATGTAGACAATGTTATTTAACATTTGTAACAGAAACATGTTAAGTATATGGAATGTAGACAATGTTATTAAACCTTTGTAACAGAAACATGTTTAGTATATGGAATGTAGACAATGTTATTTAACATTTGTAACAGAAACATGTTTAGTATATGGAATGTAGACAATGTTATTTAACATTTGTAACAGAAACATGTTAAGTATATGGAATGTATTAAACCTTTGTAACAGAAACGTGTTTAGTATATGGAATGTAGACATGTTATTAAACCTTTGTAACAGAAACATGTTTAGTATATGGAATGTAGACACGTTATTAAACCTTTGTAACAGATACATGTTTAGTATAAGGAACATATCCGTCTTATGTTGTGGTGAAGCGTATTAGAGGAAGTACTGTCATACAACCACGACTCATCATAACGTGTTAAAAATGATAATGTATGACACCGATCAGAGCTGCATCAGTACTAAGGGTGTAGTACTTAAGTACCAGTACCAGTACTTGGCAAATTATGCAGTACCATTACCAGTACCAGTACTAGATTGTAGCTCGGTACTGCAGTACCAGTACTTTTTTTTGGTGAAGTAATTAAGTATCAGTACCATTACTTTTATATATTCATCAAAGTTTGAATAAATACAGTGTCAAACAAATAATAGCAAATATTATTCAGCAAAGAAATAAAATCATTATTTACTTAAAAGCTGCATGCCTCCAGATGACCCAAAATATTTCAAGAAAATTAAACTTGGAAATAAATTACTAAAACTTTGAGAAAGGAAACAAATTAAAGATTCAAGTGATAAATTATATCTTATGTGCAATTAATGACTGTATTTTGTAGTATTTATCACCATATTTCTACTGCGTTACTAACGCAGTAGGGGCTATTTATGCATGTTTTGACCTTTTTTTGGTAATTTACGTGGATTTTTAAGTGCCGATTGTAATGTGTCAAGTACTTTCTTTGTTCATTTAACAATATTTTACCTTTAAATACATTTTCAAAATTTTCATGAAAATTAGGATGAATCTGGAGGCGTGCTGCTTTAAAGTTAACATAACATATTTACAACTTTATAGTTTTAACATACTTTTTACAAACAATATTTACAACATATATTCATGTCATATCTAAATGTTTAGTAAGTTTAACCACTGTATAAATACAATGCAAACATCTTTCATTTAAAACACAACAGTCTTTTGTTGCCTTTCACACCTTCACACCACTGTTCAATTTAAACCAAAGTAAATAACAACTTTTTATGGTGCTAACAATATCACTTTTTTCACTTGAAATGGGATTTTTTAGAATAGAAGAAATTAATTAGTGTTTATTTTGCTCTTTTACTAGTAAATACAAAGTAATAAAAGATTTTAATAAGGATATTTTAGGGTAAAGAGTTATTTAGTCTGTTTATCTTAATTTAATTTTTACTTTAAGTCTTTGGTGCTTTTTATGATGAATACTATGTTAACATTTGAAGGAATATTGCAGCAAATTATCTTTAGATTTGATAACTTACTTTTTCACAAAAAAAATATAGTTAATGTATTTTACAGCTTTATTTTATGAGAAAAATTGATGTTATTTTTAATTTTTATCAAAACCAAAAGTACTGGGTAATGCAGTAGCAGTACCACTTTTTAAGACAGTAATGCAGTACCAGTACCAGTAGTAGCAAAATTTTGTAAGAGTAATTCAGTATCAGTACCAGTACTTGCAAAATCGCTGCAGTACGTACTGCAGTACCAGTACCAGTACCAGTAATGCAGCTCTGACACCGATGAACCATGTCAAACAGCAATCTTACGTTTTTAGATAATTTACTAGATGGTATCCATCCCGCTGCAATAAATGCCAGTGCTTATGTGGTGATATGTTGGTGCACTTGGTATGCCTTTGTCCTTTAAAGATATACACTAATCTATATGTTGATTGATTAATGTGGGTAAAGCGAATATGTCCGCTTTGTTCGTTGCAGGCAGAATAGTGATACAAAGAAAACAAAAACAAAAAAACAAGCAAAATTTAATGTATACATTTTTTTGAGCCGTAACAGAAATCACAACAACAATGTCAACGTTGCGAATTTATATATAAATTTCAGATATAAAGAATCTCATCAACAGCATGTCAAGTACAATTGTCCAAATAGTTTTAATTTTGGTATTGATTTATAGTACAGACATAACAGGGCAAACTAACAATACCACTGGAACGAATGAAACAGATCCATTCTCACAAATAAACTCACAAGAAACAAACGTTACAGCTTCCCCATCACCAACATCATCATCAGCAACTAAGGACACAGCAGCAGCAACAACAACAATATTAGAAATTACAACCATAACATCACCACCACCAACAACAATAACGGAACAATATACGACAACAACAGAGCTAGTTACAACAGAATCATCGCCGAAAACAACGATTTCATTATCCGAGGCGACCACCAGATCATCAAGACCAATACCACCATCGTCAACATCGTCACAACAATAATAAAAACCTACAATTTTTTAACTAGAAAATTTGGGTCTACTAAAGCAACATGAAAGCGTCTCAAAAACATCCCCAAATATCTTTTTACAGATTATTCTACGGGGGTTTTATACAGACACAGGGGGCAAGTGTAAAAACTCGTCAAAAAATCAAAATACAATAAGTTCATACGCTAACAATTTAGTTACATCAACAAGTTCAGGTGAAACATACTTGGCAGTAAACGGTGAGTATTTTAAATCATAGAAAATAAGCTTTATCATAGAAAATAAGCGAATGTTGCTTAACATATCATTTAATGCTGACTTTAGTGTTTGAAATTATTTTTTTTTTGTGCAATAGGATTGTCGTATTTCAAATGAATCGTAACACATTTACTTTGGTAAATCGGCAAACTGTTACACAGTCTAGTAAATCGACTGTTTATAAAAATAATTTAAAACACTAAGCTGGTTAAAGTTTGTTAGATTAAATTCGTTGTGCTGTGCGACGCCTGACCATAAACGTACTAATAAACTTTAATCTTTACTTATATGCTTGTTACCCGTGTAAAGTAGCGCTATATGTGAAATTGATTGTTATTAAAGTAGCAAAAAAGTAATAAAAGTAGTATTTTGACTTCCGAACAAAACACTCAAGTCACACTAACCGTACTATAGTCTGTCCCATTAAAAATGGAAATGAACTTTTGCCTGGTATGAATTAATAAAAACACGTTGAATAAAAATTAAAACTTTTTTGTAAACTAAAAAAAAGTCACCCTCGAGATTTTTCAGGATTTTTCTCTAAAGTGTCTAATTTTCTTGTAAAAGCAAAGTTTCATTTCTCTATGGCAAATCTCTGTTGTTTATTTTCCGTAGCCATTACCGAAGTACTCTTCATTTCAAGATGAACGGGAGAAATCACGTGTCATGTTTCTAAAATGTACATGATGTTCTCGGGGTCGTTTCATGATTATTTTACAAAGCTGTATCTACAAGATGTAACAGTTTCGTTTCAATGCATGATAGAAAACTTTACAAAATGAATAATAAGCAACAACTTGAACAAGATCATCGAGTCTGTGGAGTAGATCTAGAAATAGCACTTACTTTTAAGCTGAATAGAATCCCTATGAGTTTCGAAATAGATCTTTATAAACGTCACGACAAATTTGCATTCTGAAGATCACTTCATTGCCAGTTTATATCCAGTTCCGTAGACTTTGAAACTCCTGAATGGCATGACTTTTACTTTTATGTCATGATGATCCAGATTTTTTCATAATCCGTCTCATTATTAAAACATAGTCATTGTTCCATTTGTGCAGTTATCTGGGTTAGCAAATGAAATATGTAAATGAAACACATCATAATCCAGTAGGCCTATGTTCCAAATCCATAATTCAAGAACGGCCCATAAATTTAGTTCGACAGCACAATGTTTTTAACTATTAACAATAGATTCCTGACGAAAAAACATTATTACGTCACCAATAATTTACGAAATATATGACGTAACAAAAATGCCTTGCGCTTTTTATGGATGATTCCAGTTGCGGCATTGGCAGAGGGCGGTTAGGCATATGTAACCTCATAAAGATAATTTTAAGCGAGATAAATTTGTCTTGATGGCATTTAAAATAATTTTTTGTATACAGTACCCAGATTTTGCAGTAATTGTTAAAAGTACACCTTCAATTCATATATTAACAATAAAACTTTTGATAACATTTAAATAATTTTAAACACACTTAATGGCATATGAATCTATATGACAGAATACCTCTTCCATTAATTCACATATAACCTTCGTTTTGACTTTATGTTTTTAAACTATTTTATATATTTCTCAGAAATAATTTCCCTACAAATTATCTCGTTATTCAAGAGTTCTGTAAATCCTACTCTTTTAGCTCTACAAAAAATACCCTATGCGGTGTTATTTTCTCTCGCGAAAAAATATAGCTATTGTTTTTTCACTGAATATTTTCAAATTTTAGGAAGGCTATAATTATTTAGGACATCACTCTGTGTTTCTCTTTGACTCGATATCCCCTTCATATTAACATAGTATGTAACACTGAGTCTACAAAAAAAACTTATTGTCCCTGATTAAACGCTCCAATTCAATCTTTTTCTTAATAATATGAAACACTGCCGGTATTTCTGGACATTTTGTTAAATTATGAGACGGAAAATTAATCTGTATTTACAAGCTTAAAGTGTATAGGCCAACGTTTGGTTGCTCAAACTAGAAAGCATTTTTATATTCTTATAATTTACATTTTTCCTCGCACGCGAGTCTGTGTTCTCTCATTAGCAAATGAGCTAGTTAAAGTAGACACTGTGCAAAACAATACTAAACATATAGTGAATCAGTACCCCTTTCTATATATTTCTTGTCAGATTTGCATGCTAATGTTATATTTGTTGGCGATTTATACGTCAGGTTTCTGTTGTGAAAGTTAAAACCTACGAAAAGTTTTTAACGCACGAACATCGCACCCGAAATAAGAAGGGTAACATATTTTTGTATCCCATCGGACCTGGTTAATTTAATTATTTTTAAATAGACGTGATACATACTAATGGACAGTATTCAGACAACTACAGAATTATGTTAATTAAACATTAGCGAAGAACCATTTTTTCAGTCTTCTAGCTAGTGTTCCCGTTCCCTTACGACGCGTTGTGGTATTCAACATACGCGCTTGATTGAAAAGCTATCTAATCAAATCACTTCATAATATTGCTCTTTTTCTCTTAAAAAGAATATAAAATATGGTAATTATATAATTATATAAATCTTTTTGTGTTATAATTTATAAAGCGGTAACTGATATTTCACTTCAAATGATTTTAAATTGATTATTTTAAATAATGGTTTGCTAGTAAAATTGCCTTTTCGACACCAACTTTGTTCTCATTTTTCATTTTAATGATAACATTTAGCTATTGATCAGTAAGTAAATAAGAATAATCAATTTTTTATAATTACCGAGTACATTTCACGCTAATTGTGAGACGAACCCTAAATGACGTCTGTATGGGCGCCGCCATTTTGAAATGGACGTCACGTCAGGTTATAACGTAAGTCAACGGGAAAAAATATAATTTTAACATTTTGACCATATTACTGACTTTATGGAAAAAATGAAAACATGCCTAGAGATATTGAAGTCAGGATTAACATGACATTAATTTAAATGATTTCACTATTATATTTAATAAAAAATGGAATATTCAAATTTGGTGGGACAGACTATAAATGCCAAAACGCAACAGAAGAAACGGATGGTTCAGATAATTTGCCATTGAGTAACGTTTTGAAAACTGTAAATAAAAATGTTTTGTAAAATGAAAATAAATTGTTTTCTGGGTATAATCGGCCTTTAAAAGTCATTTTCTAACTTATAAAGTTATAAACCGTTTTCCCGATATTACGTCGAGTTCACAAATACATGTACGCAGACATGATTTACTGGTTTCCTTCATTTAATGGCCATAGTTTAGTTGTTGAGCATTAACGTTACTCTAATTCTATACTAAATTTATTAGTGATCCGGAAATACTAGAGCATCCTTTTTCCGGGAATTTATTATGTCACTTAACCCCATGTTCATCATTATCAGGGTCAAGTGATCCTGATTTTATTTTCATTGTTTTATGTTACTAAAATCAGTCGTGTTTTGCTAGAATTAAATGGTAAATATTCAAAATGAAGACAATTGCTGATTTGCAAATGAACCAAACTATTTTGGAATAAAATCAACAAATAACAAAACAAATACAAAAATATTCAGGACAAAATAAGGATCAATTTTAGGATCATGATCAATATTTGGATCAATTGTTAAATGCCAATTTTTTGTAAAAGATAGTAATAAATTTATATTTAACTTTCATAAACTTGCTTTTGCTAGTCCAGTTTTATCAAATTAATATTTAGATTTTTAATATATGAGGATAAACATTGAAGAATATTAGAGTTTTTAAAATTTGATCCTGATCCTAAAATTCTTTTGCACAGGGCCAGGGGAATTTTTTTTTTTAAAAAGGGAAAAAAACCCCTTTGTTTTGGGCTTTGGGGGGGTTTTGGAAAAATTTTCCCGATATACATGGGGGAAACTACAAATAACTGTTTCTCCCGTAAATATACGTTTCTAAGAGTATCTTTTTGGAAACTAGTATTATATTTGATAGATTGGATTTTTGCGCAGACTCGTATATTAACTTGGAATAAGACAAATTATTTCACTTATTTTAGGTAGCTGTCGGCTTGGTTATGTTCTACAAAAAGACAAATGTGTTTATTTGTGCAAAGACAAAATGTGTGAAAATGGTGGCGTGTGTACTGTAGAAACAGACGCCGATGGGAAACGATCAGTGGCCATGTGCAGGTAATTAACCATAATTGTTATTCTAAATTGTTTAAATAGTTTATAGACCTGCACAGTCTTAGAACAATCCAATCGATTGACAATGGGTAAATAGTATTTTTAACATCAAAATGTTATATTTGGAGGCTTGGGATGAGGAAGGGGTTAAATCACATTGGTACTGTTAATTATTAAATATAAGGTCATACATATTGCCATTTTCTAATTTTGATAGTGATGGGAGACCTATGTGATGTTGGCGGCAGCTATGTATTATTTAAGTCTGTATTAAATGATAAAAATTGTGGCAGGAATCTAATATTTCATAAATG